GAACAACAACGCCATCTGCATGTTGGTCTCGACAAGCTAAAGGATACCGTCACTCAAGTCGAGGAGCTGCGCAAGAGTTTAGCCATCAAGCGATCTCAACTGCAAGCGAAAGATGCTGAAGCCAACGAGAAGCTCAGGCGCATGGTTGCAGATCAACAGGAAGCCGAACAGAAGAAAACTGCTTCAATAGAGATCCAAGCGGCCCTTGTCGAACAGGATAAAAACATTGCGGAACGTCGCTCCGTTGTCATGGCAGATTTGGCTGACGCAGAACCAGCTGTCCTGGATGCCCAGTCTGCCGTTAGCAGTATCAAGAGGCAGCATCTCCAAGAGGTCAGAACTATGGCGAACCCACCTGAAGCAGTGAAGCTTGCCATGGAGTCCGTGTGTACCCTGCTGGGACACAAAATTGACAACTGGCGTACTGTTCAAGGTATCATTCGTCGGGATGACTTCATTCAGAGGATCGTCAATTTTGACACCAATAGTCAAATGACGAAGCCCCTTCGAGAGCTGATGAAAAGGGACTTCTTGAGCCGACCTTCGTTCAACTTCGAAACAGTGCAGCGTGCAAGTAAAGCTTGCGGTCCCCTGGTGAAATGGGTTCTCGCACAAGTACGTTTCTCCGAGATTCTCGACAAGGTGGAACCTTTGCGCAATGAGGTCCAATCACTGGAGTCGCAGGCAGATATGACAAAGAAACAGGCCTCCCAGATCATCACCATTGTCGCCGAGTTGGAGTCCAAAATCGCAACCTATAAAGAGGAGTATGCATTGCTTATCAGCGAGACTCAGGCTATCAAATCGGAGATGGAGCGTGTGCAAAGCAAAGTGGATAGGAGTATGAAACTTCTTGAAAGTTTGTCATCAGAGAAAGGCCGTTGGGAGTCGGGGAGTCGCACATTCGACGCGGAGATGAGCACCATCGTTGGTGATGTCCTGCTTTCAGCTGCCTTTTTAGCTTATGGCGGTTTCTTCGATCAACATTATCGCGAGGTCATGTGGCAAGAATGGTCGAGCCATCTTCACGAAGCAAACATCAAGTTCAAGCCAGAGCTTTCGCTCACAGAGTATCTATCGACTGCTGATGATCGCCTGAGCTGGCAATCGAAGTCACTCCCATCGGACAATTTGACCACAGAGAACGCGATCATGTTGAAACGATTCAACCGTTACCCCCTCATCATCGATCCCACAGGACAAGCCACTACATTCCTTCTCAACGAATACAAGGACCGCAAGATCACTGTCACCAGCTTCTTGGATGAGGCATTCCTTAAAGTCCTTGAGAGCGCTCTTCGTTTCGGCAATCCTTTACTTATCCAAGATGTCGAACATCTCGATCCTATCCTGAACGCTGTGCTGAACAGGGAAATACGGAGAACAGGTGGTCGTGTTCTCATCCGCCTTGGCAGCCAGGACATCGACTTTTCTCCTTCGTTTACCATGTTTTTGTCCACTCGCGACCCTTCCGTTGAGTTCTCTCCAGATATTTGTAGCAGGGTAACGTTTGTCAACTTCACCATGACGAGGAGTAGTCTCCAGAGTCAGTCGCTAGACCAAGTTCTCAAAGTCGAACGTCCGGACACTGAACGCAAGAGAACTGATCTGATGAAGGCTCAAGGAGAGTTCCGTCTTCGCCTTCGCACACTGGAAAAGTTGTTACTGCAAGCTCTCAATGAATCAACGGGTAACATTCTTGACGATGACAAAGTCATCAGCACCTTGGAGACCCTCAAACGAGAGGCTGCGGACATTACTCACAAGGTTGAAGAAACGGATATCGTCATGAAGGAGGTTGAGCAAGTGACTGCGGAGTACCTGCCACTGGCACAGGCATGCAGTTCCGTCTTTTTCATTCTCGAGCAACTCAACCTGGTCAACCACTTCTATCAATTCTCGCTGCGGTTCTTCTTGGACATATTCGACTACGTTTTACATCACAATCCTAATCTCAAGAACATATCCGACCATCATCGCCGGCGCGAGATCCTCCTCAATGACTTGTTTTTAATCGTCTACAAGCGGACTTCTAGGGCTCTTCTTCATCGTGATCATGTGATGCTTGCCGTTCTTCTGGCTCAAGTCAAGCTCCGCGGAATGGAAGAAATTAGCGATGGACTGGAGTTCCTACTGGAGAGCGGGCAAGGCGTTGCAGTTTCTACATCTCCCTCAACAGAGCATCCTACCCTTTCGATATTGACGCCAGATCAGATGATGCACTTGGAGAGCTATGCTAAACAATCCTTATTCAAGCCAGTTCTCAATAGCATATTAGAGCACCCAGATGATTGGATTCCTTTCCTGCAATCGAGTAGTCCTGAATCCATCGTTCCAACACCCTGGAAACCCAATACGCGTGAGTGACCACACACTTTCGTTGCGGGCAACCACTGATCAGATTGCAGCTGCCGTCGAAGCACTACGTTCAATGCTGATTGTCAAGTGCCTTCGGCCCGACAGACTATTGCAGTCCACAGCCCTATTCGTTCGAAATGTGTTCCAGAGCGACCTCTCATCCGATTTAGACCTGGGCGCCATGGTCGCGAATGAGGTGCCGGCGGCGACTCCTTTGGCCCTTGTATCGGTTACGGGTTATGACGCCAGTTACCGTGTAGAGAACCTCATACAATCTACCGGTGCACGATCCTCCTCAGTAGCTATGGGCTCTCAAGAAGGTTTCACGTTGGCAGACCAAGCAATCGCAGCAGCATCCCGTCAAGGGACATGGGTGCTTTTAAAGAACGTGCATCTCGCTCCTACGTGGCTAGGGCAGTTGGAGAAGAAGCTCCAGACGTTGAATCCTCATCGAAACTTCCGCCTTTTCCTGACCTTAGAAGCGAATCCTTCCATTCCTGTAAACATCTTACGCCAGTCACGCATTATTATGAATGAGCCTCTGCCAGGAATCAAAGCGAACCTCTTGGACTCACTTGGATCCATAACGCCACAGCGACTGGCGCAAGGTCCATCAGAGAAGATACGTTTATACTTCCTATTAGCATGGTTCCATGCTGTTGTCCAAGAGCGTCTCCGCTATGTCCCATTAGGCTGGAGCAAGGCTTATGACTTTAACGACTCTGATATGGCCTCGGCTTTTGGAACTATTGACACCTGGCTCAATGCAGTTGCCAAAGGACGTGCAAATGTGGACCCAGCAAACATTCCTTGGGATGCTCTTAGAACTCTGATCAAGCAATCCGTCTATGGAGGAAGAGTTGACAGTGATTTTGATCAGCGCATCTTGGACGCTTTTGTCGACAAGCTCTTTACGCCTGCTGCGTACAACGTCGACTTCGACCTCGTTCCAACCATCGGTGGAAACCATGCGCTTGAAGCTCCTGATGGTACCAAACTAGAACATTTCTTGTCCTGGGTTCAACGCCTACCTGATCGTGAACCACCTGCATGGCTAAGCCTTCCTCCGACTGCAGAGCGTGTTATTGCTGTAGCGCAAGGTATACAATATATATCCACACCACTACCTTTCTGATTGCTTCGTTTTGAAGGTAATGAACTACTTAGTAAATTGCGCAAGATGCGGACTCTGGCAGATGATGACGAGCTCGGGAGTGCCGCTAGTCCCTCGAAAAGCCAGACCTCGCAGCAACCTGTATGGATGCGCAACCTTCACGAGCGATGCCGGGAGTGGCTTACGCAACTGCCTTCGGTGAGTTTCTTGATGGATTTGTTGTCCGCATGTTGCTCACCGTTCTATTTCAGACACTGAATACTCTGCCAAAGCAATCCAATGACAATCCTGATCCTCTTTATCGTTTGTTCCTCCGGGAGGCCTTGATAGGACGCAAACTTCTCGACCAGGTTTGCAAGGACCTGGCGGACGTGGTGAAGGTGTGCGATGGGGAACTGAAGCAGACAAATCACTTGCGAACTCTGATGAGTTCCCTGACAAAAGGTTCTTCATCGCTGCCGTTCTATTCTGCATCGAATACTAATGTATATTAGGGACTATCCCTTCTCACTGGAGGAGATACAAGGTGCCAAAGGCCATGTCTGTGTCAGAGTGGATTCCAGATCTGGCTCGTCGACTGTCTCAGCTCGATGGCATAACGAGTGTGCAACAAAATCTCTCCAATGTGGAGGTGTGGCTTGGTGGACTGTTCTTCCCCGAAGCATATATTACAGCGACCCGTCAAGCTGTGGCGCATCGCAAACGATGGAGTCTTGAGACGCTTCACCTGCGCCTCGACATCGACCAGATGAACGATCCTGGTGCATTCATTGTTGATGGTACGTTGTTTCTTTCCCCTCCCTTTTCGCCAAACTCAAACAATGTCTGTAGGTCTTATTCTGGAGGGCGCTGCTTGGGACACCGAGAATGAAAAGTTGGTCCTCAATGACGGGCAGGCTGTCCGACTCAATGCTTCTCAAATTCGCTGGGTCCAAGACGACTCCAGCGAGGAACAGCCTGCCGATCTAGTCACGCTGCCAGTTTACCTCAACAACGACCGCAGTGATGTGATGTTTACAGTGGATCTGCCATTCGATAAACATTCAACGTCGTTGGTAGCAATGAGAGCAGTTTGTCTCACCGCAAGGGGTTGAGCGTTTGAGCAGTGACCTAGATCTCTAACTATTGACATACTATACCTATATCATGATACCATTTCCTTCGTTTGCATTTCTGTATTTTATCACAATCATGGACTGACATATGATGATCTCTTGCGGTGTATGCTGCGTCTAGTCTGGATATCAACGCACGCTCCCCTATAAACTGAATAAAGACTTGGAATTCGTATGAGCAGGGCTTTTACATGAAAGGCTTCTATTGATCTGCCTTGCTCAGCACGAGCCCGGTGAAACTTTGATGGAAACATCGCGTCGATGACTCGGAGTCGGCGTTGAACTTGACAGCTCGTGCTGTCAACAAGTTCAACGCCGACATCCAACAGCTATAGTAGACCTGGTTAGACTCGTGACCAGTCTGAGTAGAATCAGCTATCTCGGTATCAAGGGCTGGGTTCGTTGCTAGATACGCCGGATAAATTCAGCTTGTCACTCGGTACGAGTGTGGGCGGGCGGATCACCGACTTCCAGTAGTGATACAACAACAAATGTCTACATAAACCCCATCTTAAATATACTATAACCAAAATAAATACTACGACGGATCCTCAACCAAATATCTCCATGCGGAACACTCGACAACCATTCCCTACACAGTACTGCTAGTTGGTACATGCACACGCTCCTGGAAGACAATCGAATTCATGCTAGTTTCTGCGTCGGATTCAGCCACGAGTTTAGCGTGATATTGTCGAACACTAAGGATGAGGCGTGGTCCCAGCATAAACATCTGCACGGACAATAAAATTTCCATAGCACCGCTGAGTATCCCAACTGCTACAGAATCCGAATTCTACAGAAACGATGAGCAGTGGTTGCATGTAGATGTCAGTGACATGTTGGCGCACCTCGACTTCTGGAGAGAGATTAACAAGCTGAAGGGACGAGACACCGGCAAAGCTAACACATGCGGAACTTGAGCAGAAAACGATAAGCACATTCGCATTACAAGCTCACCTTGCAAAATAAAGCACATGAGATTCTATCAGCACTCTAAAACAGTCCCCAATGGTCGATCCCGTCAATGGGCCGAGTCGTCGCAGGTCACGGAAGTGCTTCGCAGCGATCCAGACTGAAAGACACAGTGCGAGGACCTCCCAAACAGTGTTGAGCATCCAAACAATTGATATGAGAAACTGCGTATTCTCCTCGGATCCGTCAGAGCACATATGAATACTAGAGAGTATCATTTCCTCTGGTATTTGTCCAATGAGCTGTGGTCTTCAATTCAACAAGTAAAGCTTACCCGATACGAAATCATACTTGAGTCCTATGATCGCGATTACTCCGCAGGCGATGTTTACAGCTAAGAAGATGATGACAAGGAAGATAAGCATCCTCCTAGATCTCTGATACATGGCATGCAACCGAGCAATCATGATGACTTGAATCATATTTCAGTCGAGTGAGGTATCGCAGCTGGGCAACTCACCGCCCAACATGGCAGTTACGACCACATTTGTCCCATTTGTTGCGTAGTTCATGATGTTGCCTGAAACACCCGATTAGCGGTCGCCCTCATACTAATATAAAACGCTCCGACTCACACCTATTGAGTCGTTATGTTGAGCCAAGTCCAATGGTCAAATCGCACTCACCCCTACAAATGAATGTATTCATTGGATAGGAAAGAAATGATTGCGGAATGCTCACTGCATCTGTCAACGAGATAAACGCAATGTTTTCTGTATGCCGCCGGTCAGAAGAACCGAACACGATGTATATGAAACATACCCAGAGCATTGACACTGATAATGAGAGATGGGTTATCAGTACGGCAACTACTTTTTGGCCTTGATTAACATACACAGAAAATGGTATTCCAACATAGCGTATCTAAAATATTTTGGAGTCAGCACAACCGCCAACCATGCTATGGTATAAAATGAGGTACGGACGACTAGGTACAGCACGGTCATGAGAGACCATCGTTGGGTCTGTCACAAATTCATTGTTTTTGTTCCGATATGGGACTCTGTGACTCACCCAAATGAGGTCAATCTATGACATCATTGTTAGCAAGTTGGGTGCTCCGGCAATAGCACCAACCTACCTCTTGTGCAAGTGTTAATACTGGAAATATGATGAGAATATCAGCAATTTCAGGACACTGTGCTGCTCACCCCAATCGTATACCACCACGAAGGCTGCGGCAACTGCGAAGCCAGAAGTCAATATAAAATTGAAAGACATAACCAACTGATATGGCGAACCCGCCCAATAGCTGTACAAAATATTGAAATTGATGAAGGGCCACCAACTGGGATCATTTGAGACAACGGTCATATTTGAGGATGGGAGATGTATATAACGGTCTAGCGTTCATATTAATATTCAGCGCTCAGCGCTTGTATCGCCAAAAATAGTGATTCAGACATTTGTCTATGGGAGGCCCTTGCAATTGGTTGGTCGGAGTAGTACTTGAATGAACGTAGGATTTGATTTGCACTACCCGAATTGGAAATCAGCTTCTCACGCGACTCAACTCAGTGCACTCTTCCTCCGATTACTAGTACTCTTATAGAACAATGGCCATTCGAACTGCGGTGACACGGGTACATGTCAACGTTTCCATTTTCCAGAACGTGCTCTAAGCGGTACCCGGTCTTAATATCAAGATCACATCCAAATCAATATAATCATCTCTTTGCAACGACCCGGCCTCATCTACATGTAAGTATCATACGTTCTGAACGTTAGCTGACATACTAGCTCCAACTCAATTTCCGGATAGTCCATTGTAAGACCCGATTTAGGACCTTTAGAGCGTCTTTTTACAATGTCGACAGCATACCACCATCAATCCTTGCGCAAAACGAGTTTACTTGGGACAATCATAATGGTCCCATGCCAATAGTGTCGTCTTAATTGCGTTCTTCATTCGCGCGTGCCTTGAGACTGGACAGTGTTCATTGCAAGATTCTCGCCTTCACGTCTCTTATTCCTCCTTCATCTATGTGTTCAAACAGTCATTACGTTGCGGAGCCATTATGCTATCAGCTGTCTGAGCTCAGACATGCTACTTCTACTTTCTATTACACTTGCTTTCCATTCGTTCAGTCCAAAAGCCATGGCATCACCAATCATCTGGCCTCGCACAACCGCTGTCGTTTCTGCATATATTTCCTGAGACAGATGATTCCAATGTATTTCGCAGGCTCGCAGACATTCTGGTCTATCAGCTGTCTGAGCTTGGACTCACGTACTTCGGCTAGCAGATGATCACATTGATCCATTGTATTTTCGATCATCCATCATCTGCAGGTCCTAAAACGGTGTCGGTGATACTTGTGCTTAGCCGCGGCAGGATCGATGGGCTCCAACAGATCTTGCAAAAACGCAAATTCGACGCACGATTTGCATTCGCATGCGCGCCACGCTACGATGGTGCGATTAAGTGTGGTCGATGCCTCACTAATAGTTTGACAGATGTACTTGAGGCTTTCATCTTCTTACCATGCTTTTCAGCTTGCTACTTGGTGCAAGTCTGGATTACCGACTTCCAGTAGCGATACAACAAGAAATGGGTTTGTCTACATAAACCTCGTCTAGAATATGCTTTGGAGACCATAACTAAAATAAATATGACGGATCCTCGACCAAATATCTCCTCCATGCGGAACACTCGACAACCATTTCCTAGACAGTACTGCTAGTCAGTACATGCACACGCTCCTGGAAGACGATCGAATTCATGCTAGTTTCTGCGTCCGATTCGTCCACGAGTTTAGCGTGATATCGTCGAATGCTAAGGATGAGGCGTGGTCCCAGCACAAACAACTGCACGGACAATAAAATTTCAAAAGCACCGCCGAGTATCCCAACTGCTACAGAATTCGACTTCTACAGAAATGATGAGCAGTGGTTACATGTAGATGTCAGTCACATGTTGGCGCACCTCGACTTCTGGAGAAAAATAAGCAAGCTGGATGCAAGAGACACCGGCAAAGCTAGCACGTGCGGAACTTGAGCAGAAAACGATAAGCACATTCGCATTATAAGCTCACCTTGCAAAATAAAGCACGTGAGATTCCACGAGCACTCTGAAACAGTCCCCGATGGTCGATGCCGTCCATGGGCCGAGTCGTCGCAGGTCACGGAAGTGCTTCGCAGCGATCCAGACTGAGAGACACAGTGCGAGGACCTCCCAAACAGTGTTGAGCATCCAGATCATTGACATCAGAAGCTGGGTACCCCCCTCGAATCCGCCAGAGCACATATTAATACCAGAGACTACGAGTTCCTCTGGTATTTGTCCAATGAGTTGTGTTCTTCAAATCAACAAGTAAAGCTTACTCGATACGAAATCATACTTGATTCCTATGATCGCGACAACTCCGCAGGCGATGTTTACGGTCAGGAAGATAATAACAAGGAAGATAAGCATCCTCCTAGATCTCTGATACATGACATGCAACCGAGAAATCATGATGACTTAGATCATATTTCAGTCGAGTCAATATCACTGAGGTATCGCCGCTGGGTAACTCACCGCCCAACATGGCAGTTACGACCATATTTGTCCCATTTACTGCATAGTATATGATATTGCCTGTAACACCCGATTAGTGGTCACTCTCGTACTAGGATCAAACGCTCCGACTCACACCTATTGAGCCATTATGTGGAGCCAAGTCCAATGGTCAAATCTCACTCACCCCTACAAATGAATCCATTCATTGGATAGGAACGAAATGATTGCGGAATACTCACTGCATCTGTCAACGAGATCAACGTAGTGGCTCCTGTGTGCCGCCGGTCAGAAGAATCGAACACGGTGCATATGAGACAGTAGTACCCAGAACATTGACACTGATAATGAGAGATGGACTATCAGTACAGCAACTACTTTTTGGCCTTGATTAACATACACAGAATATGGTATTCCAACATAGCGTATCTAGAACATTTTGGAGTCAGCACAACCGCCAACCATGCTATGGTATAAAATGAGGAACGAACGACTAGGTACAGCATGGTCATGTAAGACCAGCGTTGGGTCTGTCACACATTCATTGTTTTTGTTCTGATATGGAACTTGTAACTCACCCAAATGAGGTCAATCTATGACAACATTGTTAGCAAGTTGGGTGCCCCGGCGATAGCACCAACCTACCTCTTGTGGGAGTGTCAATACTAGAAATATGATGAGAATATCAGCAATTTCAGGACACTGTGCTGCTCACCCCAATCGTATACCACCACGAAGGCTGCGGCAACTACGACACCACCGTGACAAGTGGATGTTAGATCGAGACATCACCGTCAAACGATATGACGAACCAATCGAATAGCAAATATTTGAATTGATGAAGGGCCGCCAACTGGGATCATTTGAGACTAGCGTCATATTGGAGGATGGGTGTGTATGACGTGTGGTTGTAGATCGAAAAACACCAGTTATTTTCTCTAAGCCATCTACATCTGAAATATCAGTATTTATACTACAGTACGCTAGTAAAAGATAGCTGGTGGGTCTACGGTTCGTAAGTGGAATTTGATTTACACTCTGCCTGAATTGAAAATTTTCTCACGCGGCGTTCATTTGCAAATTTCTCCGACTCATATACCAGTTCACCTACTCTACAACTACCTCCTCGACACGGGTACATATTGACGGTCAACGTTCCATCTTTCAAATTTCAATATCCAGAACGTTCACTATAACCACCCGGTCTTACGTAATTCTCCTTTGCAAGTTTGCACCGACCACATGCAAGTATCTTACGCTCCGTTAGTTGGCATAGCCCCAACTCAATTTCCGATCTGATACTCCATTATAAGACCCGAATAGAGACCTTTAGAGCGTCTGTCTTGTCGACAGCAACGCCGCCCGCGCCTTCATCATTTTGTAAAAATTTACTTACATCCGCACAATCCAACCTGGGCCCACTCTCTGCCGTCATTAATCCCTGCGTAAACCGAGTTTACTTGTGACGGTGGTGTCGTCTTCTATGACAGCTCTCCCTGCCCCACTTTGCGTTCATCATTCACACATGCCTCGAGACTGAATGTCATATAGACCATCAACACAAGGTAACCATCTTCCGTGAATGATTGCACACATTTTTTGTCCTCAGATAACTGGTGCATTAGCGATACTTTGTCGGGTGTGCTTTACTTTTCGCTCAGCACAGATAGTCTGCGCGCTGATCTGACTCGCTGCCACTTCTTGTTTTGCTTTGCTCGGGTAGTGACATGATGGAGCCGACGTGATCCGATCAAAGTATGTATATCAAAATATCGTAGTCAGCGCCTTACTGATACTTTTCCAGGAGCGTTTGATACCTGACTCGAAGCCCGCTTTCCATCTCTCAGCACTTTTCATCTCCTTGCCATGCACATTCATTCTTGACACAGGCATTCTACTCACCTCGTAAGTCTGTTCTAAGTTGTCATGCTCGATATCGTCGAATCATGCTTGAATAGACATCGATCAGCGATATTGTGCCAGTAGCGCCCAAAAAGGAGTGGAACTGGATATCCGATGATCTGGTGTGACGCCCAATCACATGAGCCACCAACTGTTGTCCCGCTGCCTGCTGGCCACCTACCACGACCGCAGACCTTATTTCGAGCTCGAACGATGAATATCAAGGTATTTGTCCAGACTCGGATGATGAAGATGCGAATTGGCTTGATGATGGTGATATCACGGACCACGTGGATTTAGTTGGCGCAAGAAGAAATGAGTTTGATGCGGGTCAACATATTGTCATATCATCCACGTACCTCCTCGATATTCTGTCAGACCACCCCATACAACCCATGGCTACTCGCGGAGGTGATAGGTCCGTCGATAGCAAAGGTGGCGGCTGATCAAGATACAACTTCATCCTCAATGAGGAATGGTCATAGGTGGTGTAAATTACAGTCAATTTACCTGCAAATTAGCGCAAACAAGCATAAAAAAGCCATAGGTCAATTAGGTGTAATTTACACCTGGCCTTCGTAGAGGGTCATGCTAATTTGCCGGCCAATTAGCGCGGGAACCCTAATTCCCCGAACCCTAGACTCGGAGTCGGCGTTGAACTTGACAGCTCATGCTCTCAAGTTCAACGGCGACATCGGAGAGCTATGGTAGACCTGGACGTTAGATGAAAGGAACCTTGTCACGGTCGCCCCCATTCCTCGATAGCCTCATGGCAAACTGCCACCACCTGGAAGCCTCAGGCTGTCGCTGTCATGGCAATCTCCCGGGTCACTTGAGAAATGTCTACCGCAGGTCATATCTTGTTGAACCAATTCTTCGTTCTATTCTACAAAGCCCCGGTCAATTACTAGTCATAACAGTATTTAGAGCAGCAAAACACATTCATCCTCTAATGACCACCAACCATTTAGTCCCACTGTGGGCTCGACTCGTCCCTTTTCTTTGTTGTGCATCTTCCCCGCACAGGGCCAATAGTGCAGTATGCAGACAATTGATTAGTCTTTGCGTCTAATGACTCTTCTTCTTTGTAAAGCAATGTGCTTGTTGATGTACGTCGCACCTCCCTCTCCCTGCCTCCCGTGAAAATCCTGAGCGGACGCAATCATATGCAGAGTAACGCCTTCGTGGATATGGTCGAGGATGCAGGCGGTGAATCGGTATGACCCAGACTGAAGATATGATTCAAAAGATGCCGCTCGTCTCGGTGAGCTCATGTGCGCCAACATGTAGGATGGGGTGCAGTCCGACGCAAGTATAAGTTTGGATTTCTTTTGTTGTTGACTGGGCGTTTTGTGCACACAACTTAATCGCGTGTAAGATATGTTTGCTACCATTATATTGCAGCTCTACATAATATTTTTACTTTAACAAGATCCTCCTCGTCGTGTGTACGTACGCCAACTAAGAATTGACACGTCCACCATCCGATGAAGTTCCGTCGGAATGAATTTTAGACAAATCATACAACGGTGGAAGGTTCTTCAAGTTCTGAGTGCGTTGTTGTTGGAAATCCTGGTAAACCTGATCCTTGTTTGACCTCGAGAGGAATTGAATCGAGGCACCCTTGTCGTCATCGTTATTAGATGTGGGATTACCAAAGTTGAAGCTACATTCGTCGTCAGTGCCAGGGTGAATATATGCCAATAGAAAAAAACTTACACAGAGTAGACGTTGCGCATGAATATATCGCCAAGCAAAAAATCCATATCCGAGCCTGTACTCGACAGTTGCGGACGGAATGCGGAAGTGCAAACAGTGTATTGAGTGTTGCCGTCAGTAAAAGTTGCCAGCCTCGTCAATTCGAGAGGGTTAATGGGCAAATAATCGTGGCTGAGGGTCTGGTCAGTAGATATTCAAAATTAGAAGTACTGAAATCACGAACCCGAATGAGAAAGACAAATTTGCCTGGCTTAAACACGGCACGATCCAGAAATTTTGCCCATTGCTTTGTATATGAACCGATCCGTTGATAGCACCGTATATCGCATCCACAGCGTTGGAGGGAATGTATGCCAAACTGGTTCCACTGTCGATGAGAGAAATAGCGGTCCCTTTCTTCGCTCCCTTGACTACCGACTTGAGTGTCACGTCGTGGCCATTGACCTGCATGCCCGATAGTGCGATAGTCCAGCGCGATGACGTCGAAGGCGCAAGGGGGTATTTAGGTGTCCCGGAGACATCCTTAAATTGTGGGTCGTATTCTCCAATCGTGATAGCGCCTCCAGACGTATTTTCATTATCAGTCGTGCGCTCGAGCGCTAAAGCCATAAAATTCGGTGTTGTCGGATTTTGTTCAAGAAGGTTTGCCATTATAGGGAGGGCGGCTTTTTTCTTGATTTTTTTCTCGATCATGGATAGTGATATAAAGCCAAGACCGAGAATTCCATCGGCCCCTTGCTGGTATGTTTTGTCAACATTTAAAAACGCTAAAAATCTTAAGGAAAGGTCGAAAGAAGCTTTGATAAGGATCACCTTGGTTTTGCACTTGATAAGTCCCAAGTTGAACAGTGGTGTAAGCGATGTTTCCCGAGGCGGAACCAATTCCATATGTGAGGTTGAGATTGTCGGATGTCTCGCTGTTGATCTTGATTTGTTGACCAGTGACCCACTTGCGTCGATACAATTAGTTTCTAACATGAACTGTAAACAGAGAACTGCTCACCAGATCGCTGGACCCGGTATCGAGCACTAGGTTAAAATCTGGGTCGGAAAGGTCAGTGGATGTAGCCCCTAATAAGATGCACTACTTGCCATGTCCTCCTACGTTGACCTGCCCGAGGTACTAGATGAAGATTAAACACACGTTTGCGACCGAGTTCGCAATGCGTATACTCACCTCCAAGTCCGATTCACTAGTGACTGAAACGAGTGACCCAAAAGTTGTGTTCGTAGCGTCGTTTGTCGGTTTGTAATGAGCATTGAAATAAAATCCAATCGAATGGTCGTCCTTAATGATGGCGAGGGCATTGCTTTCCAGAAGCTTGCCACAGATGACGAGAGCGAAGGCGAAAGTGGCGAACGGCGTTGAAGACATAGTTGCTGTGTTGAAAGAATGAATGTTGAAAAGTGGATGGATGACAGACATTTATTTATCGGATTATAAACATTTTACTAAATTGATTTCAGTTCAGATGAACTGACCTTCAATGACGGCGTATGACGTCGTGATATTTGAGAACTTCTGAGACATTGCGAATGTAACCGCGGAATCATCAAGAATGAGCGAGATAGTGGCACTTTGAGAGTTTTCTTTCTGGGCGATCGCAAGAAAGCATCCAACTACTCAATCCATGACAGCCTGCGGGATATAGCACGTCCAAAAGGTCGATACAAGTGATAGAGAAGGTGTTTAGCGAGAATTACAATTCGGACTGGAGCATCACAGATGGGCGAGACCGGTCCGATCGATGCATACCAAAGTCCTGATAGTTTGTGCAACATTCTATACAATCAAAATATGAGTCTACGCAATAATATTAAGGAGCAAGCATTGGACAATTCACGCATAATCCGCCCTGCAGACTGATGCCATCTGCCCTTTATATCCACGCCGACGAAAGCGAACGAAGGGGTTTGAATATTCCACTTCATCGATTAAATCCCCTGTGATGAAAGCAAGCGCCTTCACAGCAAGATCATTCACACATACAAGATTATTTCTTCCTAAGTGTCTGATCAGCACTCCTCTACGTCTATTCAATACAGCCAAAAATCATTGGAGGAAACAACATTCTTTGCGTCGCAGTGAGAACTGGTGTCCAATCGGTAGAAGGGCAGATCACATACCATTGAAGGTGAGCTGAGACACATTTTAAGAGTCTACAGTACTCCCTCCCGCCACTTCCAGTATCTTCCAATCTACTTCGATCTGCTCCTGCTGGAATATTTCCTGTATTTTCCCAGCGATGCTGTCGAAATTATGTGTTGCAAGCGCAAGGATGGTCGGCCCTGCACCAGAGAGGCAAATGCCAAGCAGGCCAGGATGTGAAGCAGGGGTAATCAAAGAAGTGACTGCTGGCAGACCAGGTATCTGAAATGGTGGTCAAGAAGTGCAACCTACACAGAATGAAAACTACTTACAAGAGTTTTCCGATACGGCTGATGCACGCGATCTTTCATAGCCTCAAAAATTAATTCCGGGTCTGGTGGTGTCTGACCGAGAGCTGTGGTGAGGACAGCTAATCGTTGCATATTAAAAACCTGTGAGGGTTTTATTCAAGACATTATACTTTATATGTATACGAGAGCACGCACCAGATCCTTCCTTGAGTAACTCTCTGGTAGAACAGCTCGCGCTTTTGCAGTACTGAGTTCAAATCGGGGTATGATGGCAACAGCTTTGATGCTACTGTTCCATTTAAATCGGACGTAGTGACCGATACCCAACGGCGGAACAGGTGGGGAAAGACCCCAGTTTTCTCCAGCATCAGGGGGGTATTCCGGAAGGACTTCAGAAAGGGGTACTTGTGCTGCCTCAGTAGCTTGTGGGTCTAGCTCTCTAAGGTATGATCCTACAAATCCTCCAACAAGCGCAGCTGTCACATTATCGGGGTGGCGCTCGACCATGAGTGCGTAGTCTAACATTCGCTCTCGGGAGAGGTTGAGTTTCCCGAGACTGTCTCCGAGAAGAACGCCTGCAATGACCGCTGCGCCGGACGAGCCGAGTCCACGTCCAAAAGGTATTTGGTTGTGACAGTGAATACTAATGGCGGGAGGGAATGCCCTATGGCCATTGCAACGTAGCACGTAGAGTGCTACGCGGGTCATGAGGTTGCGGTACGGGTCCAGCGGGACTTCATCAGCTCCTTCACCCGAATATGTGATCACTGGTAAGGTAGAGGTCTCTCCGGTGGTGACAGTGAGAGTAAGATAGAGTGAAAGTGACAAGCCAACGACATCGAAGCCAGGACCAATATTGGCCGAGGTTGCTGGAACTCGTATTGTAAACGAGTTGGTCATGTCCAACAATCAGACTGACCAGTCTGTCTATGGCCTGGTAAATTTGGATAGTGCGCGCTTTGGAGCAGTGACGCGATCTTTAGCCAATGAGAAAACTGACAATTTTAACGTGAATACTAAAATTATTGTTTGAAATTTGACGCGACGCGTCGCGTCAATCTGCACTACGACTCGCTTCAGTGTTCCGTCATTCAAGCGAACATCATTAGTCCTTCGCTCGCTCTCCGATAGGAGAACCAATTATATTCCGGCCGCATCAGAGGATCACCCTGTTTGGATCTAAGGCTTTTGCCAAACAAGCGCCTACTTTAGGGAAAATCCGATATCCAAACTTAAGTACAAACGTGGGGACAGCAAAATCTTTATTAAATCGCACAACTCTGGATGGGAAACTGTATCTCATAATGCATCATTGCACAATTTCTCAATGGAACCATCCTGATCAAAGGTTATATATTACGAGAGTTACGCATTATGAGATAGTCTACTGTATGCGCCATCACAACACGGGAATTGTTATGTGCAGTCTGTGGTGGGTGTAGCGCTCATGGTTGCGAGCGCACTTGTGAGGATCAAGTGCCAGAATCCGTAGGTACGGAAGAGACACTCGAGGTAGTTGAGGGAAGCGGCGAGTCACCAATGGAGGTGGTTGTCGTGGTTGTGCCGTTCTGGCCAGGGGCAACGACAGTAAACTGATAGAGTTGTCAGTGACAAGATAAATATTGCTGCAACTCGCAACTCACGTAGATTTGATCATCTAATGATCCATGCTGCGCCACAGCGACAAGAACTGGTTGGTGGTTCATTGCGGTGACAATGGTAGACATCTTATACGTCCCCTCAGGCAAACCATTAGTGATGCTGGCATGAAGTTGACCACTTGCATCTGCCTTGCTGTTCAAACCAACAAAGAATGCGAACTTGCTGGGGTCGGTTGGGGTAGTCTGCGTAAGGGACTGAAGCGCCTCGATAACGATGTGGGCGTGACCCTGGATTTGCCCAGATGTAGGATCAATTTGCTGGGGAGCAGAAAAGTAATTGGTATCCGGATTCACAAAGAACCCAGTCTCGATTCCTCTAATCGCCAGTGTCACCTGGAAAGTGGTGTTCGCTGGAAGAACAGCCAAGTTGTTAGGACTGACGAACTTGGCACTGGGCATATTCGAGGTGGAAGGGATGGCACCCATGGGAGCGGGGTTGCAGGAACCACCTTGAATCTGTTGGCCGTTCGTTATAGGGAGATTAGACAACGTGGCACAGTAGTTGATAAAGTTGTTGGTGGATGTCAAAGAAGGAACTTCGCCAGCCTCGGAGGTGTTTGTGTTCTGACCGTTCTGAGCAAAATTAGGAGCGACAAGGCTTGACAGTAGAGTCAGGGAGGTCTGAGCATTTGAGTTGGAATTTGACCCAGAGCCTGTTGTGGAAGTGGCTACAAGAGCTGAGCTGGATGTAGCAGTCGCATTGGAGGGGCTGCCTGTCGTACTTGTTCCGTTGGCAGTGGCACCGGTGGCAGCAATACGAGAGTTCAGGTCTGCTTGAGTGGTGCAAGTGATGCTAGTTCCAGCAGAGTTGACAAGAGGAAGTGCAGCACATCTAATTGGAAGGTCGACTAAGTATTGACATTGGAACATAGTCAGACAAAACAAACTTACGTTAAACCTGATCCACATGAAGTGAGGACGTATTGCCCGTTGACGCACTGAGCAAACTCCCCATTGACACAAGCATTGCCAGATGTACAAGGTGAGGATGCAGTCAGTGACTGGAATTGGTTGCTGAAATCCAGAGTTAGATTGTTAAGGGACTGCATGGAGCCGACGCGACGTACTTCAAATTGATCGCGTCGATACCATTCTGCAGCACAAAGCTTCCCCCACGACGCTTGAGGCTCGGAAGAGCAGTGGCGAAGGAAGAGAGCACGAGAGTTACAAAAACGGAAAGCTTCATAGCGTAGATACACTGGTATATTGTCGACTTCAGCGGCGAAGAAGTGTTTCAAAGGTTTGTCTAAGACCAGCTTGTGGAAGACGGCAGTCAATGCCGGGTCGTAAGTTAGAAGCAAAGAAGATGAAGCGAAAGAAGGCAGCAGACACAGTCTACTTCGTCACTGACGAGGGTATGATGAACAGGGCGAGTACGAAATGCATGCCGTGGCATGGTCTTTATACTTGACGCAAAGTATTAGTATCAGGAACAATGGAACAAGATATAATGGGATCATGCCTCTCCACCACAATAAAGAAGCACCTCGTTCATTGCCAACGCGAGCATGTGTTGTGTTTTGCTACTCGTTGTTGTTCGACGTACTTGGTTGTTGTCCACAAGAAGAGTTCTTATTGTCACCACCACTAATGACTACCAAACTTGGACGAACATCTTTCCACACGTCACGATCGATTTAATCGGTTTTGCAAACTCCCGGCTGGTTAATCTTCCTAAGTATTGCCAGCCAGCGCATAGGATGATGAAAGCTAATACAGATCACGAAACAAGATGTACTATGATTCTGTTCGTAATATCTGAATCAGCTCTGAGAATGACCCTCATTTGGCAGAACAAGGATATCAATTACTCCTCAAGGAAGAAGTAGTTACCCGCGACTGCCAAAAACGATATTAAAGACTTTGAATGACTCAAAAGACCAAATACATACCCTTCTGCTCTTTGTCCTTTACACTGTTAAGCTTGTTGACTCTTGGCCTGAAGTTCGTGGGATCACGTCTGAATGTGACCTCAAGCGATGCCAAGAAGTGGTTCATTCCAGTGAGGAGGGACTGCGGTCTGCAAAGCGAATTAACTAATGCGTGTGAGCATAGTGTAACCCAAATTTCTTACGGCGTAGAAGTTGCTCGAAGAGAGGGCTCCCCCTCAAAGACAACGACGCGGTCAGCCAGATAGGTTGCCATGATGAAGTCGTGTTCGATGACAAAAGCAGTCTTCTTCGCATGAAGGATAAAGCTGATGAAAGTATCGATCAAATCGAAATGTAGACAACTAGATCGGTTGCTTACCGCTTGATGACCTTACTTGCGATGATACGTTGCTCGGAGTCGAGGAAACTTCAATTCTGTATTAGCATACTCATTTACGGAGAACGAGGTTGGCGTACCTGCTTGGTTCGTCAAGCAAATACACGGATACATTGGGTTTGCCTTAAGTCCAGATGTCAGCCAACACGAAACGAAATCAAAAAAAGTACTCACCGAGTGCAAGAACAATAGCTACACGTTGCAGCTCACCTCCAGAGAGCGTCTTCACATCCTGATCCATAATATTATCCAACGTCATTGGTTTGACCACGTCCGTTTGGAATTGCGGGTGCATGAAGGCCGCTTTAATTTGCTTCAGCAGAAGCATGCGGACAGTTCCTGGGAACTTTGGTGATATCGTCTGCGGCTTCAAGGACACTGCTAACTCCATTTTGTCTGCCTCGTCGTCCGGCGTCGTCACGCCAGCAAGCAGACGGACAAAGGTTGTCTTGCCTGTCCCGTTTTCGCCAAGCATGACAATAATTTCCGAATCAGTGAAGCTACCGGACTCAACAGTGAGCTTGAAGTTGCCCATTGTCTTCGTCATAGAGGGATAAGAGTAATGACGGGTCTTGTCAATGATGAGCTCCTCAGCAGTCTCCATCATCTTGAAGCTCAGAGACTCCTCGCGGAAACGCAAATTCTCGGTGGGAATGAAACCATCCAGGAAGATGTTGATACCTTGTGAAAGAGTGAGCCATTTCACAGCGAGTTGTTGGGTAAGCTTTCACCTTCACGGACAGAATAAGGCATCGTCACAACACCATACATCGATGGCTTTCCGTAAAGACAACAGATAAAATCTGAAAGATAATCCAGTACTGACAGATCGTGCTCGACAGCGATGACATAGCAGTCCGGGGTGAGTAGGGACCGGATGACCTCAGCAGCCTTCAACCGTTGTTTTATATCGAGATAACTCGAAGGCTCGTCGAACATATATCTACACAAGACCGAGTTTAAAGCGTGGTTTATGACTAAATTAGAACATACGCACACATCGGCATTCTGGATACATGACATGGCGATCGCGAATCTCTGCAGTTCTCCACCAGAGAGTGCCGAAACTTCACGATCAAGAACGTTATTCAACTCTAGGTCATCGCACATTTTTTGCTTGTTGTCAAGCTCGAGTTTCGAGTCCAACATTTGTGAGACGGTCAGGTTGCCTTTAATCGCCCGAGGAATGTGGTCAACATATTGTGGTTTGATGAGTGCTTTCAAATTGTCCTCTAGGACCTTAGTGAAATAGTTTTGCAGTTCGGACCCACGGAAGTAACGCAATATTTCTTGCCAGTCAGGAGGATCCTGCCAGGTAAAAATCAATGCTGCCCTTGAACAGTCCCACTGGCATATCACTCACATCATAGCGGCCAAGATTCGGCTTCTGTTTTCCAGCAAGAATCTTTAGTGCTGTGCTTTTACCAATTCCATTAGTGCCAACGAGTCCGAGAACCTGACCAGGTCTTGGGGTGGGTAGTCGATGGAGCTTGAAGGCGTTGGCGGTATAACGATGCGTCACTTGAGATTCCAAGTTAGTAGGTAAGTTGATGATGGCGATAGCTTCGAATGGGCATCTAAGAGTTTCCTCAATCATTTAGTCGATCTTCGTAAAATGATCCACTCACTTCTTTACGCAGATACCACAACCGATACATAAAAACTCTGAGATGAACGCTATCTTATCGGTCGATTTTACTTCTATGCAAAGTTTGCCTGGAAGGTCAATTAGCATGAGCACTCTGCCAGTGCTTCGGGTGGAGGCGCACCCATTTTGACCACAGGACATGACTGCTCGCAAACTGATGAGTGACTGATCTGACGTGACTGCTCGAGAGGGAGTGGTGCATCACCTTCTTGCATTCCTGGGCACATCGCTTTGGCTTGCAGCGATTTGCGTCTACGATGGCGATACGGGTGATTTTATCAGCCATCGTTGCAGGCTAGAGACGGCGGTTGACTCTTGGATCTGATTCTTTGCTTGCAGCGATGACGGATCGGCAGTAGTATGTTACTGTCTGTACTATGTAGGTGATACAACGAAGTTGATTGGCTACGACGAGCATGTTTATTTACATAAATGATTTATAAAAACTTTTGCTGGTTATCTAATTATTATCTTATCTCCGTGTCTACCATACTCGTCCCAGCTGTCGACTCAGACTACCATGGCGTTGCCTGAACAGATCGTTACTGTCGATGCTGATGCTGTACGTGTCTATTTCGTCAACGGAAAAGTTGGGCAATGACAATGACTACTGCGGATTTAAAACCCTCGTACTCAGATCCTTTTCGATCTGGATGGGTATGTCACTATTAGTCTTCTTAATCTGCCATGTCTGATCACTGTACGCCAGGACCCTCATAGATTCCACTCCTGGCGTCATTTCAGCCTGGAAAATATTCGCGGAGGAATACAAACTTGGATCACATCTTCCTATCGTACAGAAAACTCATGGTCGGAGACTTGCTGATACCCTGAGGGACGAGACTATATGCAATATCCAGGACACAAAACTTTTGGATGTGGGTGCGACCTCGTTCGATGCTTGTAGTGACCCCGCTAATTCTGCAGAGCGAAATTTTGCGCTTCGAGGACTTGGTGATCCAGGGTAGCCCAGTGGCTCTCGAAGGAGCTATCGAGTTCTTGGCTCAGGTAAAACTTTCGAAGTCACATACATATTGCATAATCGGCTGACTATTACATCGCTCGAAGCTGGACTCACACCATGACATGCGCACTAGGTGGACAATTGTCACATCAGGTAGCGTGGCAATCTTGTCTTGTTAATGGTGCACCGGAGCTCCCTGAACCATAGCTTCGAGGTACTATGCAACTCAATGCATACCAAAGTGCGAAATTCCGGTGCCTGCGTCAGGGTTTGTGACGGCAGATGATGTTAGCGAAGGAAAGCCAAAGCCCACACCGTATCTTGAAGGAGCAAAGAAACTTGGGATTGATGTGACTAAGTGTGAGTCAGACGATACCTGTTTCTTTTTGGCGCCTTATTTGCCCCAGGTCTCGTCATTGAGGATGCACCGTCCGGGGTGCAAGCAGGAAATAGTGCCGGTGCAAAGACGCTCGCAGTTTGTACCTCCCACAAACGTGAGGACTTTGAGAACTGTTCGGAGGAAATTAAGCGCCCCACGTATATCATTGATGATCTGACTAGGTGAGTTGCGATGCACTCAGAAGCATCACTCACAAAAGAAACCATTCATAGAGTACGCGTGAATTGGGAGAATAGCAAGATTCGACTTACGATCGATACCCGTAGAGGACCTGATTCGGATTAACAACATTATAGTCGCAACTCCCACGCAGTGGTGGTTCCAGGTTTACTTAGGCTTCCGAGTCAAGGCACGATACAATACAAAACAGGAGGGTACCCACTGATGACAGAAGCTGCCTCATCGTAACAAACAAGCAATTGGCTTTCACAGAGTCGCTGACTCTAGTAAAAGAAACACATATTTAAGTTGCCACCGCTTCAAGTTGCAGTGGCACTTACAGGCTTCTTCTGCCGATACTTCATTTGACACGAACAGACTCACTGGCAGTGTTTATTGAAGTGAACATTTGGTTCCGAATCCCCAACGACACTAGTAGCCTTCTTTCTTTTGGGCGGTGGTGCGCTAGCATCTTCTTTGAGTATCTCCATCGCTTCAAGTTTCTTCTACAATGGCTTGATACAGAGTGACTAGGAAAGAACACCATATCCTACCAGTTGATAATGTGTTCACTAATGCCATGGGCGAGACATATCAAATGAGTCTAGGTGTCATTTGTTCCTGGAGGAAATGTGAGACAAGTTAATGCATGCCCTTGGATGTCGGCTAGTTCCAGGTACTCACTAGCCCATGGCAATATCGGGTGCACGAGGAACCGGCAATTGACAGATATCGAATTAACTTGAGTATGGCTGCAAAAATTAATATTGAGCTAATTGTCTCATGTGAGTTCGTTTCAGAGAGTATGAAGCAAGATCAAAGCCATGGCTCGACCTTTGTTTGGTCTTGTTGACATTACGTGAGCATCGCGGCGCGTTTTTGAATCCGAATGATGAGCAACTCTTATGCCTTCGAGTTATAAGCAGCAGCTGGGAATATCTATCACGTTCTTTATCCGTGCCAGTCTAAGTGCAGCCAGGCTTGCAGCCCTCCTCGTATCATATTTTCAGTCATCTCTATACCTTCTCGGCTCAGCTTTGTATGGTACAACCCAAACGTTTATCCACCTTTAGAAACCTGTCCTTCTTTTCCATCCCCGTCTTACAGGCGTGTGGGCTATGGGCATTTTCTGTTTCCGTGCGTTATCTCCAGTCCCCGATCCAAGTTGTATGTCGTTCTGGGATCACGCGGGAAGAGCTTGTGGCCCTACTGCTTTTGTTCTCGTGCGCGGGCAGGAAGTCAATTTCATCCAATTACTCTTGCCCGATACAACTCAAGTCTTCCTTTGTTTTCCTTTCACCTCCTTTTTGTGTGCCTGCCTCTATATGTTGTTTTGAGATTTGGCCTTTTTTGACATCTCTTTGTAGTCATGCGTCCTGCGGAGATGCCCCTCCTTCTGGCATCCCCCATCCATTCCGTAGTCTTGGGTGGTCCCAAGACTCCTCGCGCGAGTTTGACGATGCGGAAGGCCTGTTACACATTGCAATTTTATATCTCAGTGGTGCTGTGCGAGTTCTGGACGTCACTCTCATGATAAGCTGTCCCACTTTGAAATCTCCTTCAGAACAACGACTAACTTATATATAAATACTACGACGACGAAATTTCGAACGAAAAGCGTTCTTTCTATATAAGTGTTAACCACATTAAATATCGCCTGCTACACACTACTGCTAGTCGACACATGCACGCGTTCCTCGAAAGCAATTGAGGTCATGCCGGTTATGGCATGGGAGCCGGCCACGAGCTTAGCCTTATATTCTCGAACGCCAAGAATCAAACGTGGTCCTAGTACAAACATCCGCACAAGTTGGAAGATGTCAAGCAAACCAAAGTAAATTTGAGTTCCCAGGGCAGTTGTATCCTGTAGAAATGATGAATAGTGGTCGTATGCGTGGCAAATCAGCATACCCCTGGCATCGTCGAAAAAAAATAACTGAGATCGAAGCACGAAACAATAACAACACTAGCGTATGCGGAACCTCATCAGCGGACTAAGCGACCCACAATGGCTTATGAGCTCACCTTGTGAAGTAAACCATGTGAGTTTTCATCAACACCGTGAAGCTGTCCTTGATAAGTCCTCCCGCTGAATGTTGTCGCAGTTCATAGAAGTGTTTTACAGCGACCCACACTGCGAAAATCAATGCGAGCACCTCCCATACAGCAGTGAATATCCAAGTCATGGAATGCAGGAATATATCATCAAAGCCAACTGTGCATTGAGAGGTGCCGGAGAGAACCAGTTCCTCTGGTATTCCTTCATGAGCCTGACACGCCTGAATATTCGAACCATGATTAAGCGTACCCCATGAATTCTTCCTCACTGATATCGCAACGACCACTCCGTCGAAAATGTTGACAGCAAGGAGGATGACGATGAGAAATATCAGCACCTTTCTAGATCGTTGATACATAGCGTGTAACCGAGCAATCAAGATGACTTGCATGATGTTTTAGTCAACTCGATATCATGGAGGTTTTGCGCAGCTCACCACCCAATGCCGCATATACAACGACACCTATCCAATTTTCTGCGAAGTTCAGAATAAAGCCTGAAAAATCCAGTAATGTTAGTGGTCAGCCTCAGAGGCTTGGATACTCAAACCCAGCTCACAGCTGCGGCAGTCATTAGTTAGACCAACAATATGGCAGAAAATTCCACTCACCCCTACATGGGAGTGCAGTTCATTAGACGGCCATAAACATTGGTGTAGAATACTCACTGCATCTGTCATTGAGATCGTTGGAACCCAAACTGCATATCGCCAGTCAAAAAAAAACGTCGTGTGTAGGAGGAGACACAAGTACTCAGCATATTTATGCTGATTGTGAGACATGATTAGCACAGTGCCAATAACTCAGCATTTCAGACATACATGGCATATGATATTCCAAGATAGCGCACCTAGAATATTTTCCACGTCAATACAACTTGCCGACCAGACTTATGACACAGGCTACATACACTGAGATACAAGACAGTGAAAAGGGACCAGGGTTGCCTCTGGCGCGAACCAATTCTATTTCAAGCTGTTCTTCTACAATGCAGGAATCTGCTCACCCAGACCAGTTCAACCTATGGAACTAGTAGGTTAGTTTTTTATTCTTGCTCCGGTCATGACATGAACGTACCTCTTGTCCGAACGTTAGGACTAGAAATACCATAAGTACATGAGCATTTTTTTTATTACTAGCTTGCTCACCCCAATCATACATCACCCCAGCGGAGCCGGCAACTGCGAAACCATAGTTTATGTTGGATCAGGAAATCATCCGAGTGGTCATCCACGAACCTACAAAATAGCTGGAAATACGATACGAATAAATGGACGGCCACCAACTGGGATCATATGAGACTAGGGTCATAGTATTTTCGAGAATGGATATGAGTGAGCTTGCGAACTTGGTAGACGCTTGACGATGGCGTTTATGTACTACCATCCGATTGCACGGCCCAAACCAACAGGAACGACCATCTTCCTTCGTCCATAAAGGGCTGTGGCAGTGGGGAAGACTAAGCCAAAACAAGTATAAAGGGATGGTATTCGCTGTCGTTATGACCAATTAATGTAACGTGAAACACACCAGATACACCTCTGGAAGATGTTAAACACTGGTCCGTTGCTCGTGATCAAATCAGACCTTTGAAATATCTCCTGGATCCATAAAGCGACAGATATAATGATCATCATAGCAGTTGGCATCGGTTTGCCTGAATCCGAATCTCGTTGGTGGCTGATGGTGGAGAAACTTAGTTTCCCATGACCAGACAGAGAACGTGGAAGACAACCATGTGTACCTTCTTGATTAAAGACCAGCGCATCCAATAGTCTGAAGGATCGCCGCCACAATCAAACTTGATAGATGTGCCCACTGTTGGTAGTGCAGAATCATGATGTGGACAACAGATTTGTACCCTCACAACCTCCATGTCAATTCACGTTTTTCACGTGGATGCTCCGTTCTTTCGCTTCTCGAGCGGTCTATCGCACATCAATTGAACATCACATTGAGATTGTTGGTAATGAGACACTGACTTTCTTCCTCGAATGACCTGTGCGATGAAGTGTTTGCTTGTGGACAGTGTCAAGTTTTTTTGTCGAGCATCGCCAATCTCATCATGGAACTGACATCTAGATACATATCACTGTCACATGTATCCTGTTAGCTTGGAATGATAAGACAGAAAAAAACGTAAGTGTTGTTCACCTGCAGTGCTCTGATGCGCAGCCTGAGGGCCAAGTTGATGCGACATGAGCTGGGCCCTGCCAGTGGACCCCGGTGGCATATATGAATGAGGCTTGGCGCAGCATCATGATGAACAATGGTTGACCCCTGACACAACTTGAACATACCATGGGTGATGCGGCGTAGTACCATGCACTGGATTGTGGATTAGAAGCTTATACGGTCGATATACGGTAGTAGTAAGTTACCTCCGACATGTCATGTGATGTGAAGATGATACTGTATTTCTGTCGTTGTACAACTTGAATTGTATGCCCGGTCATCACAACTTGATACCGCAGAGCAGCGTTTTCGTGATACACCGCCCTGGTGTCATTTCGAGTGTGATGCCTTTGAGAGTGTTCACCATATTTTTGCTCGCTGCCCGGCCTTCTCAGCGGCTAGTATCCGTCGTGCGCATGGCATGCAGCTGTGTGATGAGACCTCCTCGCTGCTTGAAGGCAAGGCTGCCGATCGTTTGGAACGAGCAGCTCAGCGCCTGTTTTCTGAGGACGCAGAGCTTTGACCACAATATCGAACGCGTTTTTACATGGGTGTGCTACCCCCACAGTCTCATGATATGGGCAACTTTGCGTCTGGTAATGCGGGTGTCTTACCCCCGCAGCTGGATAGTACGACGATAGAACCTAAGGTGTTGTCACGATTGGCGCAGGCATGGCACGTGCATAGTATTCGGCTTGCAGGACGTATTTGGGGAGTACAAACGACGTATAAGGTCTCTGAATGCCGTTCCTTCTGATATAGTCGCATATAAGTCTTTGGACACTTATGCGTACCTCTTACCAGCGAGTTTGCGAGCTTTGCTTTGATTTCGGATGTTTGACTGGATTCGGGACGTTTTTGTTTGATTGGTAGTTGAGCGCTGAGCCATCGAGGAACCTAGTTACCTGAGCTTATGTGAGCATAGATGGCCAAATATCAAAATTCAAAATTCAAAATAATAGCCATCGAGGTACCTAGGTACCTGAGCTTTCCTGAGCGCCAACATCCACTAATAGTTGTTCGCAGTATGCGGACCCCTGGACATTAGGTATAATACTTATACTACACATATTTGACACAGTATAACATGTAACGTCGTTCGGCCGCGCTGCGCAGTCCCCAACATATTTGTATAGAATTTGAATGTGAAATATGTACTTGATCGCCCCAGAATTCTCCTGGAACGTTTGGCAACGAGTCAGTCAGATCTCTTAGACTCCTGGTACCTAGTAAGTTTGATAATCTGAATTTCCTTCAAGCTCCGACACAACAGTCACGGGGGCATTTGCGAATACCAGTATCTGGCGACAGAGGTGAGGAAGGTGCTACTAGTATGTGCCCCTTCAAGTTACATCTCGGGAACAGGACAGCTTCTGCAGTATGCTGCCCGAGTTTGTGCATAACGGCAATTAAACAAGACATCCGTTGCAATATAATGCTATGTAGATAACCTAGGAATTTGAGCTCGAGCCTGCATGCAGCCTTCCATGGCGAGGTCATGTATAAGTGTGATTAGACGGATTACTGGTAGAGTCGAGAAAGTCCCATTCATAGTATATCATCGACAACCAGAAAGCGTTTTGCACGCATCAAATGACAGACGGCATGATATTTATCTTGTACACAATTTGTTCAGGACCTTCTAGACTAACTAATAGTGGTGCCGGGGGTTTTGGTGATTTCCACTTTAGCAAGTGTAATGGATCATAAACGATCGACCGACTACGGTCTCTCTACTTCTTCCAGTGGCTTGCCGTGAGCCGCCGCGTATAGTGCTTCTTTGTCCCCAGACTCGTCCACGAGAGCACGTAACATACCGTGTTCATTTCGCAATAGCTCCCATGGGCTGCCAAATTCAACCTGTACAACTTGGTTGGTACGGAAACACAATACAAGATGAGATACTCACAAGTTTACCGGCATCGAGTACCATCTATTGAACGGATCATGAGTCATCAGTACACAATAACCCAATTCCGAACACGCACAATTTTGTCAGCATCAATGATCGTCTGCAGCCTATGTGCAACGATAATCTGGGTCACGTTATTCAGCTCATTGCGAAGAGAAGATTGGATGGCAGAATCGGTCTTATAATCTGCAAAGAATTATAGCGTGGTAAAAATTCACAACGCGTGAGGTACACACCAATAGCGGAGGTTGCCTCATCTAGTATAAGCAATTTGCTTCCGCGGACCATAGCTCTAGCTAGAGCTAAGATTTGGCGTTGACCAACTGATAGATTCGTTCCTCCGCTTGCGATCACACTGTCTAATGTTAACCTCCCCTCCTCGAACTCGTCTTGGACGGAAAAGAGTCCGGCAGCGCGTAAAGCATCGTAAAGCACCGCATCATCGTGCTGATCGAAGAGATCCAAATTCTGACGGAGCGTTCCGCTCAGGAGCTCGGGCTGCACGGGATGAAACGTGTCAGTAATGTGAACGAGCAACGGCACAAGGAGCGTACGATTTGAGGTATGATGGTCACGTTCGACCGCAGGGCATTCAAATTGATCCCACTTGTCGGAATTCCGTCATAATAAACATCGCCTTCTGTAAAATGCAGCGAAGGAGCGAAAGGGTCAAGGAACTCTTTGGGACAGTCAATATAAGTCAAGGTAGATAACGCAAACAAACATCACCTTTCCGCTTCCAGTTCGCCCCACTAAATTCGGATTAACTATCGAATTGGAAGTGGAAGCAAGCAAGCTCGTGACGTACCTATACCAACGCGTTCGCCTGATTTGATGTGGAAAGACAGGTCCTGCAAAACTTTAGGTCCGTCCTGCAAGCGATGATTAGGTAGAACGCGAAGACACGATCTAACACTCACCGATGAGTAGCGGGCCGACAGATTTTCTACGCGGAGATCGCCGCTTGCAGGCCAGTACGCAGGTGGCTGGCCGCCTTCGGTAGGCTTAGGTTCCTGTTCGATCTTGATATAACTATCGATCCGTTCCAGACTACTTCACGTAAGTCGCAGTCGGAGACATCATGTATCCGTACTCACCTGTTGCCTACAAAAATCAGTTAGACACAGGAGTTATGCAAGAAAGTAGCTCACCGTTAACTTCCACTTCGTTGAGGATACGAATCCACCAAAGGATCATAGAACTGAAACCGACTGTAAGGTGTGAGCGAAAATCCGCAATGGGCACATCTTGTAAATAAAATTTACCTGCCATGTTTAGAGAGAATCCAATGTTTGACGCTTCATGGACTCCACGACCGTACACTAGGTAAGCGGCAAGAGCAGCAGAGAATCCACCGCCGATGACATCAATACGGATACAAACCCAACTGAGAACATCCGTTAGCGCTCAGTCGCTCCGCAACCAACACAAACGAACCGATTTAAGTTATAGAACATGCGCGCTGATTTAGTGTAGCGGTCAATGCGATCAAGAGATTCATCTTTAAATGCCTCCTCTGCACCATACGCGCGGATCGACACTGTTTAATGAATGAGCTCGCATATCATAGAAGCCCGGCAATCGCTTACCAAGTCCTGCAATAGCAGCCCCGAAGTGACCAAGGACCGGTGCTTTCGCATTACTCATTTCTCGCTTGACCGATAGCTGAGCTTTCATGTAGATACGGCCGATCCATCCACCTAGCAAGCCGATGAAGAGACCGGGCAGCAAGAAGACAGGAGTCATGACCACAACGGCTCCGAGTTTCACGACCATAGTCAAAGAAAGTTCGACGACCCAACCAATTCCCTGCGCAAACGGACCATCAACTAGATAACCTATCAGTGAATGCTGACCATCTAGAAGCAAGCGACTGACTGGCTCTTATGTCCTGTGTGCACCGGGTGATGACTCGAGATGTAGGTGTCGTGTCTAACCATCTGTCCAATAATGAATGTATGCATGACTGCAAAATTCAGGGAGCACACCTTAGCGTTGTTCCAAGTACAGATTGGACGAGTTTCTTGTGAATGGTTCGTGACGCCCGCATTGAACCTCGATAGTACAGGTAATACCCAACCGAATACATGAGACAGCCAGAGAGCATGAGTAAGGCATATACAGAGAGATAGCTTACAATAAAGGTGAGTAACTGATTCACGAACAACAAGTATTCTTACAATTTGACATCGACCTCTGAGGGTAGATGATGTTCATATTGAGATGCCCAGTACCCAAGGAACCAGGTTTGCACAGTGTTGACGAAGTCCGTCAACCCCATCAGAGCCAAGAACACGACCCAGAACGTTATAGGATAGTTCCCCCCCAAGCCGGTCAAGTAGAGCTTGACTGTAACGCGATATCAACAAGGTACCAAGGATGTGTGGAGGGAGGAACCAACAAGCTGGCCAGGAGACATGGCCCTCTGCAATCTCCTCAGACATCACCAACTTGCCATCGGACTTGGCCTTCGGTTCTTCTAGAGTGTCTAGAACCTGGGCATCTTTAGCGAGGACTTCCTGTTCTTTAACCATTTCCGCTGCAAGCTTGTCGTCCTTTGCAATGGCCTCCGATACCGATCCATGGCTGACAATCCGTCCGTTGGAACCCATAGACACGACGAAGTGCGCTATAGAACTCGCCATAACGACATTATGTGTCTGCCCTGCCTTAGAAAAGGGGTAGTCAAATTTAACCTACTGCACGTACCACAAGGATAATTGTTCGATCTTGGACGAGATCTCCTGCGAAACACTTATCTACAATCCACTTGGATGTATGGACATCCAGAGCGGCCAAAACCTGTTTGTGTCTACTCACTAATCGTTCAGAATAGAGATGAAATGACCAACATCATCAAGCAACAGCGTGTTCGCCGAAGAATAGATAGCTCTTGCAAGGGTAATTCGTGCCTAGCATGTTTCAGCGGCCGCGTGCCCACTCATGAAGAATGTTATTACCTTCTGACCACCACTTTGAATACGAAGTCAGACTTATAACAAACGAAAGCTCAGTCCATTGAGCTTACCTTAGCGTAAGACCCTTTTCTCCAACTTCCGTTTGGTCGCCCGCTTCGAACAAAGTTAGGTCACGCTCCAGAGCACACTGGTACAAGACTGCACTCAAACATTTCAATAAACGTTCACAAGGGCAACTGAATATTTACCTTTCTTGTATCGAATCTCGTCATAGGGTGCGCCAAAAAGAATGTTGGCCTGAGAGCTACTTTAGCATATGAATGACTGCTTTTGCAATGTTACGTACCCGAATGGTTTCATTTTGGACCCAGGACTCTTGCGCAGCATAGGCTACACCACCCTTGCGAGGGAGGTTGAACCAAGATGTTGGACCAGAGGGTGTGAAGTGCATTTCGCCTGACCGATAGATAAGAGACATCTAAATAGAAAGTTCGACGATTACCCACCGAGCAAAGCCATAAGCAGTGATGTCTTCCCAGAACCTGTCGGTCCGACGACAAGGTTGAAACAACCGCGTTGGAAGTACATCTCACCATCGATACGAAGCCTGAACTTGCGCTTCGATGGTGTCAACGACCCACGGGAGTCAGTAGACCATGCAAAGACAGCGTCTCTAAAGCCGATGAGGTCAGATTCTCCTTCTGACTGGACAAAGAGCTGGACTCTATCATCGTCCTGTTGTGCATGGGCATCCAGTAGTTCTGTATCACTCAAGAAACTGTTGACACGGTCCAGTGATACTTTGGCTGGAAAGCGTCGTTTGTTAGTGATTTCGGAGCAAACAAAATAATTACCTTGAGTAAATCTTGGAATGGAGAAGAACACCATGTTCAACTGGTCTCTCAGGATGTCAAAAACTGTCAGAGGAGCAACACCAGTTATTATAAACAAGTGAATAATATTGTGAAGCTTACTTGTCATCGACGAAAAAACCTTGGAAGCTGGAATACCTGTCAGGTCAACAAATCACAACGCAGCCTATACACTGACCAGTTAGGGTTTGTCCCATAATCAGAGTCTAAGAGAGAAGTTAACAAACTTGTTTTGCATGTAATCGAATGCAACGTACGAATGTCAGGTAAGAAGCCATCATAGTAGACAGAGGAATTAAGTAGCTATGCATGGGTCAGTTTTCGTTATCAGAGGTGACACGAAAGACGTACTTCAAGTTGTTGTTTACCAGTTCTAAGATCTTCGTCTTCCATGTCCAGACAAGTTCTACTTCTCTTTTATCGCTGATCCTCGAGTCCAATTTCTCTTCCCATCCGAAGAGCTTGATCATACGTAGAACATTCATGGCTAGCGACCAATAAGCACCAGTTCTACGCTTATTATGCTCGACTTACTTTCGGTCACGGTTTGCACCCGGGCATCCGTCTGGAATTTCGATAAGCATCGACTGACCAAAGAACAAAGGGTCCAACCTTGCGCATTTTCTCTGCTTGCACCTTTTGAATCCTCTGGGCAACGTACCCAGGGAGAGGGAACAAGGCGAACATAACAATCAAGCCGGCAAAGGCACTTGGTAAACGGCCATCAGTCAAGTTAGACAGCAGTTTGATGATGCCCACCTCCAGCCAAGAATTTCGTACAAGAACCAGATACACATGCCTACTTGAAGTGGCATGTACAACACTGAACGAAACACACATCAGACAGCACGCGTCCATCAGAGCTAAAGTGTGACTTGCCGATCATGATGAAATCTCGTCCATCGGTAAGATTACTCAAGTCAGTTGTGACAAGATTATTAATCTTCCCAACAAGGTTGTCAGCACTCGAATGCTGTTTCGGCGAATTGTCCATTTCTTCTTTGACATCCTGGGACTTTCGTTTGTCTTTTTTCGTGGAAGATGTTGATGCGGTCTCGGTACTGGCCTGCAGTGTCTCGTCGCCACTGCCATCCGTACTTTCGTCTGCGGCAGCAGTGCTAGATCCAGCTACAGATGCACTATCTGGCGTAGATGATGGCGTGGATTCCCCAGACTTCTTGCCGTCATCGGGGAGCTCAGCTTTCATTCGGATTCGGAGCGCATGCTCGAAGACCAGTTGTGTGATAATACCCTCCGTCTGCACGAGTACGCGTGTCTAGAAAGCTGATGAGTGTGTTTACTAGTTATCGAACGATCGCACCCACCGCGATGAAAATATACCATTGCCATGCCAAGGCACCCACAAGTGGTCCTAAGAACAGCCAGGATATCCAGACCCATGGACGGACTACAGCATGCTCGCCTTTTGTTTCCACATAACTAAGAAAATCGCATGAGAGATGTCAGGAAATGTGATAACCAAAGTACTTACAGCAAAAGTTGATTGATTCCAACAGGAGCGGCGAGTCTTGCCAGCGCCTGTCATAGGGAACTGTCGGACATAGGTACGGGTAAGAGAAATTGCATACCTGGAAAACAATCATGATAGACAAAACTATATACTCGACACAGAAAGTCTTCATGAGGCCGAAGAAGATATGTCCCCTCCGGCTCCCAAAGAAGGGGTCAAGATGCTGCAACAATTATCAGTTCGCCCCCTATGACAGTAATGTCATATACTTACGGGGAAACTCTTCTTTTTGAGGTTCCTGGAATAGTCATGGTCGGCCAGCGGGGGAAGTTCTTCGTGCGACAGGTGGGGAACTCGATATGCCTTGAAGACGATGGGGTCCAGCCAGATATATAAAACCATAGACAACCAAGAAGAAGTTTGCTCGGGGTGAGGACTGTCAGCAGGGTTCTTTAAAATGTGAGCATTGGTGATGAGAAATCTATTGAATACTATGACATACCGCAGGATCGACTGGAACATATTGTCTCGGGCTCACGAGAGGGAATACGATGCTCGACAAAAAAAGAATAGTCACTTTCGCCCACAATAAACCCCCTTCTTTAATATCCTTGGGTTGTTTATGGAATGTAACGAGGGGCCACAGATCCCGGTACGTAAATACCGCAAAGACTGCAAAGAGAAGAGTAGCCAGGTGATTGGACACCAGCCTGCTCCATCGGGGTTTCGTTGTAACCGAAACGAGCCCGAGAATAGATGCATAAGCCTGGAAAGAATAAGCGAATATCGAGATGGATAACCACGAATCACCAACAGCAGTCATGCACATGGCGAATTGCAACCACTCAGCGGGAGAGAACGGAATGTACCCATCGGAGGGACGGGGCCTGCGATGCTTTCCTTTGGACAGTTTGGTGGCTCCGGTTACGTGCTCTCCACGTTCGTCCAATATGAAAGTAGCCAATGACAGTCCCAGAAACGTAAGACAACCGATAAATCTTGCAAACTTGTATGCAAAAATGACCCAACCACCATGTTGAGATATAAATGCTCGAGCCTCAGAGAAAAATCCATCGGCTGTAATGGGTTCATCGAAAAAAACGGTGGGCTCTTCCTCGGTCTTATGAGGCAGGAAATACGACCAAAGCTTTTTGACCGGCTTAGATAGCATTATTAGATGTAGCAAGAGAAGAAAGGCGGATGCAGTGGCAAAATATGCTGGAATCATGAGTGTGCTGTACCACAGTCTGAGAATTGAGGGTGTTAGGAACTTCAGGCATGAGCTTGGAGCACAATACTCACGCATTCGAGTTGCCATGGCTTATGAGTTCCCGCTCGAGAGACTGAAAAGCGTCAGACCTCAAGACGACCTGCCATGGTATAGGATCGGTAAACCGACTCCAGAGCGACATTTCCTGAGAGACAGGTTGGTCTGATCAAGTTGCGCAGTAAAAGAGCGCGCACTGGTTCTGAAATCAACGACTTTATAATAGGGTACGTAATTGCACGTAATTAGTTATCGGATGAGTCCATATGGGTGTGTGAATGAGTCTCTGTAACACCGATTATCATCCATGATCCCGGACCTTTTATATTATATATATGCCTAGTTGTTTGTTGATCTCTGCTTAGTCTGACTCTGCTTTTTTCTAGTTATCACTGGTTTGCAGTTTTGGTCCCTTGCGTTATGGCTACTAGCTCTTCATCGTCTCATTCTGTTGGCCATGCTTTGTCTTGTCCTATCGCTCTGGTGGTTTCGGATCTAAAACTTCTTGATGATGGAAGTGTCGACGTGCGTCTTACGCCAGTATTTTGGGTTCGTTTGCAATTTGTGAACCAGTTTCCGTTGACTATCTTTTGCCTGTCACTGTTTCTAGTCTTGGCCACATCATTGACCATTCTTCGACCTTTACTCTGGAATAATACGTCGAAATTGTGCTGTCTGTGTCGTGTCGGTGGATCGCAAGGATGGATTTGTTGTGTGTACATGTCTGTAATCATGATTTTCTAATCTCATCGTTTTCAAGCATTCGAGGGTTGCCAGGTGTGATTTGTCTCGTCTTATCTTGCCTGTCCCTTTTGCAATTGATATCGCTCTCAGCGGACCGAGCATTCTCATACTGATGGCATTGAACGTCTGTAAAGGCGGACTCTCGATGCTAAACAGCATTTTGTGAATTATTATCAGCGCTCTCCTGATGCTGTTGTTCATGAGGACCCAGAGTTTGCGACCATTTGAACGTCTGAAGAGCTGGAAATTATTAAGGAATGACAACACAACATGAGTCCGGATGTTCAACGCAGAGCATCGAGCATTGTGCCTATAGTATGTGTGCCAGCGAACTCAAGCATGTGGATCTACGGAAGTTTCCTTTGCATTTGCTGCGCGGTGATTAATTGATTGCTTGCCAGAGCATACGTACATTGCCTTCTAGCTATGATCGATAATATTAATCTTGATAATATTGCTATTCTATATACAGGACATGATGAATACGACAGCATGCAATCTCCAAAATCTTCAAGTTACAGACGAGTCATTGGCCCTGCGCCATTCTCCAATTCTACACTGTCAAAACATATTCTATGTCTTCTACATAATACCCTATGACTGAGGCCGCTACTACCCTAAAAGCCCTGGCCTGGCAATAAAGTTGAATAAATCACCGCCTATGTATAATTCGTTGCCTTATTAACATAACACTGGACCCTCGCCACTATTTGCGTAACCGTCAGTATATATGTGTGACCAAATTCCAGTAAGTTCAGTTCAGTGAGTCCACCGTGCCAGCTGACAGACTCCAGAACTTTATATATTACTTTAAATAACTTTCTCATCTGTTCACCGGTTCTCTGATTTGAACATGCCCATTAGTAAAGAAAATGGCAGTCCAAATGAACAATACTACTTATCAACAACGCAATGACTTGCAGCTCGGTTGGTCATGTATATACTTGCGCAAGACACACCTCGACACAACGGAGCTTCCAGAAGGGTCCTCCGGGAGGGCTGTTGTATTTCAATTTATCATACACGCCAGGTATTGGCAGTATCGAGGGTCCTTGTGTATCCTTGTTTGGATGTTGTGGGGAAATCAGGAGCATGTTTAATAAACAACTTGCTCGACTAGTACTATCATGGCTGCTCCAATCGCGGAGTCCTTTGCACCTAGGCCATCCTATTCAGAACCATTTTTGCAATATGGACCAATTCCCCTGTTTGAACATCACCTCAAGGTCTTGACAGACTCATATTTAAGCTTCTTCCAAGAAAGGTTCGTCCACTCAGTCATCCCAATACACTATCTAACAGTGGCATGATTCCCGCAGAAAACGTATCGAAGAAGTATAGTGAGTAGCATTTATATACAGTATTCCATGACACGCTTTGACACTCGTTTAGCATCGAATCCTTGCTCAAACTTCACCGGAAAGTGAAATCCATCGACAACTATTTAGACGATCGGACAGAAATTAGCACTTCCAGGAGAGCATGGAACGAGGTTCGGGATAACGTTGAGAGAGGTTGGTTCTACTTCAATCTCAGACCTGTGATCCCTTATAGGCGATACAGAAGCACAAACCAGACAAGCATTTCTCGCAACGCTTACGGTAGATGTTGTTAATGCCTTGACATCACTCAAGGTGCGTTTGCCTCATCTCTCGGCGTCTTGTCGAATCTCTAATCGCTGAATGTTAGGAGACGCAGGAGCGTACGCGCAAACGTATCAAAGAAGATTTGAAAGAATCTGGCAGTGCCTACACTGACTATGCTGAGAATACATTACCAAAGCTGAAGCGCGCATACCTGAAAAAATGCCAAGAAGTCGAGGTCAGTACTGAGGTAGTGATTTTTTGCAGTCACCTACTATGTTTCTTTAAGGATCACAAAGCTGCCGCGGCCGCCGCGCCGCCGCATCCAATATCTACTAGTACTACGCCGTATTCAGAACAAAGCGGAACTACTTTGAGTACTTCGCGATCCAATCCCAGTTTGCCGTCCCGGCCTGTTGTTACTGCCCCTCAGCCATTACGTCCTCTTGATAGACGACCCTCTGGAAGCGCGCCTGGACCACGTAATCGCTCACCGTCCACTTCAGGCACATTTTCTGATTTTGCTCAGCATGGTATGATATAAATATGGCACATGCTGATTCCGACTTGACTCAACCAATTAGGAAAGAAACAACTTAACCAACTCATCACATTCTTAGATAAGAGCGGTACCGTGAAAGAGAGTTTGGGCGTACGCTCAGAGAATAGCGCGCTCCGTGCTGTCCGTGCGAAACGAGAAGCTGATGATGCTGGTAAGTCATGCGTTGGTGTGTGTAAGCTGTGCAAAGCTAATTTCAGCACAGATAGGGAATACCGAAAAGGCGTTCATTGGCTAGAGACCCTTAGACTCAGGCGCACTAAGATCCTTGCAAGTGGTTACAAGGTAATTTTTTTAACCAGCTTGCATCATTCACCGGCAGCTGACCAGTAAGCACCATTCAGAGTCTGGAGACTTTTGTGTATGAATATTCGAATACAGTCAAGAATGTGCTGGAGAAATATCTCGATAACATGACGTGCGTATATTTTGATTTCATCACTTGCATTCGCAGTTCTGAGTTTTTCCACTAGTGCAACTACTACAACACAGACACAGCTATCATCACATGGACGTTCCGTGGTCGACAAAATCTCCCCAGAAAAAGATGTATCGCTTGTAACGACCTTCATTCCTCGTTCACTGGCATCGGCAATAGCCAAACCAATACTTTACTATAACTACAATGTTGGCGAATGCAACGACCTCATCTTCGGCTTTAGTTTGGTGGATTATGCCACTGCTCAGGGCCTTGGGGAATACGATATTCCAAAAATTGTGCGTATCTGTGTAGAAGAAGTAGATCAAAGGGGATTAGACGCCGAGGGCATTTACAGGGTAAGCTCTGGTGCGATTTTCTGGCTCCAGATGTTGATAATCATAACAAGGTATCTGGCAGGCATGCTATTGTACATGACGTAGGTCTACCAGCTTTTACAGATCACATGCTTTTCATCAGTATTCTACAGCTACAACATAAGATAGAACGAAACGAAGCCAGTTTCAAGTTTAACGCGCTTACTGACGATGTTTATGCCGTATCCTCCCTATTGAAGGTATTGTATTCTTCCGGCGGCTATGTGCTGTTACGACATTGATGTTCCATTTCCAGCTGTATTTGCGCGAGCTTCCGGAACCGTTGTTTAGATTTCCACTGCAGGATCGTATAGAGCATACGGGAGACCGAGGCAAGCACTCGAGAGTGTAAACCATCCCGAACATTATCTGACCTTATGTTAAGCCGAACACCAGTCGAATCACTTTGCCCTACTGCGTTCGAAGATACGGCGGCTACCTGCAATCCACCGTGCGACTCTCCGTGCTCTGGTTGAGCATCTAACCCGGGTAGCATCCAATGCAGATAAGAACAAGATGGACGCAAAAAACCTTGCAATTGTATTCGGTGCCGTCATCTTTGGTGAAGATGAAATTCCAAAGGGCGGTGACCTTTTGAGTGTTCAGTCATGGAAGGTTAGTCATTCTATATTGCTTGAATTGCCAGAGCTAATCTTTCGGAATTCAGGATACGCTGATGGAGGACATGATTAACAATGCCCGAGATATTTTCGAAGACCTTCCGCCTGCCGGTAACTCCCCTCCTTTGCCTGCTGCACCACTCGGTGAACCCATACCTGTGTACACGTATGGTTCATCGCACACGAAGATTGGCAGTGTCTCTCTGAGGCCTCAATCCCCCAGAAGCTCAGAAGACTTCACTCCCCGTCTCCCTATACGACCGACAGGCAGCATACATCCTTCGCTCCGTGCAAACCCGGCTTCGCCGACACGTATCACCATGGAAATTCCTTCGGTGTCATCACGAACTGCTCAGGGCGGAAACGATGAGTCATCGCCGTCGCCTACTGGTTCTGCGTCAAAGCGCACGGAATCGGAGATAGACACATCACCGCTCCCATCGCCTCCCATCTCTCCTGCGGGCGAAGTGGCAAGCGAACCAATACAATAAGGTTATCTCTTTGTTGTGCATCGAGTTTTAAGATAGAACTTTTAATAAACACTTTCGCTCAGGGTAATTGTGTGTTTCTCTGGATAATTGACGTCTACATTATATTAGGACGAAGTGTTGAAATTGAAACATAAATGTTGTTACTTGTGATCCACATATCCATGATCAACATCGTGCAGCTAAATATTACAAGGATATATCTGTTGATGAGTGATATTGCTCAATCGCCCAGTCCATATCCATTTCCTCCTCTCGAGCTCGCTGGGCTTGCCAGGAGGACTGCCACTCTATGACGCGTGGGTGAGCCAATACTCTGAAAGGACATCATCATGTCAGTCGATACGCCCCCGAAAAAATACAAATTAATCCCAAACCTTGAAGGGTCAAAACCGACGATCTCCAGTCCTTCCAAGCTTGTAGCTCTCGAGAGCGCGACATATGCTTCCCAAAGGTAAATCAGCTTCCATAGACAACAAAACATAGGCTCAATCGTTCACCTTGCCCCTTCTCAAATATCCTCTTCAGATCAACCTTTACTCGACTCATAGTTTGGCCCTGAGCCTTGTGAATGGACATTGCCCAGGAAAGTACGAGAGGCACTTGTACTCGTTGTGCTTCGCAGTTGCCTTTCAGGCCCTGGACGTCGAATGGTAAGGGCGCACAGAGAAGGTGGGTCCCGTTTGTGAATTTGACGAGCGGAAATTTGTCGTGCTTTCCAAACGCGTGTTTATTGAGAGCTAATAGGCCTTGGTACTGGGCTTCTGTATTTTCGCCATCAGCCCCCGCATCAATGGTAGGAAGAAAGTCGCCATTTTTGGAACGCAGAGGTTTTGCCTCAAGTTCGGCAATGTCGATAAGGCGCTCAATCGCCTCATGCGTGGTGATGAAGTCAACCACTTTGCCGAGTGAGCCATTGACCAGCCTGCCTTGCAAAAGGTTCTTTGGAGGTATGGTCAGGCTCAGCCAATACAACCATTTCGGGACACTCACTCTAAGTAGCATTACCTGTGCGTCAACCTGAATGTGTAGTGGATTAGGTGACATATTTAGGCATAGAAAAAGTCGCAACAAACCTTTAGAGATATCTCCCGCGGAGCAACTAGTCTTTCTAATAGCCGCTCTGCAGCATCAGCTGATATTCGCTTTCCATACATGTTAAAGCCCCTAGACTCCATGGCGGTGTAAGTCAATATTTCCCCCGGTAATACATCGAGATGTGTTTTATTGCACAACTCCACCTGGCTCTTTAGTGGAAACCTGTGGATGACAACGACTAATGATACACCACGCGGAGAGAGGAAGGCTAGAAACGAACAATTGTGTTGGGCTTATGCCATCGGAGTATTCGACCACACGGCTCAACTTGAAGAACTCTTGAACGTGCCAATCTTCCAATTGCCCTGACCTCGTCGCAGAGAGCATATCAATGAACTCTACATTTCTGTGAGATGTCCGGAAAGCTGTATGGAATCCGAAGTACCTACTACTATCCTTCTGGCGGAAAACTTTTGTCAGCACAACTGGCTCGTCAACGCATCGAGACCAAGATAGCGCATCGAAAGTAAAAGTGGGTGGTATTATTGTTGTGGAATCTTGCTCGGGAACAGGTGGAAGCTGGAAGAAATCACCTGACAGGATAAGCTATTTAACCTGTCAGAAACTAGAGGGTAATATAAGGGCCAGAATAGCAACTATTCACCTGTATACCCCCAAAAGGGCGACGGCTTTCCCGGACAATCTGACCAATCTCTTCCTACCCAATAAGTTAGGCAGATGAAATATGGTGCAGGCATGAAATCATACGAGCTTGTCAAATAAACGGCCGTCCAGCATCGAAACTGCCGGATGTTAGCACAGTTATCTAACACTGTAGGTCAAACGTACTTTCATCGATTATAAGGGCACGAGTGTGTGTCCATCGTTTGATCGCCCTTGAACTTAGAACACCCACCAACTCCTTGACAGATTCCTTGCCCAACCCTATACCTGCCCAGGAATGAATGGTTGAACCACCGATGTTCATGCCTGCTATGCCTGTGGGGGCGGTGATGGCAACCACGCCAGCCTTACATCGCAACAATTCTATTATTGCTCTCAATAGAACTGATTTTCCGGTTCCTGGGAGGTTATACATTCATTCCTTATCTTAGAAAGCGGACATGTAAGCTTACCGGCTGGACCTGTGAAAAATATGTTTTTGCCACTTTCAACGAGTCGAAGAACCCGTCGCTGCTCTTCAGATAGCTCAATTATTGGCGGAGGGGGAGGAAGCGGGGGAATTTCGGCGTCTTGCAAAGGAATGTAAGGTGGAGGAGGTGTAAGTCTGTCACTATTTGGTATCGTCTGTAGCGTATTCGAGGTCGATTCGTACTCTATCCAACGACGACCCGATCGAGGTTCTGGATACCGTCTCGCGGACTCACCAGAAGCCGTATCCATGGACATTAAGGCTGATTGATGGTCTTCAGATTTTATATCCCACGTAACTGTAGCTGTTGAACAGTACAGCATGTTACCACATTTAAAGGACCAGAACTAAGAATATACACCTACTACTAGTAGTTGTTTGCGTCACAGATACACTGACAGATGTGGGTAGACCTGCCAAAAGCCAAGCTTTGGCTTCCTCCAATGTGTCGAACCCCTTGCCGCTAGTACCACTAAGACCGAGGGTCTCAAACAATAATCAAACGACGGGGATTGTGCCGAGTCGGTAAGGGCACACTTACTGCAGTCTGGAACTATTGTGACACGTCAATACTCGACCTAAGTTACATGTTGGCAGCTTCAAGGGACTTACATCGTTGAAATCTGAATAAATTTTTGGGCCTTCACGGCCAATGCGCACGGCATAGTATCGCGCTGGCATGGCCACCAACAGACTGCTCGAGAGTTCGCAGAACGTTTTAGCTGCGAACGAACCAAGCGGGTTACAAGTAATTGGATACGTAAATGAAACGTTGCGTCCAAGTCGTGTTCACTGTTCGGAACGCGTTACGCGCAACTCTATGTCACGTGGTATGAGCATCAGGGATCATGACTTCCCAAAGAGGTGCTTTCAACGTTAACCTGAGGGTCACCTTCTTTCAGAAAAAGTGGATCCAATACGGATCTACCCAAAAGGTGGGCACCATGGCGGGTCCAAGCGCGAATCTCCATTGGTCCATCTTCCTGGTCACGAGTCGCCATTTTTTGGCACTCGTTCCTCGCACTAGAAGGAACAGCAAAGGTTTCCATTCAAGAGTAACGTCGGACGATCGCGTGTATGGAGAAACGGTCCGCGTGGTTGAAATTTGGAATAGTTGACTCAAAAATTGTACCATTAATTAAGCATTAGGTAATGCATTTGATGTGGGTCGACGACCCGCTGAGTCCTCAGGCCTCAGGCCTCAGTCTTCTCTATGACCCATCCATTAAATAAACTATCTAGAACCAGCTGGCATCCAGGCCCTCTCACACACAGATACACAATACCGGATACATCTTGTATCATCGTTCGACGTATACCGCCCCTCAAAAGCTTGTGGGCCAAGGCTGAGGAGGCTGGGGCTTAAATGTGCATTATTGTTTCAAGCTTCCTCGAGGGCGATATATCATGTAGGGACCTGGTTCGTATCGGCAGCGACATTCGTAAATACCATGTCGAATAGCAGACCCGCAGAGAGCCTGATGCCTTTCCCATCCTTTGGGTCGGAGTATTCTTGGACCCAGTTATGCTGTTGATCACTCGAAATTGGCACCCCAAAGGCAAGAGACAATGGAGCAAGATCGGACATTGGCTGCTTTTTCCTGGTACCATATCAAGCCGTCATAATGGGAGAATGTTATCCAAAGAAGATGTTCGAGAGCAGGCTGGGGAAAGAAATATTTGCAAACGCGCACACCGAGAGTGCCAGTGTACGAAGGCCAACGTCCGAAGCAGAGGGTGCCAGCGCTGTGGGGAAATGTGATTCCTTCCACAAAAAAAATACGACGATCCATTTACTACTTGTCATTCTGAAGTGCATGTTCAGCATGACATTGATCACTTGTTAGAAAAAACACCAATCGTATTATCAATGACGTAGACATCAAGTCCAATAGGCTTCCCGGGATTCGTCTCTGTCCATGGCCTCGGACTCGTCATCCACGTACATCTGGTCACTCAGCATTTCACATTCCATATTGTTATGCCACTCCAATACGCGAGGGTGCACCATTACTCTTGCAGCCGCAACAAGGCATGGTTAGTTCAAACATGGCAAAGCAGATTTTGAACGGGAAGCTTACCTATTTGGATGAAAATTCAATACTTCCAAGGTGCTCATGCTAGTAGCACGAGAAAGTGCAACATATGCTGAGGACACGTCATGAACACGCGTCATGAGTCTTCAGGAAAAAATTACCTTGGCCTTTCTCAAAAGTTCGCCCAAGGTCCACTTTCACCCTTTCAAGAGTTTGCCCTTGAGACTTATGGACACTCAGTGCCCAAGCCAATATCAAGGGAACCTAATCTTGTTCATTCGCCGAATTTGAGCGAATGTCAGAGGGCTCACCTGTCGTCTTCTCGCCTCTACACCACCATCTGCATTATCGACGGTAAAGTCGGTTGGCACACACAGTAGTTCTTTGCCACACGTGAATCGGACAACGGGCCATTGCGAGTTGTCGTAGTTGGCAGGGAGCTCGGACTTCGTGGAGGGGCCACCCTTGAGACCCTCTTCCGTGGCAATTGGAGTAGCGGTCTGCATAGCCTCCTCGGAAGTACTAAATCTGATCACTTGCCCCACAGACCCGTTTACCAACTGCCCCTGCACCATGTTCTATGGAGTTGTGTGTTAACTCAAGAACTCGTATTGGAAGCAGCTGACATTACCTTGATCAGCATGACTTGTGCGCCGACCTGCGGTATGTGAGATCAGGACATGCAAACAAAAGAAGCACGACTCACTTTTAGATGGATCACTCGTTGTGCCACAAGCCTTTCCAACAAGCGTCCCATCTGTTCGAGTGAAACAAGATTGTCATTCGAATCGCGTCCAGGTGAGTCAGTTGCCGGGTATTTAATTCCATCGCCAGGCAGTGAAGCAAGCTTTCTTTGGTTTGCTGAATCAACCTCTGAGCGAATAGGGTACCTATGGGAAGTTTTGAGGCTAAAATAACGCAAACATGCGAAAATCCCGTACAGCTGTGTTGGCCCGATGCCATCCTCATACACGACTGGGCGCGAAAGACTGAAAAAAGCTTGAACAGAAGCTTTATCCAACTTTCCAAAACGCATCGCGTTGAGCATGTCGACAAATTCTAAATTTATGTAGGCGAGTGAAGGCGGAATCACAAAGTATCGCTTACTTTGCTCTTTTTGCCGAAAAACTCGTGTTAGCACTATAGGCTGTTTGATGCAACGACTCCAACTTTCCGCCTCAAATGCGAACGTGGATGGTATTTGAATTCCGTCCTTACCACGATCCGGCACTGGAGGAAGTTGGCAGAAGTCTCCCGAAAGTATCAGCTGCAGGTTGCAAACACATCAGAAACCATAAGTTAAGAAGAAAGGGTTCGGATCGTACTTGTATTCCACCAAAAGGTTTGTCTGATCGCCTTACAATGCGAGCAATGGCTTCCTATTGTTCAGAGGCAGTGTCAACAGCATGAGATTATAATGCTTCGGTAGCACCATACCAGTTTATCAAAGAGCTTTCCGTCGATCATGGATACTGTGTAATGACACGATCAGCCTCCTCATAAGACAATAATAAAAAACCGTATGCCGCAAACCTTCATCTATTATGAGAGTTTGAACGCATTGCCACCGTTGCTTGACCCGTTCAAACTTAGGCTGACCAAGAAATTTACCCCCAAGCTTTTTTGCATCTTCTAGACCAAGCCCGATACCCGCCCATGAATGCACGGTAGTTCCGCCAATGTTAACTGATGCTATTCCCGTTGAGGCTGTTATAGCGAGACCTGAGTGGCCCCGCCCACCACGCACTCGAATGATTTCTCGTAAGAGAACAGATTTACCGGTGCCTGGACCGAGTCATCCATGATGCAGGTAGGTCAGCTTGAATTACGCACCCGCAGACCCGGTAAAGAACACATTCTCGCCACGCTCGACCCTTCGAAGCACATTTTTTTGCTCCTCTGAAAGAATGATACTCTCCGATGAAGGTCCAGGTGTTTGTGTCTCGATGGGAGTCCGATCGCGTCCTTCAAAGGTTGGTGGTTGCCTCTCTGCTTTTGCTTCATTGAATCTTGCCACTCTCGGCTTAAAGGTCCATGACACGCTGGGTCCACTAGACGATATAGATTCCATACTCGAAGCTGGTAATATGACTTCCGAGACTTAGCAGCATCACCATTAGTCGTTAAATTACTCACTTGGTCCAGTTAACGCAAGCCACTCCTCAGCCTCAGTATGAGACCGGAAGCTCTTGTGAACGGCACCAGGCCAACGCGAAACCTGTTGTCGTACTATAGGTTTGCATCTATCAGTCATGGTCTACTTTATGCTCACGTTTGCATTGCACTGAAACAGACATTAAGAAAGGGGACGCGTTTCGACTGAACCTAAGAGAAAACTCACCTCAGCCCAGGAGTCATATATTCGTGGTCCTTCGCGACCAACTCTCACAGCGTAATACTTTTTTGCTGCCTTTGGCATTGAATCTTTCATTGTTTCAAGAGCGATCCTTAGTAAGTAGTTCGAACTTGTGGATAGGAGAAGAAGAGGTTGCCCATGTTTGTCGACCCAAATACATGTACATATCGTTAATACAACAAATACAGCTGACTATGGTCTAAGGGTACAACGAGATGCTCTTGAGATACTCAATACATAGCTTGATCAATGGGGATGCGCTGCCATCGTACTTATACAGTTTCCACAAAATTAGCCGGAAATATTCCCTCTTTGCCACCGATCTTTCCGGTCCACCTGATTCAAGTCATGAAATCATCTAACATCGACGTAGAAGTAGAGAAACTCACCAATCATCAGTACTATCACTCTTCTTTGTTACAAGAATTACATCCCCTTTAGAGAAAGAAAGGTCACCAGCCTACATGTGGTCCGGTAAGCAGTTGCTCATCATGATGAGTGAGAAAGAACCATACTTCAACCGCGTTGAAATCGTAGAGTGCTATCGCACGACTGACACCTTCACCAAGAGCAAGAGACGACGCCAATTCTGCTTTAGTTTTTATGTATGGCGGCGCGCGATAGCTCGACCGACTATCTGATTCGAAGAAATTATCGCCCGGCGGTGAGCTGGACGCAAAAGGGTCTGCATAAGCCGCAAAGGAATGCTGATTAGAGGATTGTTTGGCAGATGGTATGCTCATTGAGCGCGAATGAGCACCATTGTTGTCGCTCAAGCCCGAGTGTGCAGAGCTAAATGGTGGCAGAGAGTTGAATGGTGATGCCGGGTCATATTGGTCCTTTACACCTGGTAACGCAGAGACACTGTTAAAAGACCGGTGGTGACTTTGCGAAGGAGGCGCAGGGTTAGACTCGAACTTTGTATGAAAATCAGACCCTGACTGTGGGGCGCGGTCATCCCACGGAGTAGGGCCAACATCAACGTCCGCTCCCCCGTTAGTAAAATACGATCCAGATTCACTTCTCTTTCCCCAGTGCTCCGGGGGAAAATCGACTCCTTTCTTCTTCCTGCTCAAGAAGGAAGGAGTACTGCCTTCACTCTTTGGGCTCGCAAATGCGTAACCAGACTGTTCCCGTGCTCCTTCGTCAACCCACTTCCGAGTTCCTGGCAATCCGGTGCATGATTCGAGTGTCTTCACAAGAGGCGAAGCCCACTCCGGACAAGGGACTGCCCCGCTGAGAAGCATTTTCGCAGAAACATCTTGTTTGTAGGCCAACGTATTTGCATCCTGACGTTCAACGATGACAGAGCCTTCTATGGAAACTCCACCAAATAAGCCTCGTGTTTTCGAATAGCTGTACCTGTATAATTCAAGTCTGAGTTATTGATTGGTATAGTGGATGGCAGAAGGTGAGCGTACATGGCAGCAACCTTGCCGCTTGAATTCACGGATCCGATCGCTTCACCATTCCGCCCGAGAGGGCCCACCGCGACACTCATGTTGCCTCCCAAAGTGAGGTTACCAGCAGACATGAAGGATCTCTAAGCCATAAGAACAAGAATAAGCGTTTAATGAGTACTGAAATGAAATAAATATCGACATACAACAGCCTAGAATGACATGTCAGCGAAGAAACGCAGTGATTCAGGAAACATGCAGACCGACCGAAGTTGAATTAAGGATAATCAAGAAATCCGTCATTTCCGCACCAAGCTGTCCACCAACGCCTATGCCACCTGAGCCTATAGCACTTGGAGCAGACCATGCTAAGCATTAATAAGTCCTGTGAGCGGTACTGGTGCATACGTAATATGCGAAGTGCCCACATCCGTCATCAAGCTTCGCTATGACAATCCCCGTTCCCGCTCTTGCCGAGAAGAGGAAGCCTGCTTTGAAAACAGTGAAGATGGCGAATCCCTTGGCGTTCTCTAACACACTCCGAGGAATGACCTGGTACGTCAATTCAGATTTCACCCCTGTGCTGCTAACAGCTATACTCACACCGTCAAGCCCATTGTTCTTGTTATCCACGAATGAAGAAACTGTGCAAAGTATCAGCGCCACCGTGACCCACAAAGAAGCCGGCAGATGCCCACAAATCTTTGCTGCCTTAGTGCATTCTTTAGGTAGCGTCTGTGGTAGCGGTGTATTGAACTTCATAGTTCCCTACTAAAACAGAGGAGAGAGGTAAGGACTTGGAGCGCCTGTGCTCCAGTGCAACTCCAATATTATCATGCAATGCTGGGAACGGGGAAACTGAGTAATAATACGCAGTGTGGCGTGACTGTGACTCAGACGGGCCGTGTGACGATAGTTATGCAAGGAACATTTAATTGTCTACACTATTGACATTGCATGATTTGAATAGTAAATGCCTATAGGACACGACTTCCAGCCGCTGTGATGGTCCAGCAATCTCCACTCGCCTATATTTGAACCCTGTACCGGTAATAATGTAGTGGGCGCTGAGTCTGGATCATTTGTGCTTTTTTGACATTCACCATCAAGAGACATTAGAGAATGAAGCCGCTCGTTCATCACCGTCAGATCACCCGCATCCCAATGCTGTAATCCATCAAGAAAGGAGTGTAAATGGGCCTTCAATTTACTCACCTGCGGTTGTAGCGGATGCGTGGCAGAGAGAAGCATATCGGACGCTTTCTGCAGTTCCGTGAAACCCGAGCTCACCGCCCCGAGTAAAGCAGCCAACCTGTTGCATACTGTTCGCATCAATGAAATAGCCGAATATCAAATCTCTACTCACACATCGATCTTCTTTGCCCCTTCTGTCTTACCCGGAGCAAGGGTAGAAGCTAGTTGAACAATTACATTCTTTCTGAGGCTCAACTCCCCGTTTTCTTGACCATTATCATATGCCTTGATAACCCACACAGCCCATTTCGCGAGAGCCAGATAATACGACAGGTCATTTTGCGATTCGTCTGCCTCTAACGAAACGATATCCATGTCAAATCCTGTGTTTGGCTGCTCATAAAGAAGATTTTCCACAATCCGAGTGGTTAGAACAGATGGGAAGGTAGGATGATATGTGTGTGTGTGTGCCAACAACGGAGTCCATAACACAAGCGACGAGTGAGGAGGTACAAATTCGTCAGACGGAAGGTTTCTCCTCCTAAGTATTCTAGTCAACGGGAAGCCCTGATTCTGCGAAAACACGTACTTTTGTGAGAGAGATACGAGAGCACCTTTCTCAATCAAGGCATCACAAAGTCTTTCTAGAGCCCACTTTTCTCTAGAATCCTCTTGTTCGACGTCATTGCCATCAATGGTTTCCCACCCGTACGCATCAGCCGCAAAATCTGCAGCTAGCTTGGCTTCCGCGAGCCATCGCTCTATATCCCGCATGATCGCATCGATATCAGGTTGATTTTGTTTGCGGAGGGAGGCATCACGTGTGACAATCTTCAGCAGTGTCTTGTATTGCTTTAAAAGCGGAGTGACCGGTCGTAAAGGTGGCGCCGTACTCGGTCTAAGAGCTGAAGGATTTATAGTGGGTAGAAAGTAATTGTGCAATAACCATGTCAGTGACTGACCGCACCCGCCAAATATGAAGCACGATAAGAATAAGAATTTTGTCCATTTCTCACAGAGAAGCTCACCTCCCGTGCTGCTTCCCTGAGCACTTCAAGGCTGGGAAGGTCTTCGTGCGTGGCTGAATGCCTCAATTCTACTAACCAAGAAGGTAAACCTAGTTGGGCAGCGATAGACGCTATAGATCTCGCATATGCTCCCGCTTGTAAAGGATCCACGAGACCATTTACCATTCGGATGATCGCAGCAGCATAATTCTGCCTTAGACTCAACCAGGAGGGGCTCTGTTGCGTTTCAGAAGTATCAATCAAGCGGGCCGTTAGGATTGATAGAGTGGACTCCAGCGCATGAGGCAATGCAGTCACAGCTCTCCATGCCGACAACTAGACTCTGTCAGACGACCGTCGAGAATATTTGATTCAAATGAAGCTCACTCTGTTGATTGCGAACCGTTTCGCCTCGAGATCGCCCTCATCCATGAAGACCCACGAACAGAGCTGATCAAGCTCATTAATATTTGCCCATGGCACACGTCGTGGCAGTTTCATTTGTCGTGCCGACCTGAAAAATAAAAACTTGTGGACGATTTGTCTTCTGCAGCAGCCCAAAGGAGGCTAAGTGGCGGTGCGAATTTGGCGGGCAGGCGCCAGATCAAATTTATGTAAATGAACCTGCACAATAATAACGTCTAAGACTCTAAGTACGGCGTATCACGAGGCGATGGGTGGATGTTACTGGTGTTTTGCATCAGTAAGTTTTATATTCTACCAGTCATAACTTGAACCTTCCAGCCCCGGGGAGTATTGGATGGCGCTTTCCTTGTCGCAGCACCGGATTATACATCAGTGATTTCGCCCTACAAGCATCTGGTCTATATCCCACTGCTGATTTGCGCGCTGGGTTGGTTGCACTCAGTGAGCGTCCATCAAGTTGCTATGGGATGAGCTGAATACTGCTACAGATTCCAGACGCCCGATGATCAATCGAGATATATAACAACCTATTCCATCAATATTCCATTTTCTCCAACTCCTCGGCATGGGCCGCATGGCTGCTCTCTCCGTTGCGTCGGGTTCCAGCTCAAGCTCGTGACTGCGGAGATTATTCACATTTCCAGCATCCCCGAGCAGGTGTGAAAGTACCAACACGCGCCCTACCCTGTTGTTCGCACAATGCACGTGGTATTGACTTGGCTATAGTGGTCGGCGATAGTCGAGGACCGTGCTATATGGAACGCTGTGTAGGGTGTGCCTCAGGGTCATATGGGTGTTTTTACCGACGTGTTTCAAGGAGGTTCGGCGGTCCGTACAGTAATGCTATCAGGACCCACGTTGGTCATACAACCTGAAACACGTCTACAAACCCGCGATTCGTGTAACCGTGCGGTATCATCAATTCTACATTCACAGTGTCATAACATCTCACAGCACCTTGCGGTTGTCAAAGCGGATCAGAGGAGATGATAGATATGGCGAAGCAGCCCTCACTGCCTCTTCCCCACTGTGGCCCATATAAATTCATGCAATCCTCATATGACCTCCCTCAGTTTGATACTCCTTTCCCCCTCCAGTTCTTGAGAAAATATGAATACCCAAGGAACTCTTGCGGCGGTAACGATTGTGATGTATATCCCCTTTCTGTTTACTTCGTTTAAGGTGGCGTCCAAATGCGGCATATGGCGAGGCCGGTGGACCTCGTTGCTGGTATTCTGCATCAGTAAGTTGTTTGATATTCTAGTCATAGCTTCAACTCTGACATTTCTTTAGTACGAGTATTGGGTGGAGCTTTCCTTGTCGCAGCTGAAAAGATTACGTCTGCGAACAATGGACTATACACCGCGGGTTATATGCTAGAAGTAGTTGGCCTAGCTCCACTGTTGCTTTCCACGCTTAGTCTGTTGCGCTTGATGTGGGCCATCACGTTACTATTTTTCTGGATAGGATGAGCTGATGCCATCATAGATTTGATGGGCCTGATGGCGAACCAACAGATGAATCTATTTTCCACTCTCTTCGAACCTTCAACGCAGCAGGTGTACTCCTAACCGTCATCGGTTTCTTCACTGTATCACGTTCCAGCTCGGGTGCGAGCACCTTACGCAAGTCAGGTTTCATCCTTTTCTCTATCCACTACATTGCCCTTGTCGGCATCTGCATCTTTCTGTGGACCAAAGTGCACCTTATCATGAAGTACCGCAAGAAGGTGAGCTTTCCAGAACACGATTATATATCTGACTAATGTTGTTACGCTTCATTTTCAGTTCCTGAAGGTGATATCCTTCGCACTTCCATTCCTGGCCGTTCGGATGGTGTACGGCGTCCTATCCACGATCACTACGGATACATTTACCAGTTCGACAACCTCATCCAATACTAGCAGCCTGGCAGAATTCGACTTGGTCACGGGCAACTGGGAAATCTTCCTCGTAATGGACATGATCACGGAGTATGCGATTGTGATCTTCTACACTATTTCGGCCTTCGTACTGCCTCTCGACCAAGATTTCAAAGCCCCAGACTTGGTTGAAGACGAGTTTCCCTTGAATGGGCCTTAATGGTGAACATCGAGGCGCCAGCGTATTAGGGTCGTGTCCAATTGCGAAACAGTAAGTCGGTTTCATGAATATGATGGTACCATCCTGATGAAACATCTATTTTTTTATTGCAATCAAGGTGTATCAGGAGTTTATTTATTGTACAAAATCACAAAGAAACATATCATTCACGATTATGGATCAGTATGACTAACGTATTAGAACAAGGTGCGGGTCACCCTCGTGTCTCGTCAATGCAACCATCACTCCACATCTGAAGAGACTTGGACTCATTTCTGGACTTTACGACGCCATGCTTCACTTTTTCACATAATCTCGCCCCATGCAGACCATGTCTTATCGGTCATTACTTCAGCCTTTGTCTCATAGTTTTCAAAGTACATTCCATTGTTACTTTCTCTTCCTTCGCCTTTCATTCTCGTCAGTACACGATATACCATGCATTTCCTCGTACTTCTGTATTAGAATCTACCAGTTCTGATCTCCAAAGTTCCAGGTTGGATATATCTCTATAGTTTCTCTCTCGAACACATCTCCAGCTAAATTGGCTTATACTTCTGGACGACGAGGCGTTCAAAGGTGATACATTAATGTCTAGATCTCATCATTTACGCAAGAGTTGCCTTGCTCGCAACGCCACGTTGATGGTCATAGGAAATCTTCAGAATTTTGAGGCACTGAGGATTGACAGGCGTAGCTTGCGATGCAGAGTCGTTCGAAGTTGTTCCTAATCGATTGTGTATGAGGCTGTAACGATCAAGAGAAACGGCATCAAATGTTTGCTGCTGACTGACAGACGACAACTGGTCACGACACGAAACTCGAACGTTGGGTCAGGTTGTTGGATCCTCTGCAACTTGACCAGCGATCTGAGTCATCCGGAAGTACAGTCCTTGGAAATGATTGAATGAAGTGATTCTGTCACTACTAAACTCTAGTGGCTACACTCGAAGATGTCAGAGTTGCATAGTCAAGCACTTCCCATGCTGCCTCGAAAGGCAGTGGCAGAGTCTGGGAGGCGCTCCGGCTTAATTGAACTCCTGGTATGCCTTTTCTTCTCCCATCCAGCCGAATACCCAGAGCCGAGGCAGGCTGGCTAAGAGTTACTTTGCCAGGGCAAAGCTAGCTGAAGGTTGTTAAGTATGAAAAAGAAGAAGAAAAAAGCGTTCGCTAATGTTTCGTGTATCGATGACGTAAGCGATCGTGATTGGATAATGGGGGTGTGTACAAAGTCCGACCGATTACCCATATAACGAAAGTAACATCGCAAGAAAATAGTATCTATGTGATCGATGTCACAATCAAGAAGTGGTTACAGTATCGACTCAATTGTTCACGAGAGTTCGCATATAAATGGGATGATCATCCTCTACTTTGTAAAGCCAAAAAGGACCTATGATGCGAAAGAGCTTATGAGTATAAGAGTACATGATGGACAGATGCCAAGTTGCATACCGACAGGATCGCCTGCAAAAGTAGAACTTGTGCAGCACCAGATCAAAAGCTAACTAATAGGTACTTACCATGGTCATGATGAGCCCCTGTCCATGTTCCTATCACTCCAAACGCACTGGCGATGCCGCCAATTTGCACCCCTTCGGAGCTGAATATTGTGTATTATAAGCATTTTTGACATCGTAACACCGTACAACTTACCTCCATTGAATACGCGAATTGGCAATAGATGCCTGGAGTAACTCATGCCATTTCGGTTTTGTATCTTGTGGAATCAGTAATAATAACAGGACTCACAAATCGCCATCGTACTACGCCGCCTTCCGACATGGTTACAGAGCCAACGACAGTCGCCTCATTACCCTTTATCCCCCAAGATGATCCAGTGAAATACAGGGTGGGGTAGTGCGTATACGGGGAATCAGGGAAGCGGTCGAGTGTGTAGACTTCAGGTATTGTCTGAGCGTCTATGAGCGTCAGCTTGAGCTCAACAAGGCGCATAGCCTCTTCAAAATGTGGAGTGTCAAAATAGGTGCCATCTCGTTGTCCGTGGCCTCTGTTGCCATACTGCGGAATGTTTGAATATCAGGGTAAGCCTCAAAGAAAATCATTACATTGAATGCTGATGAACATATCAACGAATGTAAGAACTCGGATTACAAATATACTCACCAAACAAATCTCTGGTGGTACGGCGAGACAATTGAGTGTTGGGCGAATAGATGGTAAACAAAAGTCATACCGATAATCCATGAAACAGACATATCTCCTCCAGTGACCTTCAATACCAGCCCAATCACCTGTTGCTAGTGATGTGGTGCCAGGTGCTGAATATGCTCGAGTAGCTTCGAGCCCATAACGCGGCCTTGTGTCCGGCCAATCATTTAGACGGTCAGAAAGGTTCATAGATACAACGTTGATAATCGATTCTATGTGAGTCCAATCCACTTCTCCTACTATGATGTTGAATGGGCCCCAGTCGTTGTCTTGATGGTAATTCCGTAGGTCATAAACCTGACAGCGACTCTTCGTCCGTATTGATTTCAACCTTTCCTTCCCTTCGACGTCGTCGTCATCGTACTCGTCCAATGTCAGTGCGAGGTATGCTCGCAAGCGAGCCAACGATTGGTTACCCTCTTCTGAGAAGAGTAATGGCAAATAGCGAAGCATATTTGTGGATTGCAACACTTCAACAACCCACAATAAATTGGGGGATGGAACGCGTTCATGTCCCCATGTAACGGGGGCTGCGCTTTGCACCACAGAAACAAAGGTTTCGATGGCCTTCAAGAGGTCTTCAAGGGTTGAACTTGTGCGACAGGCGATTAGTTGCGCCTCCATTCGCCGATGTAGCTCCTTCCTCCAGTTGAATTGACTGTCTTCCTGAAATGGGGATGAGATCAGCCGAGGATCATCGAAGGGGAACAGAAGGAATAATTGGCGCCAAAGATATTGATCTGGGCTCCCATAAACCAGGCGGCGGGCTTTCTGGCAGGTCTGCGAGAACGACTCAACATCGCGAGGGTGGCAAAGGGTGAGAGTGTGTTCGGTCAACTCTGGTGGTATCTGGAAAACGCGACTTAGGGTTGTCGGCGTCGCTGCCATCGTCGACACGAATTGGTTACTGATACGATGGTGAAGGGTGATGTAGTACTAGTAGTACCAGTGGGAACGTGTACTTGTCTATATATACGCTTATTTATTGCGTAGTTTCGGCCGTACTAAGCCCAGCTTGCGGATAAGTCACGTAGCCTCGTAGTACCTTACCGACGCTCCTCTGTTACACTGCAATGATAATACATAGTACCAGGAGAACTTCCGACTCCGCGAATAAGTATGCAGTAATAGCTGGGTCCATACACTCTTTGTTGTTTTCTCCGTGTCGTATACGTACCAGTGGTCAGGTCGAACGATATACGTACTAGAGTTAAAACGTTAATATACTCGATCGTAAATGAAGTGAAAAATACGCGCGGATGAAACTTCTTTACACGAAGCTGTATTTGTACATATTTACGAGGACCTCTCCGAGTCGTAGTATACACCTCCTTGGTTTGGACCTTCTACTCAGATCGTAAGTCATGCACCGTCTCCTCGTATACTCGCTTTTCGTCTGCACCAGCCTTGCTTTCCAATTCCCCTTCAGTATTCCTATTTTCAAATCAAAAGATTCTGCCCATATAGAACAGGCTCACGTTTCTCCAAGAATAGCCATCATCGGTGCAGGCGCGGGGGGCACCTCAGCTGCATTCTGGATATCTAAAGCGAAGGAAAGGTTCGGAATTGACGTTGAAATCGACGTGTATGAGCGTTCAGATTATATCGGAGGTCGTAAGTTTCTAGCTTTCTGTCTGCCGAGCAGTGCTTATCCTTATTGACCAATTCGACCCGTAGGCAGCACCGTAGTATACCCTTACGATGATCCTACATTTGCTCCATTGGAACTAGGGGCTTCTATATTTGTTGACGCAAACAAGAATCTCATGAGAGCTTCCAAGGAATTCAACTTGACTCTGACAGCCTTCGAAGATGATGATTCAAACACTGGTATTTGGGATGGCCAGCATTTCGTGCTTGTGGTGAGCTGCTTTTGATACAAATTTGCCCACATAAATTTATACGGCACCGAAGATAGAAAGCGGTAGCTATCTGAAAAGTTGGTGGGCAACCTTGAAGGTGTTATGGAGGTATGGCTACACTGCACCTACTCGAACAAAAGCTATGTAAGTTTCTTTCACTTGTTCAATATTCGCCGCAGGACTCATTAAGAACTACAGTGTTCAGTCAGTGATAGATCGTTTCCTCGGCTTCTACGCCCCCGACTCTCCTCGCTGGGATGATCTATCAGTGTTCACAGAGAGGTTCCAGTGGGTTTCCCTGACTAACCAAACTGCCTCGGATTTTTTGGAAGGCAATAGAGTTTCTCCGCTCTTTGCACGAGAGCTTGTTGAGGCAGCGACGCGCGTTAACTACGGGCAGGTATGTCATCTTTTCCAAACAGTTTACTGCAATATCAGCCAACTGATACTGCATCAGAACGTTGACGAGATCCACGCCCTCGGAGGCGCCGCTTCAATGGCAGCAACTGGTGCATCTGGTGTTGTAGCAGGAAATTTCTTAATATTTGAGCGTTTTCTCCAGAACTCGACAGCAAACGTCTTTTTGAACACGAATGTTAGGATCTTTGTTTCTTAGATTGTGTTTGACCACTGACAATATTCCAGGTCAAGGAGATCCAACGGAAACCTGGCACTTCTTTGTGGACGGTCTACACATCGGCTGGTTCCCAGACATACAAAGGAGTTATCCTTGCCGCGCCTTTCCACCAGACTGACATTACCCTGCCGTCTGATCTGGCCGAACTCATCCCTCCGCAGCCATATGTGGATTTGCACGTCACGTTATTAACGACACGTTCCGAACACTCCAGACCCGGGTACTTTGGCCTCACCTCCAACGCTCAGGTACCAGCAACAATTTTGACCACCCACGAGGGTGCTCGAGCGGGCGGTGTGGAGCCCGAGTTTAACTCAATTTCTTACCACGGGAAGGTTCGTAAGGTGGACGGAGCGGCAGAAGACGCAGTGACAGACCCCGAGTCGACCGTGAAAATCTTCTCTAAAGAGCGTGTCCCCGATGAATGGCTCGAGACGGTATTTGGCAATGTCAGTTGGGTATATAGAAAATTGGTAAATCATTACCGTTCATATGAGCAAGCTGGGATACTAATGACGTGATCAGTGGCAGGCATACCCTGTGTTGCTCCCTACAACAGAGTTTCCTCCTGTCAAGCTCGATCAAGGCTTTTATTATGTGAATGCTTTTGAGCCGTACGTTACATGATGCTGTTTCTTTTTGTTTTCACACTGACGTCAACCTCGGCCTAGGTTCATCTCGACTATGGAAACAGAGACCATAGCCTCGCGTAACGTTGTCGATCTACTCTTGCATGAAGAATTTGGGAGTGGGATTTGTGGCGCTCTGCTCTCGGGAACCGAGAACGCAACCCAAACCACAACGCCAGCTGACTTTGTGCTCGGCTGGGATTGTTAGATTGTTTGAGCGTTGATGAGTATATTACCAAGATGAGATATATCCACATTTTTATCCACCAGTGTTGTGTGAACTGCTTGCCGATGTACAGAACTTGTTTCATAATAGATTTATAGGGAATTGTACACTACTCTCCCTCTCCTTGTGGATACGGTGTGCCATAGCCAAGTGAGTACAGAAGGGGAAGTTAGCAATATCTTAACTAAATCCCCCACCACCGCGTGACGGATGCAATCGGATCAGGCTTGGGATGACGGCTATCTTATTGAGCCAGGTTATTAGCCCTGACAAGCCGTCCCTTTGGCTGTCGCCTGCGTGACTTTAAGCCTTGAGGTTTCAAAGAACCTTGAGAAAACGAGACATTCGACCTCGCAGACGGTGTATGGTAAAGATAAAGATACTATTTGAAGTTTTTGCTAGTGTACGATGTGTACAAATTATTTTAGGGTGACGTGAGGCATGAGATTCATTCGTCGTAGGGTCACCGACCCCGGCTACGGCAAAGGAGACAAAGCGAGTGCATACAATGCTTGTGATAAAAACGAGAGGCCAAGAAAAATCAGGGATATGCTCACTCAGTGAACAAGCCCACACCATCATGCAATCACGGATATTCTGGCCCCGCGCCGCCCCTGCAGTACTTCCAGCTCAACGGGCTTCTCATCCGCATCCGATTCACGAACGTGCATATTGTCGTTAACTTGGAAATTACACGCTGAAATTTCTTGCGAAACTGGTTGGCTGCGTCTGGCAGCACAGGTGATCGTGTCGAGCGTTGATTCACGTGGATCTAAGGCGGTCGTGAGGTTTGGTTCCATAACGTCACGCCATACTTCGATATAGTCATTCGCGTATTCACCGATCTGGATTATCTTGTTAGGCTGGGGGAACATTTAAGAGTATATCCACGCCTACCTCGACCTCGTCAAGACCGAGTGATTCGCTCCCAGCTGGTACGCGTATGCTGAGACCAGGAATTGTGTCGACATAATGGACAATCAGAGCAGTGACGACGAATGTATATAAACATGTCGCGATGATATAGGCGAACTGAATGTAAAGCTGCTTCCAATTGTGGTCGACCCAGCCGCCAATGACATTCGTGTTGACGCCATCTAGGCCAATAACGGTTTCAGTAGCAAAAAATGCGTTCGTCATGAGGCCCAAGACCCCGCCGATAGCGTGCTCGGCAAAAAGATCAAGTGAATCATCTATTGCGAGAAGGAACTTCACTAAGGGATGCGTCAACATCCGCACTCCAGACTGATTCAGAAGCCTCACATTTAGTTGCGTAGTTACATATAGCGCCGGTGAAAATGCCCATAATGACTGACGCCCAGGGCTTGATGAATCCTGCAGTAGGCGTGGCCGCAACGAGACCAGCGATGGTTCCTGAACAGAATCCGACCATACTATACTTACGTTCTAGGCGGTAGTCGATGAGACACCAAACGATACCGCCAAACGTAGCAGCGATCATAGAGTTCCACATGGCCATGATGGCACGCAGGTTTGCACCAAAAGCACTCCCACCGTTAAAACCTAGCCAACCAAACCAGAGGATAAAGGTGCCCAGGTTGACCATAGATACATTGTGTGGTCTGAAGTTCTGGAGCTCCTTGTCCTGTCTGCGGCCAAGCACCCAGGCATAGGCAAGACCTCCTACCCCGCTTCCGATTTCCACGGGACCTCCACCTTTGTAAATCAAAGAATATTAGAAAATCTGCACGGCAATGAAGCAGGACTAATTAACCTGCAAAGTCAAGAACACCGAATTTAAAACCCCAGCCGTTTATGTTCCACGCCCAGCAAGCAATGGGGCAATAAACTAAGGTCAACCAAAAGAATGTGATGACCATCGCTGGGAGTACCCGACCTCGCTCGGCGATCCCGCCCACCAGTATTCCTACTGTGACGCATGCGAATTCCATTTGGTACAATGCGTACAATAGCGCAGGAATTAGAGGGGAACCTGGGGAAGGTTCGTTGAGGACGTTTATCAGGCCAAAGTTCGCCAAGTTTCCTATGAACCCGTTGTTTGCGGTTGGCGAAAATGCCAAGGAATAACCCCAGAAGTACCACTGAAAGATACAGACTGCATTGCTAGCAGAAACTACCCAGATAAGCGACAATGCGGACTTTCTTCTGGATAATCCAGAATACAGAAAAGCTGGAAATAACGTGAGCATAAGTAAGCGGATATAAGAGAGAGAAAATATACGAACAAAGACCAGGTATCATGAAAAATACCATGGCAGATGCCACAATAATGAAAGAGACGTCTCCACCATTGAACCTGTGAGATATGAGAGAAATATTGGGTTCGAAGACCTGTTGGCAGAATCGCTATTGCCTCACGGTGTGTCACCCTGTCCTGTAGGTAGCGCGAGATGTCGAGTTCTGTATTAGTGTCTCTGCTAAGTATTTGCCGTTGTGGACGCACTCTTTTTCAGGATAGCATTTGACGCATTGATTATGCTCGTTAGTACCATCACGCCGAATGATGGGAGACGCTTAGTCGATTGTCTGGAGAGCTACGGGTGGGTCACCTATTCTTCCACAACCAGAATCAATTTATAGTCAGAGCGTGACCTTGTATGTATATATCTAGTCTGAATTTCATTGCCGAAAAAAATGATGGATGACGCAGCGTGTGAACAGCTGTGGTCACGATCTCCAGCCAAGGGAATGCGGGGATGGGTTATTGACATCCGACGTGGCAGGTCGCAGTTGATGAGTTATGATCACATCTGGTCACACCACAGTGGCATGCCACTGCCGGAGACAATCAAGGTACGTGTCACGATGTGATTGAAATATACGAAACCTAGTGTCGTGGCATGCATGTGGCAGCATGCATCTATCCATCATAATCATGTTAAATGATTGTGGTGTCGGGGCTGTCAGACTTCTCCAGCCAGCTCATACCTTCATGCTATTATCACCTGGTGCATTCTTGCTGTAGTCGGACGGAGCTATGCAGAGAGCGTATGAATGCTTAAGCATGTAGAGAAGCTTTAGGAAAAGTAAAAAAGTGATATTAGTGTCTGATTTCGCGACAATGCAGAATGTACCGACCAGTCGTTTAATGAGTCCACTTGCCAGTGGACATAGATGAATTGGGAGTGTTGCCATTGTTACCATTCGTTGGCATCACGGCAACAGAGATCGACTCATCTGAACTGTGGCAGCTCGGGAGAAGACAGTCTAATAGCAAAAGCCAACTAGTAGTCAACTTTCCGTAGGAGGTGAATGATATTGGCGGAGTTTCGGCTAAGTCTGAAATAGGAAGAGAAGTATGGAAAGCCGGAGCACCGTGCTCGTCAGTGTTTTTGGTCACGTGCATTGCCTGAAGCTTCGACAGGACTCCTGACACGCCTCCGAGATACAGGGACTACATACATGGACGAATCACAAATTCAGCACGATAATTTGGAGGATGAAGTATACTACGACGAGGATGAGGACGAGGACGAGTTGATGGGAGAACGTTAACCCTACTGAAGCCAGTTTATTTTTGGAGGACGAAATAAATTAACTGTCAATTAATAAGTGTTCCTAGTATCACGTAGAGTGAAACACGAGCAGCCGACCGACAAGTTGTCGAGAAGTACACTCGGTACATCGACGATGTCACACAATTCTCTTGGAAACTCTCGCACTTGCGCACCTCGTCCAGGCGAAAGACTCTCGGAATCAGCTCATTGCTACTAGTTTCATTCGCATTGGCCGCAGTGGGGGCCTTGAACAGCCCACGAGGGGACAGATCTCGCAGTGGTCACAGGCACAATAAACAGATCATTTGCAGGAGGCACACATTTTTCTTTGACATCCTGCCAACAACTTCACATGAAATAAACTGCCACTCAATAACTCTGACAGTTTATTTTTCTTCGCTTTTTCCAAACAACAAATACATCTACAACCGACGTCCTAAGGGCTCGGCAATACTCAGTAGCACTCCGCACGGCAGCGAGAAGTCCTCTGAGCTCTCTGCAGCATTCTCGCGTCGCCAAGAAAGCTTCGGCAGCTCAACAAAGCCATATCATCAACTGCTCTATCTACTCCGACCTCCCAGGAATTTTCTGTCTGCCGCAGTCCTACCCCGCACTGGACTCTTGCCTGCCAGACGCGCCCTCTCCGCCTTTGTGAATGCTCAAGTAAGCTTGTCAGGACCGTTGACTTGTTCGTGGCTTTCTCCGGTCGTTACAATGTGCCTAGTAACGTTTAACGCGTCAAGGTACTTGTATCTATCATGTCCAATGCATACCTCCATTATCTGTCGGCCTAATACGCGCGCTTCCAGTACTTGCTTCCCATGCCAATAGTTCTACCGATGAACAAACAGTCAACCAGAGTGTAGCGTTACTTGACTCTAATGGGGTCTTCATCAAGCCTCGACTTGAAGAATTCATCTTTATCAGACATATTGTCTCCCCCCACGCCTTCAACCAAGAATCTAACTCCAGATGCTCCACAAATGCTCATTCCGCCACCATCCGACTTCTTCATTTCCTCGCATCTTTGCTACTTCATCATGGACAACGTGTAAGGGTCGAGCGCATCATCTCCCGTTCCCCTTTACATTCACGTTCTTACCCGCACACCGCCGCTACCTATCCTCTGTCTTGCCCTCATCACCGCTTCCCCCGCTGTCAAGTGTATATAACAGAAGCGCTCAGGAAAGAATGTCGTGAAACCCGCCGCGCTTACACAAAAGCAGCGCATAAGGGCAGGTATTCATACTGTATTGGCCGTCAGCAAAATCAAGAGTGGCAAGACGGTGGAGCGGGGCAGGTCGGGAGTGGCAGGGGTCCTGGCTCGTAGTCGGTAGTCCTCGCGCGTGTCGTAGTCCGTCCTCGATAGTGAGAGCCGTAGCCTCCCGCCATAGAGGTCTGGCCTTGGTTCCCTTGCAGTCCGTGCCCATTCCAACGGTAGAGAACCGTTTAGCTTAAGAGATTATTGCTGTTGTTAACGGAGACAGCAAAGCTATTACTGACAAGGAGCTGGCACACAAACAGGCAATGGTGAATAGGTATGTACACCATTGACATCGAGTAACTTTAATTGATATATTCCACAGGGGAAAAGTGAGGATTTGCATTTCTCCCCTTCCTGTGATGGCCCGCCGAATTCAATTTCCTGCTCTGTGAAAAGGTCCCACTTCTTCTCTCTCAGGTTGTTCGTGACGCCAGTTGTCCCCAGCTATGTACGATCTGCCTTTTGAACCTCCCGTCATTTGTTCCTTGATGCTTGATGTTGCCAACGATCATCAAACTGCAGGGTCTTTATCTTTTCTGCACGCTGTTGAGTGTTGTCGCTGTTGTATTTTACACAGCTTACTCTTAGCTCTCTGTCCTGTTTTTCTCTGTGCATTGGCTTATCCTTTCCCGCAGTGTGCGATGATCGTCTGCAAAGTCTGGTGCCGCATCGCATGCGTACTTGACGAGCGTTGTGTACTGCATGCCGTTGCCCATACCACCACAGAATACCGTACCCATGTACTATGACATTCTTGGCTTTTGTGATCTTTCGTTGAGCAACGTGGTCATTGTTGACCGTGCACTGAGTTGTTTGTAGGTTGTGTGTAGTTTGACGGCGAGTCGATTGTGACTCACAATAAGTGTCATCACAAAGTCACACCTCTGGTCATAAGTGAAATATATTTAACCTGCGTCTATAATGCAATGGCCCTGCCTCCCATCATGATCACAGCAGCATCATTCAGAAGTAGCTCTGTTCTTTGACCTGTAGGAATCGCGTCTTGCATCATAGTCAATGTCAAGGGTGTTGGCTGTACCAAACTACTTAGTAACCAATGGTCAACTGCACAGCAACGTGCATCACGTCCTAGTGCATGGGGTGGCTTCCCTGTGGACCCCAAGTCGCTGTATGGCAATGTGCATTTGCAATTCTTTCAGTATGTAACAGCCTCACAAAGAAAGAAAAAGATGGAAAAAACCAATGAGACTTGCTGGCTGTAGAAGATGGTGTGCTCTGGTGACCAGGGCAGTGCAAGAGTGGAGAGCAATAATGACAATATGTATGCCTAGATGTAAATAACTCCAGTCTAGTCGCGTGCATCACAATCTGTCTATTGTACCTGCACTTTCGTTCCCTCCGCATTCGCCTTCACTGCTGTATCCTCGTCGGCCTTCGCTGCATCCGCCTTCTTCCCCGCCATCGTATCCAACACGCTCCACAAACTCCCACTCATCTCTCGCGCCATCGCCTTCCTATCTTCCTCCAACAGCCGTTCAAACTCGTCCTTGTGCGTCGCGATGTACGATTGCTCCTCTTTATACTGCCGCTGCGCCTCAAGGCGTTTCTGCTCAAGGTATGTCAAAGGGATAGGCGAGCGCGAAGACTGCAGAATGGTAAAAGTCAGTCGTCGCACGGGAAGGGAGTAAGAACAAACTGACTTCAGTTGGGCCGCCGAACATGCCGCTCAGCGTAAACCCGCCTTTGGATAATCCACGCGCCTTACTTTTCCACTCCTCGATATGCTTTTGCTTTGCCTCTGCCTCCTTCTCCGCGTATTCGATAGCAACATCTTTTCCAGCATACGCTTGGAGGATGGGCCGCACGTCAGGTGACTTGTAAATCGCAATGGCTATACAAGAAAATTCGATTAAGGTTAACTGAGAAGGATCAAAGGTGTGAACATACACTCCAAAAAGGGGATCATGGCAATCAAGCCCTTGTCTCCGGGCGCACCGGTCCATTTGGGGATGATGACGGCGTTCTCGGGATGTGAGCTTACATGCTCCGGGTGTGTATCAAGGAGGATAACTTTTGACAGGTCACGATTGAGATAAGAAAGATCCTAGGAGAAAACAAGGTTTTAACGATAGTCAACGAAGAAAGTAAAGTGGAAGATTAACAGATGATGAGAGTTACCTTGACAATTTTACCGTCCACTGATCGTGTGGCTTCGCGGAAAAGCTTATAAGTGATAAAGAAATTATATGGGTCAAGTTTCTCAATTATGGGCATAGCGGTCTGTTGGTTTTGAGCATCGACTTTGGTGCTAATGGGGATAATACGTACATAATGGTGCTGGGTTGTAAATATCACAATTTCGTAGAACTGGGACAGGTAGGCAAGGAAATAATCAACGCCAGGGCGTTTGGCTGTCCGCCATCCTTGCTGTCGCTGAGGATAGAGATATTATCAGCGACGTTTTGAACTTAGACGAACCAACCTACATCCCAAGTTGAGGTAATAATAAGATCATCCATGGACAACAGGAGGGTGTACGGTTTTTGATGGGGAGCTGGGAGAGGTGGCGGGAGTAGTTCTGGCCATTGGGGTTTGTTGAGGTACTGTCGACGTGATCAATAAATTTACGAGCTTATGTGTCATGGTATTAATGGTGTCACGTACATCAAACAGCTCCCAAAACCTCGACTTCGTTCGTTCCCACCTTCCTGACGGAGCCTCCTCCACAGTCTGTTCAAAAATAAATAAGGGCGGAGCGAGTTCCAACTATAGGCGCACCTGTTTCCGTTCCTTCAACTCATCCGTCTCCCAATCTCTACCGAGATACACGACTTGCACACCGAGAGCAACTGCAAGTACACCAAGAGACAGACGTCCCAAAAATCGTCTTTTTCGCTCTATACTCGAGAGCGAGTCCTTGGATGATTTTGCACCGGTGCGCTGAGTCTTTTCTGGTTCTGGTTCCACGGGTTGGAAGTCAAGGCTTGGGAGTGACGTCGGAGGTGAAGAGGGCGGGTTTTGAGGAGGTGATGGAGGTGGTGTTGAAAAGTGACGGAGTGCTGGAAGGGCGCGTCGTTGAGCTGCGCTGCGCACGATCACTGAAAACATTCCACTAGCGAGGACGTGAGGTACTTTTCAGCTGGCAAGTATTGTAGAACAACTAGAAAGAAATGAATGTCACTGTTTGGTTATGTTTGGTAGACGCTCGTTATTTGTTTCAGTACATTCAATGGACCGTCATTGAACGTTATTGAACCATGTCCAGCTTCAAGAGCATGAAAGCGATTGACTGTATGATCTTCGCACGTCGGAGGCTTGGCGTCAACTGTGAAGCGACACTTTCATGAGAGCTTTTTTCAGTATGTATGTTCCTTTGAACAAAGTCATGTTTTGACGATTAAACGCCAGAGCTCTTATGTCTGTCGCTGAGCCTGGAATGTCTCGAAGAACACCAGCACTGTACCATTGACGAGGCTCTGCGTGCAAGTTAAGACTAGAAGGTTTAATACCTAGGCATCAATCCCCGCATCCAGCAAACTCGCCGTAAGTATTACTTGTATAATTTACTAGCGGCAACCGGTATGTCAGTACTCACTTTCGCTCATATTGAATGTGTCGTTTGACCTCCATATCCAGCTGAAGGGCTAGAAAAACTACATGTGGACTCTGCTACTAGTAATACACATTTCATATCATCCCTTGCCGTGTCTTGTAAGTTAACAAATAAAAATTCACAGAAATTCACAAGATTATGCCCGCCGCCTCACTCAGCAGCCCCAGCAGTCGATCCTAACCACCATGTAAGCCAAAATAGAGCTCGAATAGGATGGACTAGTACCTTCTCTCCTGCTGAATCTGCGAACATCCGCCATTCGACGCCGTCGACGAAGCGCAGAGCAAACGAATGGGGGATCGCTTCTAGTTCCTCGAAGCCCTCGTACCATTCTGCAAGTGAATCAATCCGTCCGTACAGAGGGAGGATGTCGAGGGGTTTGACGACCTCCTAAACATTTATGAAACTCGAATGAAATGGGAATGAATTGAGCTCACCCTTGGATTTCCGTATAGCAACATCTTGGATTCTGCATGGCTCAGTTCAAATGTGTAATATCGCCTCTTCCATGCCAGCGTGTTGGGCGGTTGTACCGTGACCCAACCTGCCATCTTATCTGCCCTGCTGGTGGAGAATAATTCCTCGTTCATGCGAGCAATTCTCATGCGTCTCCCTTCTTCTGACCTTCTACGCTCTTCCTCCTTCTCACTGTACTGGGACTCGGCGCGCTGCATCTGCTCTGCTCGCCACCGCTCCATTTCCTTCGTGTGTTGCAGCCTGCGCTCTTTCTCTAGCCGTCTCCTCTCTCGTAGCTCTTGCAATTGTTGTTCTTCTGTTTCTCTTCTCTCTCTCTCCAGTCTCGCTTTTCTGAGCGCTGCAGCCCGCAACTCCTCTTGCAGCATTGCTTTCCTTTCCTCTTCTTCCTCACGCTGTAAGCGTTCTTGCTCCACTTTCTCACGCCGTTTCGTCTCTTGGCGTTCATGTTCTTCCCTCAGCATGGCGTCTTTTTCCAGCTGGGATTGGCGCTGCGCAGCCAATCTACGGCGCTCTTTCTCTTCGGGCGTTAATGGCATAGTAGGAGGTGAATTCACCTTGACAGGTATTCGTGGCGGCATTTTCTGGATGATGGGGATTGGCTGTGAGGTAGACTGCGGTGGTCGCGATAGGACGTCAAGATCGACATCGAACAGGAGGGACTTCTTGCCATTGTATTCTTCTCCTAGGAAAGTACGTCGTGTAGACGCTGATGCCCACTTGTAATCTTTGGGAGGAGGTGGCGGTGGTGGTGCATCATCGGCATGAACAATATAGGGCTCGACATGCGTGTTTTGATTCCTGCGGCACGGCGCAAAAAGTTGAGTGAGGAAGCTGCCTTTGCATATGTGTGCGGGAGAGGTGTTCATGGTACTGGTCTGTTAGTGTAGATTGAATGAGTGGGGTATCTTGTGGATGAGCTGGTATCGTTGGATTGTGATAATAAGAAAACAAAAGACGTGGAGTTGGTTGTAACGCCCAGTTGCCAGACAATGCGCACGCCTATTGCAATTATTTGTCCCATATGTGGTTGCAGGTAGTGGTTGCATTCCTATTGTGCCTGATCCCCATCTGGCAATTGCGTGGGCGTCTTTTGAACTCTTTTCACCATAAAACTTTACGGTCCATTTACAATACACCATGCTATGGCTCCAGAGTTCTCCGGCCACCTTACGCCTTCACGCCATTGTTTGTCGTCGATCAGCTAGCAGGTATTTTGCTGTGGCTAGATGGCTTCATGCGGGACCGTCAACACCATTATACGAATCTAAATATGCAGAGAGGCTTCAGCAAAAAGCACAAGAGTGAGATGTGTCCTCCTTTGTGCCCAATTTCGTGACAATGTACTGACAACTGATCCGACTTTTCCTTCTTGTTCTTCCATTGTGCCTACCTGGACATGACCTTCTGACTCTGGGAATATCCTCATTGTCAACACTCGTTGGCATCACCAGGCAGGGATTAGAATTATCTGAACTGAGAACGCGTGCAAAAGAAGCAGCTCGTCGTAAGGAAGTGGCTAATGTCAAGTCAGCGCGACTGTCGCAGGCCCATCCGCAAAGGTTGAACAAGTCACCTTCAGAAATGGTTCGAAGCAAGGTATCAGGAACTTCAAGCGTCCGCAAAGATAGCTCTCCGGTGAAAGTAAGTGTTGCCTGTGTCATAATTTCCTGTGCGGGACTGATTTATCGCTGCTTTCAGGCACTAGAATCTGTCATAAACGTCCAAAGGCTGATGTCAACTCCTCATACCGCGGAGCAAATTTCGGCCTTGTGGACGACTTATCATGCCTCTCGCACAGGAGGCACGGGAAGGGGATTTATCTGTGCATCGGTACCGATCAAACTCTATAACAAAATGCTTGCCATAGGAAAGCAATATCCCATGTTTGTCATGCCTGTCCCTCGGGAAGGCTCTTCAGCCGTATCACCTGAAGGCCAAGAAAGTGCGGTCGCCCACGAATTCTATTTTCTACAATGGGACTTTCACGCTCCCCCATTGCCTCCATCTGCCACCGGTCCCGACCTATTCTCTCGCGCCCCTCCTAGTAACGCAACCGCCCTGCCCCAGACAGCGACGGTCTTGTTTACACCGCTCCAAGAGTACAAGCTTCGACAGTCGTTCGCGACCCCGTATCTCATTCTAACATTCTACCCCGACTTTGCTCAGACGCATGGAATAGTGCTACTTCGCGGCGAGATCACGCCATCAGCAGCTACGGCGGCCGCTGTTCCAAGTCTAGGCACGCCAGCCGCCCGTTTTTTACTGAGTCAGATTGACGCTCAGCTGCTTGCAATGGGCGTGCAAAAGTTTTATTTGTGGGGCAATGAGAGTGAAGATAGTAGTCAGAAGGGGGATCAGAAGGCTGAAAAGCTACTCAGGCAGTTCCACGAACAGCCCGAGGAGTTTAATTGGGCAGATTTCCTTGAACATGCCCGTCTTACCTCCTAGAAATGTCTGTCTTTGCTAACATTGTCGCGCGGAGATTCGGATCATCATGGTGCAATGTTACATCTTGGCAATGGATTTACAAAGTTACGCGATCATTGGCATAGTCCTACGTTGATCGTGCAAAGATTGAAGATTCATAGGGTCAAGGCAATGTGATCAACGGTGCCTTCTTCACCCACTCATTTTTCTCTAATTCTTGCACAACGAATGATGCAAACCCTGCCCTTGTTACCCATATCCCTGTTTTCCCGTCTCCCACATAACCTACAACAACATTCTTGTCATTTGCTCCGCTTAGCAGGGGTACACGGACAATCGTCCAATCCAGATCGTTTCCTTGGGTCCGAATAGTCTCACCAATGGCTACAACATCTTCGTATGCTGTACGTGCCAGGGTGGCTACGCCATTAACTATTATAGACATCCGCAGACTGAATTTGTCGTTCGGGTCTGTTATGCTTGGTGTCCCAAGGGCCAGTAGCCTATGCACATGGTGGCCTATCATAAGTTCAATGATCAGAGAATATGCCCGCGCAAGAGGTGTGCCCTTCGGGTGCATAGGTCCGCGCGAGACCGATGGCCCCAGAGCAGACAGCACGGCGTCAACGCTCATTATGGCGGATGAAAGCGCCTCTCTGTCATCGAGCTCCCCCTTGTGGATTGTGACGCGGGGGTCATATCTGATGTCCTCAGAGAGTTTATCTGGCGAGCGCGCATATACAACCACGGTGTGCGATGCTGCGAGTGCTTCCTGGATAAGAAGCACACCTGCAGCACCTGTTGCTCCCAGAATTAAGACGCGCATGATAGTCTACTTCAATGATCTGATTTTGGGTGAACTAAGCGCTCAAGTTACTATCAAGTATCAGAGTTCTCCGATTAACGTACCTTTCGGCAGGAAGGTTCACTGTGGTGGGGATACTAGTTGTGAAAGTGGGTTGGGGGTAAGAACGACTATCTTCGTAGGTCAGCCTAGACTCGGAGGAGACCACTGCGGAGTGGGAGTATCGTCACCGCAACTCCATCTCGTCATCGACATCTGCCTTCCTTTCCAAGCCGAGAATTAACCCATCCCAGTCGACTCCCACGTTAGTGAAGGAGGGCTCTTGTCGAACTCGAACGTGTTTCATCTTCTAAAATCTCTGCCGACTCTACCCGTTTTCTTCAGCGCAGGATCCTATATTACTGGGCGTGACTAGGGTTTGGCGTTACCGACTTCGTTTCACTGGCACTTGCTCCGCTGCATGTGCTACTGTTTCCTCCTCAATGTTTTCGATTCTGCCGATGAACTACAGGCGAGGGTGTTTTCTAACACATGTGCTAAGTTCTTCCGAGGTGTGAATGAAGACGACACTAAAAAGAAAAGGGTGGTTTTATCTTTAACTCAAGTATCGTTGTATCCAGCCCGAGTATCACTTGCCGCCGCCAGAATGGCTGACAATTTTGTGTAACATGTATCTCGACATCAACTGTAGTTCTGAAAGATGTAGTATGTTCGCAACAAGACTGAGCAAACAATAATACCATGACCACGAATTCTCGACCTATCGTTGTGACGCTAAGGGCTCGGAGCGCCCCTTAGACCAAATGGAGCCAGTGGTGATCGTGTTTGCCTATTTGGCTTGTGTAACTTGATCATCTACACTACTCTCCGCTAATACCCATCTTGACTCGATTGCACACAGCTGGCCACACACGTCAACGTTTCAACAGTCGAAAGGAAACTAGTTTACACCGGAATTCGATGAAAGAAATAGCCGGCAGGGTTCACTCTGCATAAGGAACAATTATCTCCATTTTGCTGATCACAACGTGCAGTAGTCAACGGCTGGTTGGAAATGCGAATATTCAGCAGTTCCACACTTGCCAATCATCTCATATACCTTCAAGCTTCGAATGCTGGCAATATGCATGTAGTTTTATGCGGTGCTGGTATTAATTGTAGATATACATCCATTTGGAGGCACGTCCGCGCTACAAGAAGTCCAGAGAACAATATAAAAGCCAACTGTCTTCCTACTATCACCTTCAGAATTACCTGATCCCACACACACGAGTCACAAACAATGCGTTTCTCCTCTGCAATTGCCCTCACCGTCATTAATATTGTTGCTTTAGCATCATCGATATCTGCTATGCCCACCGAAGGTTATGCAGCTGACGCCAACAAATGTGCCAAGCTTTGCATTCATGACTCACAATGCCGCAGTCTTGACTGCTCTTATAACCAATGCGTGAGTATCAACATTTTCCTGAACTCGATAACACGACTCACCTACATGGCAGACCATTTTGTTTTTCTGCTCAGTGAGTCGTATTTTTGCTTTCACATTGGTGGTGTATGGCCGTTGATATTGATGCGCGAGTTACTAGTGATTTGTAGAGTGGATCAACACACCCACATATTGGAATTAGCGTGAAATAGGGAATGTTAGACTAAGATAAGACCCACGAAGATTGCTATCAAGGGGCGTGCTGATCAGTCCGGATCCTATATTACTGAGCTACTAGGGTTTGGCGTTACCGACTTTCATTGGCACTTGCTCCGATGCATGTGCTGCTGTTTCCTCCTCAATGCTTTCGATTCGGCCGATGAACCACAGGCGAGGGTATTTTCTAACACATGTGCTAAGTTCTTCCAAGGTGTGAATGAAGACAACACTAAAAAGAAAAGGGTGGTTTTATCTTTAACTTACTGAGTATCGTCGTATCCAGCCCGAGTATCACTTGTCGCCAAAATGGCTGACGGTTTTGTGTAACACGTATCCCGACGTCAACTGTAGTTCTGAAAGATGTAGTATATTCGCAACAAAATGGAGGTGACTGAGCAAACATTAATACCATGACCATCTCTCGACCTGTCGTCGTGACGCACTCTTGGGCTCGGAGCGCCCCTCGAAGCTTGAATTCGCGCATTACATCGTAGCGGCGTCAGCGGCAGAGTTGTGGACCTTTTGAAAATGTCGAAGTTTGATAGGTAAACTCAGCTGGGCTGAGCTCACGAACTGAGCCCTAGAATTGAGCAGCCCTAATAGCTCACTTATAATCGACATCCTTCCCCGTTCGCACAGGAAGGCCAGAAAACTTGGCTCGCAGCGCTTCATACTTCCTCCGCTGCACAGCAGACACGCTGGGACCGACCTTATCCTGAGCGCGAATGAAATCCTCCTACACGACAACTACTCGCGGCTGATTCTCTACCAAACCTCCATTGCGCGGCGTAAAAATCGTCCGAAGTAATGCAGAGAGGGGCGAGCCGAGCGGCTGTGAGGGGAGAGTGATGTGCACTGAGAAAGTGTGCGATGGAAGAAGTAGAGAGTTGGGATGCTAGAGAGAAAAATGGTATTATACTTGGCATGATATCGGCTGGGGGCGTTGGTGGCGCATCCAATGCCATGGGAGTATCTTGGCCGACATTTTCTGATGCCTCTGGTAGGACGAGCGTGCCGTCTGTGAGCTATTTGAAGATGCGTTTGACAGCAATGATGCCCGCTGCACCTGTTAAGGCTGATAGGTCTGCGCCTACGTAGCCAGGCATCAGTTTGGCAAAGGCAGCAAAGTTAAAGTCACCGTCTAGCCGGAGTTTTGCGCATAGTACTTGCAGAATTCTGCAAAAGCTTGAATCTAACAAACAACGGCATGACACTACGGACTTACTTGGTTCGTGCCTCTTCATCTGGAACACCCAAGCTTATCTTGTGGTCGAAACGGTCTGCGCGACGAAGAGCAGCATCTAACGACTCGTGCTGTCTTCCCTATATAGCTTCTGGTCTGCCCGTGCTGCAGCAATTGGCGGTCAACAAGTAGCCTGACGCGACTCATACAGTGTTATTCTGTTTGATCATTCCATTACGAATGCCCTCGTACACGATTTCGTCAGTTCTCCAGACCAATTACTTGACGCCAATGGAGGCACCAACTTTACTGCAGCAATTCAGCGAGCTCAATCGGTCATGGAACAACATTGGAGCACAGAAAAGTGTGTCGGTCTTCCCAAATACGTCCAGGATCTTTAACATTGTTTTCAGGAGCCCTGTAATCCGGATGGCGAGTGCCGTAGTATTGCGGATCAGACTGTTCAAGATTTGTGCCGCTCCGCGGTTCGTCTTGGGTTCGTTAGATTGGCAACCTGTAACACAATCTCTAGTAAAGCTTTGTCTTTCCACGCAGTATCAAGCTTCTACCTTCTTGTGACGAATAACTCCGAGTCAAATTGCACTTGACATCCAGAACAACGCCCCAAGAGATCCTTTGGCCTCTCACAGTAACGTGACGCATGAGCCTTTTCGGGCATAACAAAACCACGTGAGCTTTTTCTAAGCCCTTCGCTAAGTCCTTGTCTGCGATCGACTTCGACAACGGAACATTCGAGTGTGTTAGCGGCCCGAAGCCACCCTCTCTATAAAGGGTCTAAGAGACCCGGTTTCTATGTCATGGGAAACTAGTACATGTCACACATATTTGTTACTACTTGCATACATACTACAAGCTCATGTATACCTAGTGATGTTCCGGCCCGGCTTTGAGCCCCGGGCCAGCCGAAGCCGGGCCTAATTGAGCCGGGCCTAGCCCAGGCCTAGGATATGGCCTGACCACGGCTTAGGCCTAGGCTTGGATTTTGCGAAGCCTAAGCCGCCGGCCCAAGCCGCGGCTTAGACTATATACTTGTTGCGCCAGACAGCTTTCCCACAGGTGAGCGCAAAGTTCCTGGAATTCGTGCTTCGTCTACCATTCTGTTCGGGGTTTGTAGACTATATACAGTAACCGGTCGTAGTACAGTGGCAGCTAAGTACACGCCAGCGTTTTGTTGTTGTTGATGACGTTGCTCTGAAGTGAGCCTGAGGCCTGAGCTTCAAGCTTCAAGTGCTGGCAATATGTATGCAGTTTCACGCGGTGCTGGCATTAAATATTAATGGTAGACATGCATCCATTTGGAGGCACATCCACGCTACAAGAATTCCAAAGAACAATATAAAAGCCAGCTGTCTTCCTGTTATACGCCTTCATGCTTCAGAATTTCGTACACACGCCGAGTGACAAACAATGCGTTTCTCCTCTGCAATTGCCCTCACCGTCATTGTTGCTTTAGCATCATCGATCTCTGCCATGCCCACTGAAGGTTACGCAGCTGGCGCCAACCAATGTGTCAAGCCTTGCATTTCTGACTCACAATGCCACAGTCTTGACTGCTCTTATAATCAATGCGTGAGTATCAACATTTTCCTGAACTCGATAACACGACTCACCTACATGGCAGACCATTTTGTTTTTCTGCCTAGTGAGTCGTATTTTTGCTTTCACATTGGTGTAGTATGGCCGTTGACATTGATGCGCGAGTTATTAGTGATTTGTAGAGTTGATCAATACACACCCGCATATTGGAATTAGCGTAAAATTGTGAAATATAGGGAATGTTAGACTAAGAAACGACGCACGAAGATTGCTATCAAGGGGCGTGGTGATCAGTCCACAGCGCAGCCTCACACTGACGGTGTGACATAGACGGGCTTCGAGTTGAAGATCAAATATAAGTATGTATGCGTATGATGGACCCAACAAAAACGCACCTAGGTCCTGCATATTTTACAGCGGCTATCAGAATCTAACTCCAACTTGAAGCTTGCGACAAGATCCAGATAGGCATTGAACGGAAAAGCTACTTCAAGCCATATTTTCTAATCACATAGTGAGCATCTTGAATCAACTGTTGATTCCTTGGCAAGATGAGATGATTGTCCCGGTAGATCGAATACATGATAAGTGCAGAATCACCTCAGAGACGGCAGTCATCATTATTGTCACATGTCACATCGTTACAAGCCATTTAAGTTACAGTTTTATTGGTGAGCGATGTAGATTGTTGCGTTCGAGCGTTGTGCGAAAATGGAGTCCGGGACTAGGCGCTGTTACCTGGCATTGGATACAGGAATTTGAAAATAAATATTCGACTTCTATCTCAACAACGGTTCCTGAGGCCTAGGGCCGCACCTATTTTATACTGCTTAGATGCACCTCATGATACCGTCATAGTTAATTGATGCTTGCTGGATGAATCGATGAATTTCGAAGCCAATTCATCCACCGTCATTGGGTGGAGCACAGTACTGCTGAGACTCGAGATATGAGATCTTAGTGCTGAGTCGATACTCGCGCAAGTAGCTGGTACGTACAAATGTGCGCCACAAGTGCCAAGTATCCTGACGTATGCGAGCTCTAGCATCCAATACTCACAATGTACTTTCAACTTGTAGGCTGCTTGGCAGCATACGTAGACTTTATCACACCTGCAGATGTCATAGTGCACGGTGAATGGAAACGATCAACAGAGCCCCCGGTCGTCTGCAATGAACATTGCTGCTTCTATTAGGTCGGGGAAGGTGCCTTCAGCCATCCCCCAGCAGCTAGTGCATCTTCCTCTAGTGCAAGAATAGCCTCTCCAAGCTCACCAGCGTTCTGGGGGCATAATTTCACCATATCTCTCCCGTATGAGGTACCAAACGCATCAACGATACCTGGCACAACATCCTCCACCCGTACATTCTTTCCTTTCGCTTCCGTTATGCACCCAGCCTTGACGTCAACTAACCCACACGCCACAACTTGTGCAAACCACTCCAAAGGCTCCTTTGTGACGTTCATAGCAAATCCGTGCGTCGTGAGTCGGTGGCGTACTTGGACGCCGATACTTGCTATCTTTGTCACAGGGTCCAAAAATACGCCAGTATTGTCTGAGGGTACATGGGTAATCTCGTGCGTCCGCAGCAAATAAGATTGAATCATCTTTTGCATTATGCAAATGTAATCACGGATGCCAATCGGCGGAGATGTGCGAGCAAGGTCTAGAAGTGGGTAACCAACGAGCTGGCCGGGTCCATGATATGTCAATTGTCCACCGCGCGCTGCTATGAAAAATTCTGCGCCAATCGATGTTAGACGTGCACGTTCTGCGTGCAGTTCTTGTTCGGTTTGCCGGCGTCCCGATGTGTACACTGGGCGGTGCTCGAGTAGAAGCAGAATGTCATGATGAGATGATGAACGGCGAGCAGCAAGCTGAATTTGATGTATCTTTTCTTGGAGGAGGAGAGTCCGTGTATATGGTAGCGGTGTACGGAAGTAGTGATAAAAGACGGGTGGTAAAGGCATTGAATTCAATAGAACCTCAACATTAACTTCTATTAGTTGTTAACACACACGTGACAGATCAAAACATGGGTAAATACTCAACATAAGCGTCTGACTCTTGGCACCCAATCACCACGAAGAAGTTGTCCCAAAATTTCCACCCTACCAACGGGTATCCAACACTACTGTTTACGTGGAGTCGTGTCCTACCTAGCCCTTCGGTGCCATGATATTCAAACATCCATGATCGGCAACGTATTGGTACTAAACTATGGTGGTCATGAGTATAATATTCAATCATTAATGCTAATTGTCGTGTCCATTAAATGTTCAGACGGACCAGGCCCCACCTCAAATCGCTGCATAACATAACATGAAAGGGACGAGTTTTTTCATATATTGTCCGCATAGAATTGCCTAGCCTAGCCTAGCCCATCTTCTGCCGTTTGGGCGTTTTTTTGCGGCTGGTGCCTCCCCAACCCATATCATCCTCATCAAGATATTCTGCTTCGACCTAATGGACAGTCAGTCGAGGTAAGTCATACAATCATAACATGCAGCGCACGCCATAAACGTCATTGCCTTCAAATCCAGTTGCAGCATCTTTACTTTTGACGTAGTCTCTTCTGGAAGGCTGGGAACATGGTCCATGTCAGTAAACTCACTAGCTGTATAATATGGGCTTGGACAAACAGCATCGGCACTATCGAAGCCCTTTCCAAAACAAGACTTGAAGGCTTGGGTAATTTTTTTGAACAGGCGGGGCTCTTTCGTTTTCACTCCATGTTCAGCAAGGCTGGCATGGAAATCGTTATTCTGTCGATAATTAGCTGCCACACCACTATCGGCAAGCTGAGGCTGCTGCGCACATCTTTACGTTGCATGAGAGTTGGTGCAGTGGAAAACTTGACAATGGATCAAACAGATGCGTAAGTTAGACGTAAGCTGACGGCGTGGAGTGTGAGTGCAAGTAAGTTGCACTCTCAACTCGGTTCGTGAAGAGAGTTTTGATCTGTACCATCTAGGGTGCCACCTTATATCCTATCAAAAACCTGAATGCCGGAATCCTTAGGCGTCTGTGGCTCATAATAGACGAGTGAGTATTCAGCAAGCAACTGCGCCGTCCCAGGGCTACAGCATTGTCCCCGTTTTTTTCCCATCGCGTTCTGCTGATGGGCCCATTGTATTTTTCCTCGGTGCCTCGTGGCAATCTGGATATATGACATGGAGCGAGTTTGCAAGGTGGTCTCTTTCCCTCACAAGCTCAGTTATGCGAGTTCGTGTACATATCTCAGAGTCGCGAGCCACGCTGACAATAATCTCTTGGACACCATGCAGATGCGAAGCAGAATCCCATATGCTTGCCCGCTTCGGAGGATTCTCGCAAAGTGGTATGTATTTCTGGACTACCTGTGCAATTCTCCGTTAGACTGTCTTGTGTGCTTACGCTTACGAAGTTTCGGTCTCATCGAGTAAAACTCTTTAGGAAACGATCCCACTCATTTGAATCATCTGGGAACTGAAATTGCAAACGAAATCCATGTTTCCAAAGTCATTATAGACCTGGAGTTTTTTTTTTCAGAATTGAACATTTTCAACTTGGGTCCTCTATTTTGAACATGACCGGTCAACACCGGCAATTCGACTAGCCTAATCTTCGTAGGTGTGACCCATGATTTCCCTCAGACGCGTATGTCAGCGGGAATGTTGCTATCCCCGTTCTTGCCACACGGAAGGTCATTCTCCACCAAGTATCCCACAACAGTTGTTTAGCAATAAAAAAAATTCTTGTTTTCCACTATCGTACAACATTTTTTCTGCCATTAGTGTACATAAGATACCGTTAAGTTAGGTTCGGTTGGGTATGCATCAACAAAATGCTGTGTCCCTTTAAAAAAGAGACCGGCGCCCTGACGAGCGTGTGCCCCATGACATGTTATCGTCATCGAGCATTTCGGCCTAATGACAAAATCGATGAGTTACTTTCTTGAAGGAGCTAGATATAGATCTTACATAGCCGCCGCCCACAGGAGCGATTCTGTCAGCAGTTGGGTAAGAAGGCGGCATCGAAGGAGAAAACGCCTGATGGGCTCGTCAGAAATGAAAAATGAGAAGCGACTACAAAACGTACGACAGCGTATGTGATGTCCATGGGTGATGGATGTCCCTGAATTGAGTCGCGAGTGGACTTGGAACTGTGGGAGCTACGACGAGAGAGCTGGCAAATGGGCGGAATGTCATTGGCGGACCGTACATTGCCGATTTGCTAAACCACATACCTTGCTGCTGATGGAGAGTCTCTTCAAGGATTCGAAAGGCGACATGTTTCAAGGGGAATGTAGAAGAGAGAAGTGTTTGGAGTGTTTGGAGTGTTTAGCGGATGAGGCTTGTTAGACTGACAGGGATTTGGCAGCATGCTTTTATACTGAAAACTGGCAGCTGGCACCACGTTAATGAACGGAGTCACTTCCGCATTAAGTCCCATCATGTCATCATGCTTCGTTCGGATCTAAGAGCCCTCGCAAAGATCTGGCAGTGGTGAGGCAACATTTGGTTCATGCTCCGCATTGGCCCGGAGCGCGGCGATCGTAGTCAAGCCCATCCCATCCCCATAGCGCGGGGAATAACCGTATCTCCATGGCCTAGATGGACATTAGACAGACCGTGTCCAGAATCACACATTCCGAGGAGGCTGGCTAGGTCCTACTTGCATATAATTACCATTCGTAGTATAATAACAAGTCACGTTCGTGTTCAAGTTTAGCTGCCAGCACTTTCTCACCGCTTACACCTCTTGTCATATGCATTAATATTAGCAGTACTCCATATCATACACTATTTTTTGATATTTGGTGCCAAGCACCTGCCCAATCAGAATGGCATGTACTTTTTTTGTTCTTGTCGACGTCAACCGCCTGACCAGAGGACCCCTGATGGTTCCTACTCTAGTACTAAAGTCTGGGCCGATGCACAGGTTTGGGGTGGTCCGGACGTCACAGTGGATACATGTGGAGACATAGCCATCCGTGACCCCCCTCCGGAGAGGGAGGCCTCGAAAAAAAATGGAAAAATTCAATCGCCCTCTTACACGCATTCTTGATGCTCGTGGGCGAGCATTCACGGCTTTGACTGCGTCCAATATCCTCCGAGGGCGGTTCAAAAACTAGCTGATCCGTTCGTCAGAAACACGTAGCGGGTCGCTTGAAAAGGTTTTTCACGATTAATCCGCGAAGCTGCTGGGTGCAGGGTTAACTACTAGGGGTGATATCAATCATTGAGCGCTCGAGAAGTTTGATCTATGGTGAGGTACCTAATGGTAACGAGTTGTACTTGGCAACAACAAATTTTCTAGTTTTTGATATAAAGTTGAATTTATGCAAGGTACATATTCAGGGCTAATTCTGATGTATTTTACGATAATTATTACTATCTAGTTACTAGACTACACTCGGCCGTGATTGCTGTATGTCAGGGGGGGGGCCTCCTAATGAACACCACAGGAACGAATTTCACCGTGAGGCAAGGGTAGGGAATCCTCAATAGGGATTATCAGGGTCCGGTGACGCCAATTTGCAAGGCACTCGAATGATTCACTGTCTAATGATATACACCTGGGTTTCCGATGGTCAGGCGGCTCAGGCAACTTGTTCAGCCAAGCGTCAATATAAAATTTCGCCTCCCATACTCTCTCATAAATACTTTTAGGTCACTTATTCGCCACGGTTTTTGACTTCGTCTAGTTTACGTTTCTGGTCCCGGCTATAATTGCCTTTATTACACCGAAGTACTCATACGTACTAACCGGTGCAGGACCCATACCACGACTCCAGTAGAGCTGCGACCAAGTTGCAGTGGATATGATATTGCTACCGCAATCGGTGCGCTGACCCGAGAGTCAAATGATTTCATCCTGTGGGGCTATTAGTCAATATATCCCCATCCCACCGCAGCAAAACTTCAAAATGAATTTGCATTACATAATATTGGTATATCAAACCCTATTTCCCCACACTACAATAATGCCGTGGTTTTGCCGATGCCTCGCGCCCAGCTGTCTCTGTGAACATGTATTTCTGTGTGTGACACGCGTTTTCGTCGCTGTCAAGCCCGCCCACCTGATTAGAATTCGGGACCGACTCGGGACAATACCAAGCCGTGGAGAGCGAGAGCTGTTTGTTGGCGTTGCCCAGCAGATCATAGTGGGGTAAGCAATTGAGCAATTCAGTGGGTCGTTCAGATGATAGCAAAGTTCAATTGGCCCGCGACTCGGCTCGTGGTGCTGTTAATGGTGTTCAGTGTATTGGATTGCATTTCGGCGTGTACTGTGCTTCGGGGTGCCATGCTTTTGATGTCTCTGCGTCGTGCAGATCTGGAGGAACAACGGTCCATTGGTAACCCTCTTTGTAGGGTACTTGCTGTCCAGACTCCCTATATCCTCGAGAGTGGGTTCAAATCATCTTACAAGTGCTTCTTTGTCTGCCTAGCCTTGGCATCACGACGGCCAAGAATTACCAAAGTTCCTTGGTCTGCGAACCACCGATTTAGTGTTCCCGCCAAGCCACCACAAGCCATCACCAAGGGAGGAGCCGAGCCGAATCTACCAAGGTTACCAGGGAGGGCGGCTTTTCATATACTTCTCTCAAGCTTCCCCGCAACCCATACCACCGGCTCACTGAAGTGCGCAAAACTATGCATTTAGTTACCAGCAAGCTCACTATCGGCACCGAGAGATAAATCCATACATCGTCTGTCCCCGATGGCTTGAGTATAGCTTACCGTAATAAGATAGATATCACTTCCCCGGACTCTTTGTTTATTTTTGCGTGTCGTACCAGAGCTCCGGACACTAAAAGGCGGTATCGTCAGAGGACCTGGATAGATTTGCCACCTACGGACGGGGCCCTTGCAAGCCCTGGGCCTTTTTCATCTCTCGAGGTTACCTGGACAACTGAGATCTGGCACCTAGGACTGCTCCGCCAGCTGCCCCTGAAGCATATCGACTATGTCTCTGTATTAGGTCAGACTATAGGGCACCCTCGACGGATGATGCGACAGGCGATTCTGTTTACCAGACAAAACAAGCTGAAAGGAAGTCAGTACTATCTTCAGGGCAGTAACACCGTTGAGAACATATGTCCGGTATTTGAGGATTTGTTATTAAAGCACAGGAGGATCAAGGCGTCACTATAGGAGACTGGACAAGATCATATCGGTATCAGCCTGAGTCCTAAAGCAATGTAGCTCAGCGGGGGCAAACGACCGTGAGCATATTGTGCGGCATGCACTATTCCTGATGGAATGAGAGTCTGACTCTTGCGAATCGATCTAAATAGTTCTCTTGATTCTAATGACCGATGGACTTAGGAATCCTAGATTGCCGCAGAGACCACAGAGATTCGGAAGACAGTCCTTTCTTCATGAATTCAGGCTGTTGTATTCCTGCTGCATTAAACGGGATTCTTGCTATGAATGAGATCTCTCTGACCCTCAGTGGTTGCACTCGCAGCTCGTGGAAATCCTTACTAGTTTAATTTTCCGTGAGTAGGACGAGCTGTGTTTGGTTAAAGTCAATTTCAAGGTTCGAAGGTTTTTAGTTGGGGTGCGACCGGCCTTTGAGCTAATTATACTATTAACTTGAAGTACCTGAGAGTCATAGGAAAATTATGGACTAATGACTGAATCCGAGGGAACTAGTACTCATCTGCGACTGGTATTCACTTGTCCTGTTTTACCGACACAACAAACATAACTCTGTCGGCCGAACTTCAGGCCTCAGGTTCTGCAGTTTTCTTAGAACCGACTTTGAAAGCGACGATGAATAGTACGCACTTACTTCCAACCGGATGGGCTGCTGGTATTTTGGGGCAAGTTTGCGAGGAATATGCAGTAATCCCATTGTGGTGTGACTGGAAGAGGTCGATCCCGCTGAAAATGTTTATGACGAATATAAACTTGATCAACAAATGGAAAATGAACTTGATGTTGACCGCAACGTCACGGTTAACGTTGACCGGTGACCGGTCAACAAAAAATACTAGGCGACGTCTATGCCAAGTAGCATGCAAGTTACGCCTTGTGCGCAAGTCGGAGTCTGAATCCTCGCGCGTCCGAGTCGCGGTGACATGTCAGAGGCGCGAACACCATTATAACACCGTTTGTCAAAACGTGGGTTGGCGAGCCGTCACGCTTATCCCTTAGTCGAAGTTCATTCCAATCTTTCCACCCTGGCCTAGTCACCGACTCCTTACACCCCCAGGCTGGTTCCATTGCAGTGCGCCTTTCGCATGATACTGTGAACTTGAACTGGTCGCTTCTGCTCAAGTTATGCGAGACGTCACACTTAAAGCTTTTGAATTTGAAACTTAACACTTCCCGAGGCTATCGCTGACATCGACCGACCAGCCGCGGCGAACTTCGGGTTTGTTCAGAAGACCGCTGCAATTTGATGGATTCCAGATGCTGAGGACTAGTCACACTAGAATTCTAGAACAGCAGGTACCCAAATGCTTTCACGATGCATGTGAACTGACGTTTCTTCTGCCGTTGAAGCTTGAGACCCTTCTATTGTGTTTTCAGACCCGAATCGTTAATCCATAATTCATTATATTCAATTACACTAATGCTAGGTGGGGGTGGACGACAACTCTGGTGGACGTGTGTGCTCTTCGGTGTAGATGGATATGATTAAGGTGTGAAAAACGTTTAACCTAACTTGGTCACTACGTGCTGACCATGCATGCAGAAGAGCGATGGGCAGTGGCGAGGTGGTTACTTCGACATCCTACCCTTCACGTCGTCTTTAGTTTCTCGCGCGCCAGCAGCAGCCTGAACAGAGATCAGCAACTGACAACCCATCCTGTTTGCACGGCAGGGATAATTCACCTGATTAACCTTTTGCTTGGCCTGCTCCGTGGTTTCCTGGGTAGCTTGCTTTGCGTCTTCTGTTTTCTGCTTTGCCGAAGCCGTCGTTGAACCTAGTATAGAACCATCATGATTCTGTGCCGTTGAACCAACTTGAACATTTGCTTACCGAGTGTGTCCTTGGTTTTCCCCGCCGCTTTCTCGCCTGTCTCAATGGCCGACGCCAGACCTTGGCCAACTTTCTTATTCACCTTAAAACAAACAAGCTTGTAAGGACCAACAATCTGAGGCGTGCGGTGATGTATACCTTGTCAGCCATCTCGGACACTTTCTCGGTGACCGTGCTAGCAGCGGGCGTGGCATGGATAGAACGGGTATACGATACAGTACAAATGCGCGCGTTGGAGGTAATAGCGTTGCGAAACATGATGATGTAGTGAACGAAGCGTCTGTACAGTATTTTCTTTGTTATACACCACACCAACGAGGTTATGACGTCGAGAGGGCATTGATGTCATCGCACGTGCCAGGTTTCCGAGTGTTGCTCCACGCCGACAGTACTTGTGCCGCAGTGCGTATGGTCACCCAACATTATGCAACGGCACTACTGCTAAAATATCACCAGCGCCACTGTCCACATGGTGAGTGGCTCATGACGCGTGACAGAGGGACAGATCAGATTAATAATATCGTTGTTCTAAATCCTGTATCCAAGTCTCCAAGTTTGTGACACCAACTGGATCATTGCGTCGTTGCCTCACTCTCAGTAACCGACACGTAGAACGGCTACCGTCGTCCTCCGTTTGTCGCAAGTACCGGCAATTTTCGGCCACGGCGACAGTGATGGGCCTCATTAACCATTCACAACAGTTCACAGCCCGCTCAAGCGTTGGCATGTGCAGTCTCTGAATCTCCCCAATGCAGTGGTAACGCTCAAGTTCCATCCGCAATGACATGTCGGATCCGCAGGACACGGAACGATAGTTTTTTTTAAAGCATTCTTAGCAATGCAGCGCATCTAGCAGCCAGAAATATCTGAGCAACAGTTAGCCGGAGCGCGGTTGCTTAAAGGAGAAGACTACTAGAAGTGCATACAAGTTCTAGGAAGGGCCACCTGGGGTAACCGGAAAGACTATTAGTCACTTGGTGTGATGGAGACAGTAGGTCTGATCAAGTTCTGATGCAATCTGCGACGGGCTCCCGATGACTGTGTGACGATAGGCAAGATGCCTGATCGGCGGCTATCCCTAGCAGGAAGATATAATGTCCCAAAAATGTAAGCTACTACTCAATTAATACTCAACTGTCCGTCATCACATCACTGTACATAGTTGCCTGGGAATACACCCTGGTCGCCATTAAGACGACCTGTCCACCAATCTTCCTGACTCTCTGTCTTGGTTACAATTTCGATGCGGTCACCGGTTTTAAAAGAAAGATCTCCTTCAGCCTAAAATGAAGAGGCGTGTAACCATTCATTCAAGAGATTAGATGGATACATACCTGAGCATCGAAATCATATAAGGCTGTAACATACTCTACGGCTGGCTCTGGCTTTGGTTTGGGCTTCACCGGTGGGGGTGGAGGCGGCCTCTTTGTTGCAGCTGTAGTTCCAGCTCCCGAATCATTTGAAGCGGCAGAGTACGGGGGAGGAGGAGCAGGTGTCTGGCCTGGCGGCGCTGGAGGTGGCTTCTTGATAAAGGAAGATGTGGGCGCTGCTCGGGATGGTGGCATTGAGCGGCTGCTCCCACTACCAGCACTTGTAACGCTGGGTGAGCGACCGATGGAAGGACCGACAGTCAACGAATTGCCGCCAGGGGCGCGATTAGCTTGCACGAATTTCGCTGGCAGTGAAAAATTATAAGTGAAGAAGGTGACACGTGAGAGCTGAGCGTACAAGTCGATATGAAGCGCTTGGTAACGTTGAGATCCTCTATTTGACTCCATGCATCCGTTCGCTTCTCTTCATAATCAGCCTGGATTTGAGCGCCAGGGACGTTGGTAACGTCGTATCGACCCTCCGCAAATGAATTCATTTTCTCAAGGAAAAGATAATAAATGTTGAGCCTGTTGAATTGTAAAACGATTGCAAAGAATGGTGGTTCCAACAACCAAGGACATACTGCATGTAATAGAATGAATGGAAAAGAGGCTCGATGAAATGAGTTGAAAGTTGCATGAAGTGCGGGAGATCTGTCTTGAGCGCGTTGTTAATGTAATCATACTCATTTGTGGCAATCTCGAAGTCTTGCTCAAGCTGATCATACAAATGTTAAACGTGTTGCTGACAGGAAGACACTCCGGCACCTACCTTGAACAAATTCTTCTCATCACTCAAACTTTTCTCTTTCTTGTCCCTCAATTTAGTAAGTGAATTATTGAATCGATCATAATCGACCAGCTTATGATCGCGTTTGGTGATGCTCTTCCTGATCAGCTTGAGGACTCCCTGGAACTCTTTCACGGGTGCAACAATTCGTGATTCGATGAGCTCGAGTTCAGGGGAGATCGCAGAACGAAGTTCGTCGAGAGAAGTTGAGTACGGAGGAGTGTTTGCGACGGTTGCTTCGCAGGAGGGATGCTTTCCTTGCAAGTTATACTCGCCACCCATCGGAGAGAATATAAAATTGAAATGGTTGGCGAAACCAACGGAAGAAGTGAAGAGGGCTGAGAGTATGTGTAAGGATGCGGGAATCGATAAGACGGACGGTATCGACACACTTAAAACAGCTTCGGAGAATATCCTGGTATCTTTGAGCAACTTTTCCGTGGCTTGCTCGAGGCTGATGAAATGGCGATTGTAGTCGTCGAATTCGGGGTCAGAGGACTCTGACAAATAGCAGATAGTTTGAGTGAGTGGTTGATCGCAAAGATTAGATCTCACTCTTCGCAAAGCCAACTTTCGATGTGACAAGGTGAGGTGTTCTGTAGACGATCGTGAGTCATGTCCTCCACGCTAATGCTCAGGCAGAAAGATGTGACAAACGCCACTAATTGTTAGCATCAGACTGAAAAAAGACGAGCTCACCGCTTGATTGCTTTGGTGAACCCTTTCATCTTGTGGTAATGATATCACTATGATCAGGCTCGTGAATTGTCCTGATGCGGCTAAGAAGCTCGAGTTTTCGGATAAACGAAGAATCTTCGAGAGCGGTTTGAAGTACTACGCGGTTGGTTGTGTTGTGGTGCACCGCCCAACAGCACCGCAGCTGAAGCGCTGACACTTGTAACGTGACTCACAACACCCTAAGCTGGCTCGCGAACAAACAAACGAGTACAATGTGTCATTCATTTGGAGCTCCTAGCACTTAAACACATCATCGATCTATTAACTGTGTCTACTTGAATCAAGATGCCTATCCAGCAACCATCAAATCAAATAAAGTCAGTGTTGAGCTGACAATGTCTTGAGGTTTTGCGCTGACGCAAGGTGAAGCACAGGCTCACAAATGTATCTATCGTACGCTTGAAGAAGGGTGGCAAACGGTTTGAGGTATAGTGTGGATATTCCCTATAATAACATCATATAACAGCCTAGCTTTAGATTGCCTGCTACAAGAATAAGGTGCAGGAATGGAGAAATGGAGTGTATGTGATCACATCCATATGTTAGCTCCGTGGCTAACGCAAGATCCTTGCACAGTGAGACGAGTTTAGATGACGTCCTCCAAATTTCGAATGTCTTCATGAATGTATCCAAAGGCGAGGTTGCAAAGTCTAACGATCTCCAAAAAGCATTTGGTACTTCGATGGTAGATGATGTTGTGAAGGAGGTCTGTCCTTTCCAGTATCCTCGGTCCCTTACTTATCTGTGCTGTAGATCTTGAAAAAAGGAGAAGTTCAAGTGGCAGAGAAAGAACGTGATCATGATCTCGCTTCCCTCCGCAAAGAGATTGCTACAATAGTCGCTGAGAAATGTGTCGATCCGGCCACTCAACGTCCATATCCTGTCGGGATGATTGAAAAGGCTATGGCGGAAGCGGGTGTGAGTGTGAAAGCGGGGAAGAATGCTAAGAGTCAAGTGGGTGATCGTTCGTTGACATCGCACGCCAGGTTCTGATCAAGGGGTGACAGGTAGCGGAAACACTGCGACTCATCCAGGGTCACTCAACACTACCGATTCAACGTGCGAGGATGCGGGTACGTGTCGTTCTCCCGGCTGCTGAAGGAGAGCGTCTGCAGGAACAACTTCGCGCGTTGGCCGAGACGGTCGAGAAGGAAGACAAGGGGGAATCTTGGGAAACTGTATGCATTTTTTCATCGTCTCGTCGAAAGACTTTGACGAGATTGTTTAGGTTATGCTTATCGAGCCCTCGCAAATCCGCGCGATCAACGAACTGTTGCAGAAGGAGTGCAAGGGAAAGGGGCGCGTTGAGACACTTACATTTGCCGCAACCGCTGACAATTGAATTATTAATTATCGCATCGGTGTATCCTCGATGTTCAATTATGCCGACCGGAATAAGCTGTCGTTGTCAATATTGTGCTATTATCTCACATCCATGGGTGAATTTGTCCTTAGCAGATCTTATTGGTGATTCTAATTTCAAAACAACCGATGAAGTCTTTACTGTTCTAGGCATCATCATGAGGACAGGTATCAGCACAATCATCCGGTATTTGTATCCAAAATTATTACTTATATTGCTTGGTTCGCCATATCCATGGGTGTGTTGGCATCATACACGTATGTAAGGGAGACTAAAATTAGGCTTATCGGTTCCGTTGGACAAATACAGCGACATAGCATATTTATAACGGTGTTCTTCGAAGGTATGAATATGGATAAAGCCAAATTCCAATGATATGATACATACTGATATAGTAAAAATGTCAACACCAACAGCCCCGCACGCAACATCAGGTGAGAGTGTCGAGCACTCCTTTGTCTGGCTTGGTTCCCTTGACCGCTGGAAAAGCCGAGGTTCGGACACCAATACTAACCTCGATCCACCCCGTACTTCACAAAGGACCGCGATAGACATAACCCTCAGTTCCAAACTTTGTGGTATACCTCTCGCCACACCCCCACACAATGTGCCCTCTCGAAGCGCTCGCCATAAACCACCTACCACAACTATCACATTCTTCAATAAGTCTCATCACATCATAACGACCAATACCCATGCCAGCTGCGAGCGCATGCATACGTCCTTGCTCGATTCTCGAGACAGGAGAAATATATGTCCGGTAGAGCATCGGTGTCGTGTCTGGCACGGTCAAGTAGGGTATCTTTTGATCTTGGGATAAATACTGTATATCTTACTTTGAGCGTGAAACTCAAAACACGTAGAGGTTTCGTACCAGAACGACTGGTGGTTTCCCGCCACTTCACAGATGAAGGATAGACTTCGATTTATGACAGATGGTCGCGGGTGCATCGACGAGTGTGAACCAAGATAATTGACGAAGTATGGCGCAATCTCAGCATGGCCAGATGGTAGACTGGCAATGATAGCTCGAAATGCAGTAAGATTAGGCACGTCTCCTTGAACTAGGGAAGAGTGAGATCTATGCCTTCCGAGTCGAGTGAAAGAATTACCTCGTGTTGGGAAGTCGCCATACGATGATTCGAGCAGCGCCGTACGCCGTGTCTTGTTAAGGTTGACTGAAAATAATGAAGCAAATAGTAAGAAACAAAAGTAATAAACATACTAGAAAATCTGCAGCGGTGGTCTTGAAAATGACAAACTACCTGTGTGTGGCCAATCACTGAAGTGACAAATCGTACTGGAGTGGGATGTTCGTGCGCGAGGCCGCAAAAACACTCCCAAAAACAGCGTCGCTGCATCAAGTATGCTGCGATTCCACTTGGTACGATGCGGAAGCCTCTGGAGACTGGACTAGACGACTACGAGTGGGCATCCATGCAGGAAAACAGAGACAACGCATACTATGCAATCGTGACACATCGGCCGGTGTCACGAGAATAAACCACAAGCTCGGTGTCGCTATGTTGAGCAGCGTAAGCCATTGCAAACAGTGTGTTTTGAGCAGGCATGGTAATGAGCACAACCCCACAAGACCGCAATGCATTTAGTCTGTTATATACCACACAACTGCGTTATGTTAACAGTGTTTGTTAGCCTGTCCGTAATGCATCAAGTTCATCAACAGAACTGCCTCCCTAGTAGGCTATGCTCCCGAATACACTGGTTGTCCGCATACAAATGTCTATTCTCCGCGGAGTGGACTGCTGGGGAAGTTAAAGGCTCACAACAGTCTAAAGCGCGACGCAAGCCGGCGTCGAATGTCTGCCTGTTTGTTGGAATATGCCACCACACCTCATATTGAGGCGTCAGTCTTGCATCCGCGCCGAGTCGGTCCTGCTTCTCGTCCGTGGCAAGGTCCTGCCAATCTTGAAAAAAACTGCAGCATCCCAGACTGTACTTTGATGATAACTATGAGACATTGTTTAACCACAAGTTATAGTAAACGTGTGATAACTTTTCATATAGCGACGAGAAGCGTGACTGTGAGGGTACGGAAGATGGGGAACGAGGCAAAGAATTCGGCGTTAACGTTGAATTTGATCGACCAGTCGGATAACTTACAACTTGAAGTGCCAGTGACACGTGACAAAAGTAAAATCGGGTTGTGGTGATTGGATATATGTAAGATGACCAAGCACATCTGTTTCGTGGAAGATCTTGTGTTGTGGTGACTGCCCTTCTTCCTACCCGTCCATGATGCTGTCCTCACTAGGTCGTTCGTGTTCAGCACACAATGTCGTCCACTCAATACGTGTATCCGCCATCTACTCCACTCATCGTCGTGCAATGATGTCCGCCTTGAGCTCTCAACCTCAGAGACCACCGGAAACACATTCTAGCTCTAATGCAAAGCAGCCTCTGAAAGATGCACCGCCCGTCGTCGTGCCCACTGCAAAGTCGCTATCATCCGAACCAGCTTCTCCGCAGGTAGCTGCTCGCCCACCACCTATACCAAAGGCAGAGCGACCGCGGCCAACTATTCGGTCCACGAAGGCGGTATTAAGTATGGTATGTGTTGATATGATGGATTCTATCTGTATTAATAAGACTCATTGCTCGTTCCAGACACCGACTGCGATACAGCGGCTGCGTGGCTTGCTTAATAGTCCGACACCACAATTAATTCGCATAAGTGTGCGAAACAAGGGTTGTGCTGGCCTGTCTTACCACCTTGACTATGTGGAGAAGCCGGAAAAGTTCGACGAGGTAGTACAACAAGATGGGGTCAAGGTCCTCATAGACAGCAAGGCACTTTTTTCAATAATAGGCAGTGAGATGGACTGGAAGGAGAGTGCGCTAAGGTGTGTCATTCATTGTTTTAAGCGATGCTTCACCGCGGAACTTACATGATCAATTCCTGTAGCTCCAAATTCGTTTTCAACAACCCTAATATCAAGGACGCATGTGGATGCGGAGAGTCATTCACTGTTGCATAGTACTGCATACGGAGCACATCTATTACTACCAAATGTACTCTTCTGTGCTTTACATTTGTCAGTATTACTATTATTTACACCACATTCAGTGTATCCCTATCATACGTACCTCACATATATTCAATGCATAGATGACAGCATTCGTCTGAGCTCTTCACTCACCTTTCATAATGACATCACCCGCGCGCTGTCCTTGCAAGTTATTGAAGTTGTGACATTACGGGATAGCAGGTATTACAACAGTTTAAGATCACAGTCGGAGTTTCTTTTCCATCTCATTGTGAATGCTCAACGGTGGACCGCTCTCCAAGCCTATGGAACAGTCAGTCAGATCGCATCACTTGACTATCTGGAAGATTACGTACCGAGGAAGAAGTCGGTCGGGTCTAGAGTCTCATCCCGACCCATCAGGATGTCGAGATGTATGTTTGATTGTGGCATGCCGGGCATATGAGGGCTCTGAAAGGAATTCAATTTGCATATATTTAGTGCACGCGTCCATACTCACGGCGGATACAATCTGGCGTTCCATAAGCAACCTCATAGGTGCACTGGGGCCGTAGAGATTGGCTAACATGTGTAGCCTCGCGTTGTCCTGCGTCTCTTCCCACTATGAATGCTGTCAGAAGGAGACGCATTTTATAATGGACTGCGAGCACACCTTTGCGATACGGTTCTCGAACTGGCCCCCTCTTATCTCAGTTGCAATGCTACGGATTCCATACTGGAGAGTGTCATGGAGGCCTAGGCTGCCTGCAGTATCATTTATGGATGCAGTTTTGATTTGTGAAGGTGGAACGATGCGGTATGAAGGTTCCTATATAACTAGATTAGTTTGATCCGCCAACCGAACGATATGAATGCGCACCATAGTAGCGGTCTGAAAGCAAGTGTGTCCCAGTGCAAGGACGCGTAGCCATGTGACATGGGGGTGGTCACGAGGGTGACCACATGTCACGCCCTCGTGACGTTCCCCACAACGTGACCTTTGACGCTCTAGCACGAGTCGGTGACGATGGTCTTGAGTGCCTATAAGTAGGCCAGCTTGTGAACGAATCATTACGCTTTCTGTCGTCAACGCTCGCCATATGTGTGTTTCTTCAATTCACTCGTTACTGCGTTACTGATACAGTCATCAAATACAAAATTCTAGCATAGCCCGTTCACGTACTTAGTTCCTGCATTTGTGTTAGGAACGTTATCTACACTCCAAGATGAGCAGTAGACCCTCAAGGTCATCTAGCATCCCCGTTCCACCACGGGGAGGTATTTCACCCGTTCGAAATATCGAGTCAGTCATCTCAATCCCCTTTGCACCTTCCCCACAGTCCCGACCTCGCCTTGTGAACCCGGGATGGCCGCAACGTAGTCCTACTACAGGTATCAGTAGTATCCGTGGATCCAGTTCTATGGCTGTGGCATCCAGCGCTCCAATGCGTTCGACAGCTCGATCATTCCCACAAGCCCTGCACTCCTTTCAGGCACAGGAGCTACACCAGCGCACATATACTATGAACCGCGCGTAATTAGAGTCAACACGACTTGTCCAACCTCTTTACCTTCTCCTCCTCGTCACCCCGGTGCAACCGGTGTTAGGGCGCCCAGCGCTCAGAGACCAGCTATGGCACACACGAGTGCAGGTCCATCCCCTGCCGACTCGGTACCCTTTCCTCGCCCGGCGTATCTTGACCATTCTGCACTGCGGCACCTTTTGCAGACAGACACTCCTTCTCAACTTTCCTCGTCACCGAAACCTGATCTTGCGGTCGTCCGCACTGAGTATGCTGGCGGAAGGAGGAGGGTGCAGAGATCTCCCAGCTTTGATAGCGATGAAGAAGACAGTATTCCTCCTGGCGAAATACCCTCCCGGCATCAAGAAAACAACCCCTTAATGTCATCCGCCCTCTTGCGCCTCCCAACGAGGTGGAGTGAGGAATATCGAAGTCCTACGTTAAGCGTTTCTGCAGATGGAAGGGATCTCACCTATCAAGGTCAGTCATACTGAAGTAGTAGAATTACCAAACGTACATTGATTGAAACAGGTTCTCCAAGCAACTCTGATAAAGATGCCGCAGCTGCGCGTGCGATCTTTCCTATTCCTCCTGCCTGCGGCATATACTACTACGAGGTCGAGGTGACCAGCAAGACGAACAACAACAAGGGGTGAGTGCCCTGTGTACGGAATCTCTGATATCTATGTACTCAAACGCAAATTCAGGCATATTAGTGTTGGGTTCGATTAAAATTCGATAGTCTAAAATTAATTTTGCTTACATCCCTTTGTAGTCTTGTGAGCCGCGATTTTAAATTGAGTCGCCTACCGGGGTGGGAGAAGAACTCGTGGGGATATCACGGTGATGACGGGTCGTCATTTGCGGCGGATAAGTCGGGCACACCATATGGTCCCCAGTTCGGAGGTCCGTCTGTTTCACGATACACTTGAATACTTAACTCACTTTGGATCAATTAGCCGGGGATGTTATCGGCTGTGGTATCGATTTTAGCCAGAACCGCGCGTTCTATACAAAGAATGGTGCTTTACTTGGTGCGCACTCTTCCCTCCGAGGACTTATTTTATTCTGAATTCTCACAGGCTCTGTTTTCGATAATATCGGCAAGGATTGTGATATTTATCCAGCAGTCGGGCTTTGCCATCTTGGAGAATCTGTGCGGGCTAACTTCGGCCAGGACCCATTCAAGTTTGACATCGAGGACCACGTACTTCAACAACGAAACACCACATGGTCGCGCATTCAGACTGCGCCTTGGACGTGGCCAGTAGCTGACGGAGATAAAGATCTTACTCCAGCATCGACATCCACCGCAGAAACCCGCGCGAAGTCCCAGATCAATGATCTCGTTCTTTCGTACCTCTCACATCACGGATACGCACGTACAGCACGAGCTTTTGAGGCGCAGTGTTCCGCTCGAGGAGGAATGTCAACATTAAGATTGTCGAAGACGTTCCCTTCATCTTCCACGAGTCACGTGTCTGACCATGATCAGATCATGGATATGGACGACGTGCCCCAAACACCTACGATCGCACCTGCACCTATGGATGATATCGAGATCCGTACCCGTATCGTGCATGCCGTGCTCACTGGTGATGTCGATACTGCGCTGTCCGACACACGAACACACTTCCCTCGAGCGCTTGATGCGGATGCAGGACTCGTGCTCTTTAAACTACGATGCCGTAAATTTGTGGAGCTTGTACTGGAAGCAGCAGAACTGAAGAAGCGGATGTGCGCGGAGGATGCAGAGATGAACGTAGAGGCTGATGGAGAAGACAAAGGGATTTCGGAAGGGATGGACGTTGACGATGAGGCGGATATCTCCAGTACTGGAGTGACGAACGGTTTCGGCGGCGGTAGCAGCGCAATCCCCATCAAAGGCAAGCGTAAGGCATCGTTCGCCTCTTATTCGCATTCAGGTTTGTCAGGTGTGATTGCTGCCAAGTATGGGACCGCTCTCGAACGTGCGGTTGCGTACGGACAGGAGTTGCAGTCAGAGTACAAAGACCGCCCGGAGATGCGCGCCATCTTTAAGCGTACAAGCGTGATCGTGGCTTTCGAGGATCCGCTTGAGGCCGGCGGGGATGCAGCGGACGTGGCGGGGCAGGGAGCAAGAGTCAGTCTTGCGACGGAAGTGAACCAGGCTATTTTGCGTGAGTTTGTTCTTAAGTTGACTCGATTATATTCTCACTTTTTCCGTAGTGTCGCAAGGGCGTCCTGCTCATCCGGCCTTGGAGAGGATATACCGCCATACTGCAGCGTCTCTCACGCAGCTTGCACTGATTGGAAATGGGGCTGCTGCTCTCGTGGACATGCCCAGGGAGCTCTTGGACGCGTGATCATATCTTGCCACTCATTATTTCGTTTCGCCGAGTAATTTTTCTTGCTATTGTAGGTTACATATTTCGAAATCAGGTCATGCATATCTCAAGTTGTAATGTGTCCTTGAAAATTGAAGTCCTTCTAATTGCGTTCTTTGGTATACCATGAATTCAAACATGCATGATCGCGCTCACTAGAATCCCGTCACAATCCCCCACTCTGAAGATCTGACGCTTGCAATTTTACACAACTTTTATCATTTCATGAGTTCCTCTTGGTTCCTATGGTATACAATTTCGTTACAGTGCACTGGCCAGCTTCTGGCACTCGATCCTTTACATCATAAGAGACTCCTTCACAATCTCCAGCATCCTGCCCAAAGCGATTAAACCAAAGCTCTGAGCTCCAAACATCCTCGATTCTTCCTTAAGCGTATCTTCCGCGACGCACCACGCTGCCCAAGAGCGTTTGAATGTTTCTGCCATACTTCGCTGTTCTGTATCATCAAATTCTTCTCGGAAGGTCCAATCGTCATAATCATCTTCTTCATCATCATACATCTCTGCCTCCGACACCGCCAAATCTTTAACCAGGAGCTCTGCCCTGACCGCACGAACAAGTTCACGCGTCTGAAATTATCATTTAGGGACTTGTGGCACATGTCACGTTTGAGCACTAAGCTTACCTGCAAGTTCATTGCAGTGACTGCGTCTCGCCGACGATGATGGTCGGACCAATTTGCCATGATAGTCCCGCTCAGCAATTCTGCTTCAGAAACGTGGCTGTCCTTGTTTTTCAAAATGGTGTGCGATTGCCCAATCACCAACAGCTGTTCACAATATGCTTCGAGTAGATATGTCATCTCCTCGATTAACTCTTGAGTTGGAGGAGTCAATCCAGAAAGACCAAGGTTACGGAGGCCCACGTGAGAGAGCGCGTTCTCCACAGAGGCTCCATCAGATGGAGAGCGGTCCTCGTTCCATTCTTGAGGAATCCACCTCTTCACTGGTACCCGACGGTAGAGTTGTCCGAGCAGCTTTTTACTGTTGTAGTACTGGTCACTGTTAAGATCGGCGCCTTCTTTGGCAAGAAAATCAGGCTTTGGCTGATTCTTCGACTTGAACCTCGGAAGTTGGGTGAAGTTGACAGGAGTGCCACTCTTCGGGAAATCGACTGCGTGAGAGGCCAATTTCGCGAGTTCCATGCACTCCGCGCAACCTGGATCCTCCTGGTCAGAAAACCTGAGATGATGTATGGCGATGAGACCGACAAGGTCCGCCTGGATCTATATTTCATAATTATTGCATGCAATGAAAGTCTGAAATGATAAGACTCACATAGTCAAATACGAAATCTACGACATCAGAGATGTCACATGGAGCTTCTGTTCTTTTAATCGGTAATGCCTGATACTCTCCGGGTTCGCCGTAATGCGTTGGCAGCAGTTTCGGCTGCAGAAGGTTCAAAACATGCAGAATGTATTAGAAAATTCGGGCTTACATCAAGGATTAGGTTGAAGTCGTCACCATCAAGATCACCCCCACCCAGACACGACGCAAGTGCTCGCTGACCCCTGTCGATAATATGAGCATGCGTTTGTCGCAAGCTATCAAACAGAACTCACTCGCAAGAGAACACAACGACATTCTTCAGGTGCGCCAACTCTGGGCGGTCTACAGCCGTCACGACTTGCAGATCGCCTGGATGAATTTGCGGGCTACGCGTTATGGCAGCCTCGCCCAATATTTGCTTGTTCAATCCTGTCCTTTCATCATGCACGGCTGCGTAGACTTCTCCTTCCCTGAGGCAGCCCCATTCATCGGACACACCAAGCAAGGTATACGAACCCGGCACTTCTATGTGCGCACGATACTTCAACTCCCGCAAGATGTGCGTTTCGACGCAATGCAGGGTACTTTCTATGAGCTCGCTTGTCCATCGTGACTGAGACGTTTCTTCCTCCGTATCTCCAACATCCAGCTGCAAAATGATCGACAAGTTTCTGAGGAGAGATGGTAGATGAAACGATGCTCCCAGTCCGTGTTGCTGGATAACTTTCGAGGCATCAAGGGATGATGATCGGACGGATTGAGCTTTAGTGATTGCATCGTCCTGCAAGTCAACGATTCGACTGGTGTCCACTCCCAAGAACTCCATAAGTACAATGAGCGGACGATTAAGGAACATCGCTTTTGGCTTCGCTGATGTTGATTGAACATCAAAAGTGAGGTTCTCCTGTCCATCAAATTTAATCTGCGATGGACGAAGGCGAACAAGTTTGCCTTCGATTGTCGGATCCTGGACGACCATGCCTTTAGCACCACCGAGACGAAATTGGAAAGCGGATGGAATATTGCGTAGCTTGGCAGGTCGCTTCTTGCCTTTCTGCAAAGACCTCCATATGTCCTTTGCAAGCCCCACCGATATGGGGCTACACCCATCTGTCATAACGTTGCCAGAGGGCGATTTTCTGTCGGGATAGTCATAATCGATTTCTTCGGGAAGAAGTGTTATCGACGGATCGGTGCCAGAAAAGGCTTGAGACCACCTTGCAGCCAAGCGAGCAGGTTGGTGCACGAGTTGAGAGAAATCGCCCTAGCAATTGCGTTCGGTCAAAATCAATCAGGACCATTAGCGACTCACCAGGCTGTCCCGGATTGATTTTGCATCCATCAGTGTCCCGCTGTCATCCGTGAAGGGTGTCATAAACCACACTGAATGATCTCGCAGGCCGCTCATCGAATATCCCAAGAACTGGAATTGGCGTCCAGCAACGCGATAGCCTCTGAGCAGAATTGGGCGATACCGCTCCTTCAGAAGGTCGTTAATGGAAGATTCGAAGTCCCGACGAAGCTTTGATCGATTCTCGTCCTGAAAAGTAACGCGTAGGAAGCATTCGTGATTATTGTATTTGCGCAAGACACTATTGGATTGATCTGGAAGAGGACCCTCTAAGATGTGCCGTGTCGGCGTCAGGATCATATGGTAAGACTGGTATACACCACTCTGTGGTGGCGGAGCTAGAAGACGGAGAGGTTTTTGATGCTCTCTTGTGAACTCGTGGATTACTTGCCCAAGAAGAGAAGTTAAATCTTCTTGGCTAGCATGCCACTGCGCCTGGCGTTTGCGGCGTGGTTTACGCTTCGCGTTGTGTCCTTCGTGCTCGGATGCAAAGGATTGGAAAATTTCTGATGCATCAGGGCCATGTTCAGTGTACAACGAGACAATTGCCTCTTTCAACGAAAATATTTCCATCGGAGTGAAAACAAATGTCGTAACGGTCTTTTCCACCTGGAACGCAAGCTCGTATGGTATCTCGGAAAGAAACTCGTGGAGTTCCTCGATAGGGTTGCTATTAGAAGTGTGGTCGTGGATCCGAACACGGGGCACTGGGGAGTACCGCAAATGAAGGCGATTGCGACATGCGTACATGAATGTTTCCGCATCTGGCTGGTTGCTGAACGCTAGCATCAGGCTATAGCTGCCTGGAGGCATGGGATGATGACGTGTCAAGCCCGCCAGACGTTGAGGGCTTGAATTTGTATGTTCAAGTCCACCGATGTCATTCTCCACGGAGAACACTGGGGGCGCATCGGCACGAATGAAAAGAATGTGGGTATCATCATCTTGGTTACCCACTAACGCTGCAATTTTTAGTTGCGCATAAGACGCAATAGACGTCGAGGTCCAAAAGAGGTCGTCATTGTCATCATGGGGCGTCACAGTGAAGCGTACCTGCCGACGCTCCAGATCACAGGAGACATTGGCAACCCCAGGAAGGGCAAATTCCGAAGAAAATGAACCATCCCGATTGAAGCGCCCAAATGAGTAACTAAGGAGCGGGAAAGGCCTCGATTGCTGGAGAAGCCTTTCCTTCTCCTCTCGCAGCTTCACTGGGTCGACCCATGGAACAGTATTCAATCTCATGATACGGGCATTGTTGATCGATTGCGTGCTCTTGCTGAGGAGGATTTGGCGGCCTTTGACGGCAATCCCTACGTCACCATAAGCACGCAAGAGAGTGATGCCGGAATCCTCTGTGGGGAGAGCAAGGATGCCTCGCTTGCCATTCGGGTGTGACTTGTAGAAGAGTTGGATATCAAAATTAAGAGGAAGACTTGTTGGAAACGGGGGCTTGTGAAGTATCTTGGCGAATTCGAGCGTCAAATCTTCTTGGGTAACTGCAAAGGCGATATTTCTCAAAAAAACCTCCATCTAGCATAATCCAAGTTAATACGGAGTGCGATTTACTAGGATCGCTCACTGACCAGTACTCACCTTGTGCGATTGGTATCAAGGGGGATATGATTGGGATAAGATGATTGCTATCAGCTGGCCATCCGTATCGGTAGTACTAGTATATAAGTACTGGTCAAGTCCCAGTCATTAAGGATATTAATAAATCACAGCATATAAACACGTGAAATGCTGTGGAGACCCTTTCCTACTAATCACTCGTATAATCAAGGGTAATGTGCGAAGCTATCAGGTAAAAAAGGCAGTGCGCTTAGTCCAGACGCCGCTTCTTCTCCCTAAAACCATCATAGTCCCTATCCGGCGGCGCTCTCCGTCTGTTATCAGGATCTAGACGGCTGCGATAAGGTGAGCTTGACCGTGATCCTCGACGCCCAGTTCCAGAATTGCGGTAATCGCGATTCTTTTCTCGCGGTCTATCGTCACTGGGGAAGTCCTCCCGGCGTGACTTTCCCTCCTTTGAGCGGCGACGATCGATCCCATCGTCGGGCCGGTCTCGCCATGATGAGTGCTCACCCCATGCGCGTGATGTGCCAGTGGCCGCGTTAGCGCCAGACGCTAAGGAACTGCGGGCTCCTGGAGGCAGTTGATTATTTTGAGGACAGTCTAGAAAAAAAATTGAGTTTGATAGGAGGGCCCCTTGAGACGCATGTCCTCACCCTTCTTGAGATGCGGACCCCCACATAAGAAGCAGCCACCCCCTTCTGTGGATCGACCCCCTGTTTTTACTGAACCGGCGCCTCCAAAACCTCCGGTCCCGTGCGTGGTGTCCTGGTCCGTAAGGTGGGTATACTTCGTTCTACTGCGTTTACCGAAGTTCTTGACTCGCATGACTTCGGGTAACATCGAGATATCTACCGTAGACTCGGTAGCCTCCGTGAAGTCGTGTCGTTTGAGGATCTCCTCGTCCTGAATACCGTGTAAAATGAAGAACGACACAGATGAAATAAGTGCGACTAACCTGGTGGAAAGCACCCTTATGCCAATACTTTTGAAGGAACTTCTGCTGACCTTTAGGTTTCTCCTCCCGTAATTTGTTAGCCCGTTCAAGATCCTCCTTCAAACGCTGCTCTTCTGGAAGGGCACGTCTCCGCTCAATCTCTTCTCTTTCCTCTTCGCGTCTAAGTTCTTCCTCTTTCTCCTTTTTAATCCTTCCAAGCTCTCGCAACCGCCAAGCCTCAAATTCCCCAGCGGGATCTACGCCGTCTGAATCATCGACATCGGGTATTACCTCCTCCTTCTCCTCTTGAGGGTACGTGAGTATAACAATCACGACGGATATGTGAGAACGCACTTTCCAATAGCTCTCGTCGTATGCTTTCGGCGACGAGGTCGTGACTCTGCTTCTTCCGTTCTTCAGCGATTTCTCGTTTCCGTTTCTCGGCTTCCTCGGCTTCTAGAGTTATTGCATCACGTTCAGCAATCGTCTCCCGACCTCGTCTGTAGGAACGGTATATAAATGACTCAACAAAAGTGTATTTAGAACGTACTTCGGAATAAAAACAGGTCGGTATGACGTCTTTGAGGGTTCTTCCTCGGATTCGGTAGACTAGAGATGATTTAAAAAACATAGTACATGCGTTAATTAAAAAAACATACCTCGCTCTCATCCTCTTCTTCATCCTGTGCTTCCTCCGACTCCTCTTCCGACACGATATCTATAGCACCCTCCTCCAGTTTTGTCCGTCCAGACTCTTCTCGTCCCGCAACAATAACCTTGCCGTCCTTCGAAATATTGACATCCTTCAAAGCGAGATTCATCGTCTTCGCTCTGCCCTGTCCCGTGTTCACTGGAAGTGTCGTTTGCTCGTCCTCATCCTCCTCGACGATATCTTGCTCCCCACCAATGAGCACGTCTCCTTCCTGAACCTCGAGCTGGTCCTCATCGTCTTCATCCGAATCGGAATGATATTCCGCGCCTTTCGGCGCCTTACCTTTCCAGTACCTGCCTGCCGCTCGCGTTGGCTTTGATGTGTGTTTGCGGACTTGAGTCGCAAGGACGGTGGACATGATGGAAGGACGCGTAAACAGGGACAAACAATCACTGCGTTGAGCAGCGCACCAAAGGTAAAAACGCCGACGGCTGAGATACTGTCATATTAATCCCATAATGTTTACTCTCAGCCGCGGAAGGTGCAGACGGTGGCCATGCACAGCTGATAGTGGTGGAAGAGCAAATTACAGCTTAAAAGGAAAAGGAGGGCACGGAGGTCACCACTTGTATATGTTGAACAAGGTAACATCTTAGACCTTAGCGCTCGTCGACGGAAGTAGAGGCAGGGGTGCGCCTCTGGTCCTCCCACTGCAGCGAGCAATGACCGATAGCAGAACAACTTGGATGAGCCTATCACCATTAGAATCGAGTTTGTATCTGTTAATGTGCAAAAAGCAGGCGTAGTGGCGAATGGAAAGAGACAAACAAGAAAGCTACATGTAAGCATATAAAAGATATACAAAACAAGAAATGATGTAGATAACTTTCAACGACAGGCGAAGTTGCTGAGCAGGAAAAAAAACATGTCAGGCTCTCCTATAGCCAATTTCCGGGACATGGCGAGGGGGATAGTCTCTGACACGCTTGGTGGAACGGGCACCGACTGCAAGGGAACCAAGGCCAGACCTCTATAGCGGGAGGCTACGGCTCTGTCTATCGAGGACAGACTACGACACGCGCGAGGACTACCGACTACGAGCCAGGACTCCTGCCACTCCCGTCCTGTCCTGCCAGAGCGCCCCGCTCCATTGTCGTCCCTCGGAGGACCAGACCTGTCGCCAGAATATCCATTGCCGCCAGGGTGGGCATCGTAATGCGCAGAGCGGAGCGGAGGACTCAATGAGCGGCGACTTCCAGTTGCATGAGGAATCATGAAAACAAGGACTCGCCGATGAGGCGGCTCAGCAGAACAAGGGTAGTCCGATTGGCGTAAGGGCGGTGGCCTAGGAATGTAGCTTAGAAGAGTCGTGGAGGGCGATGATACTGGTATCGGAACGCCAGCGGCGTCGGTGGAGGAAACAGCTTTCATGGAAGAGATGAGAGTTGTGACTCGGTGCCATGCGACTTATATGGAGATATCCCGACAACCCGCCCTATCACGTGAGATAGGGGAGTTCTTATTCTAGAAGCACGGTTCGGTTAAATTATTTCGGTAGCGAGGCCGAACGGGTTGTACGTGACTCCTTATCTTTTGTCATGCCATCGAAACAAATCACACAAGTCCCCCAGCTTGTAGAAGCGGCATTCTCCGGACCACACGGTTCAAACGTGCTACAATGGCTTTGGTAGAGAGTAAAGAGATCTGATCAACTTCACCGGCCCCATTCCCGAACTTCTTCAATGTGGAGCGGAAATTTTCACCAAATGTGTGATGACCCTTACACTCGATACGCAACGTGCCCCCGGCATCCAGCGGACACTGCCTTTACTCGATATCACATATTCCATATACAGACACTAATTGTGATCACAGCGAGGGATGACAGTTTAAATGGAGACTCGGATATCACGATGTGACTTTGTGAAAGTGTAAGCATTAATTTTACCTCCCAAGTTCCGCCACCTCCATATTATAGTCCTGATTATAAAGGGCAGATATCGATAGTATGCTTTCCGAACCTTTTAGCTCCCCACTTGCACTCCACCATCTGAGATGGCAGTTCCTGACGCCCATATCAATATTCACTTCAATTTGAACTCTATCTCATCTTATGGTGCGTACAATAAACCCTGTCGTTCTTTTTTTCTCTCTCGAACCAACATTTTACCATATGCATCAGATCTCTTGGATCATATCAGTGATCCACCCTATGATTTCTTATCGCCTCCCCAATTCGAGGCCCCTCTAGTCCCCCCTGATTTTCAATGGCACCAAGTTGAGTCGGTATCAACGTGCATACCTTCCCCTCAAGAATCAGCGTCTTCTTCATATGCTTCCACTTCCTCTACATCAAGTATAAATTCCCCAAAATTGACTTCCGAACTTCCCTTTCCATCGTCCTTTCCTTCCTCCGCAGCTCTTGCGAGCATGCCTATACCATGCTCTCGTGGCTACTCCCGTAGCAAAGACCCAGATCACGTCCCACGTCCGCGAAATGCTTTCATGCTCTTCCGCTCAGCCTTTGCCGCCGCACAGAAAATCGGAACGAATATTGAGCGTGACAATCGACACATCACCCGCATAATCGCGCACTGCTGGAATCACCTCTCTGAGTCAGAGAAACAGGTGTGGCGTAACAAGGCTGCAACAGAGAAGGCCGTTCATGCCATAAAGTACCCAAATTACAGGTTTCATCCTGTCCTACGCGCCAAAAAGCCTACCAAACGAAAAGTTCAGAGGAATGGTACGGAAGACAAGAAACGCTGCGAGCAAGTCGCCGAACTGCTTCTTGCAGGCAAGCATGGCGAAGAACTCGAGGTCGCAGTCAAGGAAATCGACGACACTATGAAAGTAACAACTTTCATATCATCCCCTGGTTCAAGAAGTGGGTTAGCATCCAAGGGCATAGAACCTTGTGAAGGTGACTTGGACGGATGCGAGATACAACCATTCCGCAGTCCTCTTTTGCCACCTACTACCAAGTCTACTGGTCCTTCGATCTACGACATTGCAGGTGCCACTCAGTTTTCTCCACCGGTGCGCATATTATCTCTCGACATTTGACATCCTCTCATCTTTTCTACCCAGCTTGCTACGATTAAGACCATACCAAAATCCTACGATTGTAGCGAGCAGCTTTACCAAGCGCCGTATGACACCAATCAACCAACATCGAGTACCCCGCCAGCGCATCCATTGCTCCTTACCCAGCCCGATTTTCATCCTCTGCACCAAAGCTCCAGGCTCTCGCCACTGCCCGTGCCACTTTATAGCGAACCCTCAACCTTGTTCATAAACTATGACGACGATAATATCTCCGCATTCACACCCTCCCCTCCAGACTTCTCTGACTTCTCATGGGACACATTTTCAACCTCGTGCTATAGTACTCATTCGTCTCACTCGTACGCAACTTTTCCATCCTACTGAACGTTTGTTGTGATGCAATACTATTACTACGCTTAACCCCGGGCCAGCAAACGCCTGAGACCCCTAATCACGTTCACATTCACATTCACCTGTAGCCTTTTAGCTTTACTCTGCGATCAGTGTATACATACTTATTAAGCCATCGTTGAAGGACGTCAGAATGTAACCTTTGCCAACAACAAACCCATTCACAAATTTCCAGAAGATCTCAAAGGTTCTGACGCCCTCTTTACCCAACAACGTTGCACAACCTTCGATCTTCTCACCGGCACGGTTTATCCGTCGAACAACTTCTATGCCACGCCCCCAGCGTCAATGATGACATCGCCGGATCATCTGATTCCACAAGAAGTCGCGAAAAAGGTGTACACATTCCCTAAGGAGAAAGCATGAATGGCCTCGCCTGGGAGGCCGCCCGCCTGGAGGCACGGCAAACGGGGACATGTCAGTCTTTGCATCTAGGGTGGGGGTCTGATCAGTAAAGACCAGGCTGTTCCCGAGGGTGTTTGTGCACGTGATGTAGGCGATTGGGTTTGTGGAGTTACCAGAATCGCGGGTGTATGATGTACGGGAGCTTGAGCCCGATCGCAAGCGTAGTCTTCCAATTGAGGGATGAAATGGAATCCCTCATGGACGCTACCTGAGCGATCAACGTCGTCGGACATATAGAAGATTTGATATCCTCTTACTAAGGCCTGAAGGTAGACGTCGAGGGTTCTGCCACTATTCGGAGGCAGCAAACAGTATGCGGTCATATTCAGCAGTGTAAAGTAAGGTAACAGGCTCTCATACGGACATATACGGCGCCATCCTGTCCAAGTAAACTCGTTAATCCACCACTGATGCCATAAGTAACTCACTTGGAATCTTTATTCTTTCCATTCTTCGCCAGCCGTTCCTCGAGTTTGGCAAACTCATCCAATGCAATAACCTCCTCTTCATCCAAGATCTGGTTCATCGTCAACTAGAGGCAAACACCGCAGGGAAGTTTGAACATACCTGCTCTACACCCTTCACCTCCGGGATATAATGCATCAACATCCTCTCAATTCCGGACTTCAATGTTACAGCGCTAGATGAGCACCCTCTGCAGCTTCCTTTCAATTTAACTTTTACAAAGCCTTCATCATTAAACCCTCGGTATTCTATATCACCACCATCCTCCATAATAGCTGGACGGACACGAGTTTCGAGCAGCTCTTTGATCATTGCTACCGTCTCAGAGTCTGTGTCAAGAATCCGCGTGTCCTGAGGGCCAGCAGCTTCTTTATCCTCTTCCGACCGGAAAAGTGGCAAGCCGGCAGAAAAATGCTCCATAAGTATCGAGTATATCTCTGGCTTGAGGAGTGCCCATGGGTTTTCGCTGTCCTTCGACACAGTAACGAAATCTGGTCCATAAAAAATAGCTTTGACACCCTCAATGCCCATAAGACGTATAGCAAGTGGAGATTTTAACGCTGATCGCGTGTCAAGAAACTCGGCTGTTCCTTCGCCCATGACACTTACACCAGGTATGAATTTAAGGGAATCGTCGTTTGGCGTGACCTCTGTCTGTATGAACATGGATCGACCTGGACGCATATCAATAGTTTATAGCAGCATATCAGAGACAAAAATGAGACATACATTTTTGGGATGATACGCCAAACGATGGGGCAGCTTTTGAGGCGTGAATGCCTGAGGCAGTTGCAAGAGTGGGTCCGCGGTGTACTGCTGCACGTACAGGCGTGGATGAAATTGATCTTGTCCAGGACCGAACTGCAGACTCGATGGTGCGGTTCGAGGCAGAGCGTGCGCTTGACAGAGCTCTAATAGATCTGGAGGCAAGCCTAGACATGACGGTCGTAAGTACTAAGCACTAGTATATGCGTCGGACCTGGGTGCTCGCCGCTTATTCATGCTGATTCAAAATAGGAACAAACATAAATACGGCCGCCGGCCGGCAATTGGAGCGGCACGCGGCAAGGCTGAGCGCTGATGTGTGATGGTGGCTGTGTTGTCCATACCCTTCTGTCAACTCCGAGTACTGAGATGCGATGATAGCAAATGAGAGTCATGGTTTTTACGACTTCTTTCTATTCGCAGCATTATCTTTTTTTGCGCTCCTGCTGTTTATTGTTGTGAATGTCTCCCAGAAGGTGCAACAAACCCCGAAATTGCGCTCAGTCGCCATTCTCGTATTAGGCGATGTGGGACGCAGCCCGCGAATGATGTATCATGCAGAAAGTTTTGCAAAGCTAGGATTTGACACCTATCTCATTGGATACAAAGGTGAGAACTGCTCGTATCGCGTTTGTTCAGACTGACGTTTGACACGTCAGGCTCCAAGCCGATACTTTCGCTAACCTCCCTCTCGAATATCAGGTTGTCATACTTGTCAGAATCACCGCCGCTTGTTACGCGGATTCCTTTTGTTCTAGCCGCTCCGATCAAAATTATGTACCAGATAGCTACCATTCTATACGCGCTAGTCTATGGCATACCCCGGCCGCCCGAGTTTATCGTGGTGCAGGTATGGATGTCAATGTGGCTCCAACCTTCAGCACTCAAATACATTTTGCAGAATCCCCCAAGTATTCCCACTCTCGCTTTAGTGTGGCTTGTCGGAGGGATAACGGGAAGTAAAGTAATCATTGACTGGCATAACCTCGGGTATAGCATTCTCGCATTGAAATTGGGAAAAACACATCTGCTCGTCAATATTGCAAAACGGTATGTTCATCATCATTTGTGCCAAACGTTCTTTACCATCCTACTTTAGCTTTGAGATCATGTTCGGCCGTTCTGCGTATGCTCACCTGTTCGTTACAAACGCTATGCGAAACCATCTGGAGCAGGAATGGGGCTTGATGTTTGTCTAATTTCCTACAGTATCAACTTGCGATTAATTACTGGTTCCAGAGGACACAAGGCGGTCTTACATGATCGTCCACCCAGCCACTTTCACAAGTGTCCACCTCTAGAAGTCCATGAGGTACAAAAGTGACTCTTATATCCTATAACGTCTAACACCTTTGATGTAGTTATTCATACGGCTGGGACGCTCGATATCGCCATCACTTGCAAATTTTCTCCCCGGTGCTTCGCTGCCTTACACGACCCAACTCACTGAAATACAGGGACTTCCACCGTATTCTGCTTCTCCCACATCCGCTTTTAGCTCCCTCAGTACGCCCACTCTTCGAAAAGATCGCCCAGCACTGGTGGTGAGTAGTACATCATGGACACCAGACGAAGACTTTGGCATTCTCTTGGAGGCATTGAAACTCTACGAGTCTCGTGCTCGTGAAGCAAACCTTACAAATTGTGAGAACTCGCAATCAAAGCACGATTCAAAAGAACGACAAGTCTTGCCTCGCATATGGATGGTCATCACAGGCAAAGGGCCGCTTAAAAACCGATACATGGCAGAAGTGGAGCTCTTGCAAAAAAACTGGCAGTATGTCAGGTGCACGAGTTTATGGCTCGAAGCAGAAGACTATCCCCTTTTGCTGGGTAAGCCGTTCGTGCATGGTCACAGGTTCATTCATTGATCTTATCTAGGCTCTGCTGACTTGGGCGTCTCATTGCACTCAAGTTCCTCCGCGCTCGATTTACCAATGAAAATCGTTGATATGTTCGGATGCGGACTCCCCGTCTGTGCCCTCGATTTTGCATGGTGAGGACTTGCATGCTTAGACCTCTGCCGTATTGATACCTGCGTTCACAGTCTTCCAGAGCTTGTCAAAGACGGTATTAATGGCTTGGTTTTCAAGAATGCGTCTCAGCTTGCAGAGCATCTGGAGGTGGGTCTTGTCCTTCATATGATATCGATGGAGACTGACTACGCATCATAGACCCTCCTCACTTCTTTTCCTTCGTCATCTGCACTTGATTCTTTACGGACAAATTTGCAGCGGGCATTACAGGTACCGCTCAGTGTCGAGCGTCGTGTCCATAATCACCAACACCAAGAAGGTGCTGACTGGGAGTGGGGTTCTTGGTCAGAGAACTGGGACCGTGTTGTGAAACCCCTAGTGCTGAGAGATTCAGAACGATTTGGTTGAATCGTGGGTCTACTTTCGGGGCGAGATGACAGTTGCACATCAGGGAAACGTAATTCATTACATATGGTTACAGAGCGCTACAGAGCGCTCTGTAGCATTCTGTAGCACGATCCAACCTGCTGATGAACCCTGGACCTTGAAGATGTCAGAAATGTTGCATCCCCGACACCCACTTCAAGTTAAGAGTTTTTCTGATGCTACTTAAGTTTATCATTGTTATCATAGCTCATTTGATGTCCCGGAGCACACCAACATCCACAGAGTTCTATTGCATGATAAACTTTACTTCAATGACGAGAGGTCAACAGGCCGCTGTGCAGATTGACAGCTCGTGAGACATTTTTATGCACACATTATGTAATTTAGATTGTCAGAATCGGTATATCTGTATCATTTTCTGACGGAACAAAATATGAAGACACATCGATATCTTGCACAACCTACAATCCTCGCAACGGCACGATTCATCCGTCGAACAGCCTCTGGGGATGTCACGCCCCCAGCGCCAATGATGTCAATTTCTCAAATCGCCGGGTCATCTGACTCCTCAAACCATCTTTGAAGGACATACGCACATCGGAATGTAACCTTTGCCAACAACAAACCCATTCACAAGTTTCCAGACAAGATCTCAAAGGCTCTGACGCCCTCTTTACCCAACAACGTTGCACAACCTACGATCTTTGCACCGGCACGATTCATCCGTCGAACAGCTTCTGGGGATGTCACGCCCCCAGCGCCAATGATGACAATTTCCCGCATCGCCGGGTCATCTGACTCCGCAAGAAGTCGCGAAAAGGTGTACACATTCCCTAAGGAGAGAGCATGAATAGCCTCGCCTGCGAGGCCACCCAAACCTGGAGGCACGGCAAACGGGGACATGTCCGTCTTTGCATCTGGGGTGGGGGTCTGATCAGCAAAGACAAGGCTGTTCCCGAGGGTGTTTGTGCACGTGAAGTAGGCGATTGGGTTTGTGGGGTTACCAGAATCGGTGCGGGTGTAAGACGAGATGCAGTCGATGAGATCATGAAATTGGGTTGTTATGATGTACGGCGGGAGCTTGAGCCCAATCGTAAGCGTTGAGTCATCTTGGAAAGCCTTTGCGAAGACGTCGAGATATGGCCTGAGAGAAGGAAGGTGGTATGAGGGCGGAGGATGACCTTTGATATTTGGGCAGCTAGAGTTAAACTCGACAGCAATGCGAGAGCGCCATGTAGAATTTGACGCGCGGAGCTGTTGTATCGTGACTAACATTTCGGAAAGCCTCTCGGCGTTAGACTCTGTGATGCTGATTATGAATGGTTTGGGAGACGATCCTTTTTCTAAGAACTCCTGAATCCATGCGAGATATGTATACAGTGGATGGGGGGAATATCCGTACGAATTAAGGGACGAAAGGGAGTCCTTCATGAACGCTACCTGAGCGATCAACCTCGTCAGACATAGAAGATTTTTGGAACCTTGTCTTGTCTTACGCACTGTATGGCTTTCATCCTCTTCAAAACCGTCCAAAGTAGCTGTTCTCGTGATCACAGCGCCTGTATGAGGGCAGTGGTACAGTCCACTGAGCTGTTGATAGTCTGATGCCCATGCACATGAGCAGTTCACCATGGAAGGTGACACATCAATGCTGCGAATCAAAACCATCGAGGATTTTATCAGGATCAGGAAACGTCTTATGAATCAAGTAGGATGAGCCGCTAAGCGTATTGATACGGGCCTTTCTTCCGTGTTATCAGTTGAGAAGACCGCGAGAGTGCCTATTATTACGGACGTGCCTCAAGCGGTCAACTTGCTTGAGATAGCTCGATAAGACTTTACCAATCGAACAGAGACATACCGCATGCGTGCAAGTACATAGCTATGAAAAGAAACAATCATTAACGAGCTGATCAGTCAGGAACACAGTCCATTTGGCTCCCCGAAAACACTGGTAGCCTCTTCTCCTCTCGGCGTGCCCGTTCACAACTGCCTCTTGCCTAATCGTCTCTCGAGCATCTTCTTTGATTATCTCTCACCTTCTCCCACCACGGCTTGATAACTGTCCTAAAGCATCAAAGAGCCACCAGCTAACGATGGATCTTGCACCATTGTCTATGAGCCAACTTCGAGGATATAAGACCATAATTGGGTCCAAGATCACCCCGAGCCAAGTCCGAAATGAAGCTGTCTACACCTGTACCTGACGCTCTACCTGTAATCAAACTCGATATGGTGCGTTTGGTGGACACGAACCATCGGAGTGATCCTGGAACGATGGTTCTGTTGATGATATGGTTCCTGTCGCCTCCAGCGGACATGAATGTGGTGCTGAACGAAAGGGAGTAAAATGCAGCCTCAAGACCATCCCTGAATGGGCAGCAACTTATTCTGCATACAGTCCACGGGAATTGATGAGCTATCATTGCAGGTCTCTCAGTGTGGGGTATTGCTAGTGATCGGTTACACACCAATACTTATCATGCTTCGTGATGAGAGGATGAAACATGGGAAGACTGTAGTACATGTTTACTTGAGGATTTCTTCCCTTTCTAGTACAGACTTGTCAAGTTTAATGAGTATGGTCGTACGCGATGGAAACTGTTGAGTAGGGGTATGATGAGCTGTCACTCGTGCAGGCTTTGCGCACATATCAGTACAGAATTCGTCCGAGAATGATATACTGACCAATCCTAGTCCATCCAGGACAGCTTCTACGATCCCAGCAGTGAAAGAAGAACAGCTGAGTTGGTTCATATCTTTTGGGACAGATATATGACGTTCGATTGGAGGATCATTGTCGATGATCATGTCTTCAGATGGAAATCGCTCAGCGGTCAAATAACATGAATGGAGTGATCATACATTCATCCTCATTCTCAACACTCTTTTCTATTGCATCTGCAGGGCGTCCAAAGACTGCTCTCCACACCTGGGTGTGGATGGACATAAGAGCAGGTAGAAAACGAATTTCTCGTTTTGGAGCTTTGGACGACGACTCTGCCCGCCAGACCATGAGTTCAAGGACTCGGGTTCCTGCGCGATAGCCGAGGGTGTTCAATCTGAGTGACGCCACGTTAAGCGAACATAATAGATGTGCAGGGTAAACGCACCGCCGTTCGAGATCATTGATTCCGCTTACGCGTTTCTGGGTATATTGAACGACCTCAGAAAAAAGGAAGGCGAAAGCGGAAGCGGACACTTCTGATGTCCGTGTTTTATTAAGATTCCTGTCATAGATATTAGGTCTAACGCCTGGTTTTGGCGTGCCGAGAGCAGTGTTTATGGATGTCGCAGAAGGTAAAGAGAAACGTGTTGAGCTTGCAGTGGGGGAAAGATGTTCTGCAGAAGAGAGCGAAGAACCGGACAGAACAGAAAAACGAGGATGAGGCTGTTGCATGGTGGAATGAGGTCAACTTACAGTTTCCGGCTGCAATTTAGTAATTTGTGGGTCTGTCAAGTGAGCTAGCTAAGCAACCTGCCAAGGCCCCAAGCGCACCGTGTGTCCTGATATAATCATCATGACGCTCCTAACCACTTCAGCAGCAGAGGTTAATTTTCCGTCTTCAGCTCGTGTATTGCACGTTTCTCCTTCTCTTCCAGACCTTTATTCATCCTCCCATAATATCCTTAGACTGAGACGCAGCAGCCCGCCTATGAACACTGCCGCGGCGCTCTCCTCTGTCGATTTACAGCAACACATCTACAACTCTTTGCTAGAGTCTCGCACTGCAGATGTCTCTTTGCATGTCTATGGCACATGGGAGGCAATCTACAAGTTGCACAGAGTAATCCTCATACAGTCGGTTCGTAAAGCTCTCGTTTCTCGGCTCCCTACCAAGTTACTTACTAGACTACTTGCAGGGGTTCTTCAGCTCGCTATTCACAGCGGGCTTCCTCGAGTCCTCACCCAAACTACGTGGCCATCTACAAGGACCTGAGGAAATTGACGTCATTTTCGATGACCGCAACATCACTCGTGCAGGTATGTTCCAGCCCCGGTGTCGATAGCTCCACGCTGATGACTTTTCAGCTTTTGAGTAGGTTATTCAGAAGTAACTTTGTGACCTTGGATTGACATTTTCCAGGATATGCATCGGACGACTATATGGTGGCGGCCCACCCCTATATGTCCCACCATCCATCATCCCAACCGCATCCCAACCACTTACTCCTTCCTTTTCTAGCCCCTCTTTATCTTTCGACACACCCAAGGGGCATCACACCGCCACCCCTCAGTTGCTGCTCTCACTTCTAGCCACAGCAGTCTACCTCTCCATACCCTCCATGGCATCGCAGGCTGTCAACTGCATCATGAACACAGTCGGACCGTACACCGTTATTCCTTACCTCAATTTTGCTATTGGTAAAGCTATCGAAGCTGATCCTGACCGCAAAGCTGAAGCAGCAGTGGGTTTGGAGAACATTGCACAGTTAGTTACCTCCGAGAGTTGCGCATCTAGTACATCGCGTTCTCCTTTGCGCACATCAAGCACCAAGCTGGATCCTCCCGATGATTTGTCCGATAAATTATTGGATCTAGATGTACAGAAAGAGGATCCTGCTGAATCGAATGAGGTAGAATCTGAGCCAGACGATGGGCCAATCCGCGAACCTTATTTCCATTATGGACTGTTATCAGACAAGATTGGCGAGGCCGCGGCGTGCTGGATCGCCCGATGGGGTGCGGATATGCTTATCCACGAAGAGAAAGCATCTCGTGGTCCAGAACTCCCTGTCACCCCAGTTCCTGTCCTTGCGCAAAACGTGTCGTCGCGCAAGAGAGCCGATACGATGCCGGTCAGACCTCCAACTTCTAGTGAGCCTATCATACCAGAACCGCATGTGACTCCTGTCATCTGGGCAAGGGGTGGCTTAAACTCGAAGTGGGTGCGACAGATTTTAGGCTCCAATTTGTTGTTTGTGAGAGGGGAGAAAGAACGATACGATATGGCGTGCACTATTGTCGAGCTTAGAAGATGGCAGGGTATTGATGAAGAAGAGGAGAAAGACTGGGAAATATTGTTCCGTGAAGGCATCTACTATGCCAATTTGGTAAGTAAAGATATCTCCTCTAAGAGCTTTTTGTTAATAACAACTTAAAGCTTGTGGATGATATCATGGCAATTATCGCAGCATATCTCTCCTACCACTGGTCGACCATTTGTTCCCCTTTCTGTGCTACAGGAAGCTCATTGGGATCAGTCGTTACTGCGATGTCAAATTACAAGCAAACCCAACCCAACTTCTTCTCCTTCGTCCCCATCCTTGAGCCCTCCACCTTCGCGAGAGAAGGAACTTGGGTTGTCCATCACGACTGCCGAGATTCTTGCTCGATTGCCGACCTCGAACTCTTCACCAAACACAGTAGACGACAGAGATAAGCCATATTATCCCGTCGGACACGACTCATCCGTACGCATTGGCGATAGTGGGGGTATCGAAGGTGCTTCTATGGACCAACTCTTCGAGTCACCTCCATCCTTGTCCAGTCCAACCACGGACAGCAAGACGCCTGTTCGTGCAACAACTACTGAGGCTGATTTCTTTGGTCTGAAGTCAGAACGACAAACCGCATCAGGTTGTATAGCATCTGACGCAACGGGTAAAGCGCGGTGGTCACCCTACCCTCCGTTCAGATTTGCAGTGGAGTTTTGGGATATCGACGCACTGAAGGAGAAGTCCCGCCTGCACTCACAGACAATCTGGTACGCAGGAAGCTTGTTCAACGTATACGTGCAAGTTATCAGGAAGAAGGGCATTCAGCTTGGAGTCTATCTTCACCGACAATCGAACATTGATCCTATCCCTGCCCCTTCGGCGCCATTGTCACTCAATCGCACTGGACACACACCCGCCAACAGAATGCCGTCATTACCACAACTTTCTACGTCGCAGTCCTCACCCTCTGTAGCTACGCACTATTCCCCTTCCGTTCGCCCTATATCACGAAGCACGACGCCCAGTTCATCCCCACCGACATCATCTCGTCTTGCTACGTCCTTTACCTCTTTACCGAGCACCATTCCAGCCACATCGCCTGCCGTTGCTCCATCGCAGCCATATCGCGATCCTCGGCCTGCTATCGCAGCTTACTTTACTATCTCTTGTGCCAGCTCTTCTGGTTCATCTATTACGCGATTCACGAGCGTTCCGGATGTGTTCTCAGTCAGTCAAAGCTGGGGTTGGAAGTCGAGCTCCTTGCGAACTGAGCACCTAGAGGTTGGCCCTGACGGGCAACCTGCCGAACCCACAATTCCAGCCCCAAGATTGAGCAGCCTTCGCGCTACCATTGTTCTGGGCATAGTCTAGGTTCAAGTCGTCCCTGGGTTTATGAGCTGTTTTATGTACACCGCTATATTTGCTATCAATTCGTATATTCCCTTCTGATATATCACACCATCTATGTATTAAGTTAGAAGCACGTTCCATCATCGTTCCGGTATGGAATCGTGCATAGCAGTACATCCGCTTAGTCAATATTCATGCTAATCATCTCCATATAACATCTGAATTGATCTGTTTCTGGTCACGGTTGTCCCCGCGCCCCCGCCAGCATCAAGGTAGTTCGGCGAATATCACGTGATTTCAGACTCATCAGAGGCGAGGGCGGCTCCCGGCTGACAGCTGGATGTCAAGTTTTCAGATCACTCCGACCATGACCAAAGGCAAAGGCAAGCAAGTTGAGCCTATGGTGCTCCTGCCGCCAATGCCTAACCCGTCTGCAGGCAGCGCCAACCCCTCTGCATCTCTATCCTCCCTCTGGGGATATTTACTCCCAGCATTAAATCCACATCGTCCGCTCGCCCACAAACTCAACCGAAAAGGCGCCCGTTATCGACATTTCATATCACATGGGGATACACACAGCAACCTATAACTATTTCACTATGCAAGTTGAGACTGTCAACACTAACAAGGAGCGCGAAAGACTTACACCAAGCGGAACGGATTTGTATGAGCATATCGACAAGTACTATGCGGAAGTCGCTCGGGAACTGTTACTCGGTGCTCCAGAGGATGATTCATCTCTGATCCATTACATCGTCCCGTGTTTCAACCGCTACGCCGCTGGCGCACACTCCGTGAACCGTCTCCTCAATTATGTGAACCGACACTATGTGAAACGCGCTGTCGACGAAGACAGAGGCTGGCTCACTCTGAGCGATATTTTTGATGCTGTTGCGAAGGCTATACAGGACGGGGACACAAAAGATAAAATTACGAATAAGTTGAAGGAGAGGCGGACGGAGGAGTTGAAGAAGTGGGGGTGGGATGAAGGGGGGACGAGCGAGCAGCTTGCGCATGCTGAGTCGTGTGCAGAGGCGGCAAGTCCGGTTGACCGTGTCGTACCACTGTCTGCGCTGGCGCTTCGACGGTTTAGAACGGAACTTTTGGAACCTTTGTTGGCTGTTCCCAAATTGAAAGGGAATAAAAGGAGAAAGGCAGGAACTCATAATGGGAACGCTCCCAATTTACCAAAAGGGCGTCTTGCGAGAGCTGTCAGGGAGTTGCTAGAAAAGCAAGATGTGGATGTGGAGGAGAGGAAGAGACTAGTGGCAGAACTTGCAAACGCAATGCGCGTTACTGGCGTACGCGACGGACATCCTCTACGGAAGAGGCTGGATAAGTATTTATCAACGGGGACTGTATAGATTTATTATCCACTGTAGCTTGATCTCGAACAGGTGGACTCGAAACACAACATGGTATGATTGGAGTATGTCATGATGAGTATCCAGGTGCGCTAATGATTGTACGACCAGAAATATCTATAAATGTGCGTGAGGGTAAGCATATGTTGATATATAGAGTTCTTATCAGTAATTCAGGTTCTGGCTGACGCTACTGCCTGCAAAAATGCTGCTAGTCATGTCAAAATGCGCGGTAACACTGTTCTCTCCTCCCCATTCACAAGGTCCTTCCAGTTCGTCTTCCACGGAAATTGTGAGGGTCAAATTCGACAAACTTTGTGACGGATCAGCCACAGTGATGCTCCCCGTGTCTATGCAATAGATGAAAACAGCATGAGCACTTGATTCGATTTTCATAGAACCGTAAACCTCGTCGGTGAATGTGAATGAACCGCCCGCTGCGTCCCAGAAGACACCGAAGACAGTGTAGTGGTCTTCATCCAAAAGAGCGCTCACAGAGGCGTTGTTCTGAATCTCCGTCAAGTGAGTATATGCGCGTTTGAGAACGAATGTGTCGTAGTCAACTGCAGGGTATACAGTATAGGAGATGGGGGCGCTGCGGTCTTTGTGGTGCAACCAAGCAGCGAATAATTCTACTGTTTCTTGACCAGAAAATATACCTGTGCTGGACCAGTCACCTGTCTTGTTGCTCCATTCGAGGGACAGTTCATAAGTTCCATTGACTCCTCGAAACTCGTACCCGACGTCACCGTGCCATAACGAGTGGGGGTCTGTGAAGTTCCCTCCGAAAGTTCTCATATCATTGACAAATACGTCAGGCCCGCTGAAACGTCTTTGGTCAAGAACAGAAAACACAGGGGCATCCGTCTTCGAGGAGATGTTGGCGATCATCACATACTGAACGTCGTGCTCGAGGAAGAACCATGTCTTTTGCCACGACAAGGACCCGGTCATGGGGTTGGTATAACGCATCGCTGCGACGCCGACATGTCCGTCGCTAACACCACCGACAAATGCTTCCTTTCCGATATATTTGGTATGTTCACAGTCGAGGACGGTGGCATTGTAGTCGACGGTGATACCAGGGACGAGATTCCAATCCCAAACAGCGGCTATATCTTCATACTCATTGCCTTGGAGGTATGTGTAAACAACACCGTCCGCGAGATGGAAACCAAGAAGCTGCATGAGATAAGTGTAATGATTTTAATGGGGGAGGGGGAAAAGGACTCACGTTCTGTGAGTTCGTACACTCTGTATTCCGGGTTCTTGTTGAGTACATGTTGAGAGACGTGACATAGCCAGGACCCCGAGTGACCTGGGAGTTTTTGAATTTGAATTTGAATTTGGGGTGCGTAGGTACTGGTCGGCCTACCATATAATCATTCTTATAGAACATACGGTTTCCAAGTATTCCTCCCACGTTTGCATGGGTTATATTGGACGAAAGACTTCTTGCGAAGTCAACGAGAACGTCCGAATTCCAATTCTCACCAAGTTCTTCCACCTTTGAGAGGTTTGTTAGGATACCAGAACTTGCTCTATGTCAAAGGAGGTCATTGCAGTCGGACTCCATCAAAAGGTGACTACCTACTGGCCAGCGGCCACCGGTGAGCTTATGAAGCGACCCACTGGGCTCTACATGTATTCATAAGAGATGGTCAGCAATTGTAGCTGAAACTTACAAGATCCCAGTGCAACACCTTAAGATAACCATTGAGCTTTTGCTGGGGCAGAAAATTCACGCACGAACCTGTGTTTCGACGTTAAAATTTATCATCCATCGGTTTCCGTCGACCAATGTCTCGAGAGTAGCCCTTGCCTTACTGTCAGCCGCGAATGAAGTTCCGGCTGCTGCGGTCTCGAAAACGAGGACACCATTGGAGCTATCCAGCAAATTCAGAACATGCACACGAAAAAAATGTGTGCGTACAAGTCCTTCCCGTAGTTTCCATTATAAAGCAACCCGAGGTGCTGACTGAAGGAGCCGTCCGACTGGATCTATCAAAGAGACTCGTTGAGAAATTGAGTATACCAGGACTTCAGGGATACCTACCCCATCAGCTACTATGCTAATATTTCTTGTATGACGATGGTGTCATGGACTCTCCTGTAAGCGTCCGAGAGCAAAGAAACATTGGACACTAGAAGACTTTGATCTAGACCGGTTTTGGCCATGTCCAGGATGTTTGCTCCAGCCTCAAAGCTGTATCCATGATCGAACACGCCATACGCACGTAGGGAGATATTACTGCAGTTGCTTAATTGTGTAGGTGTCAGGGTGTCGTTGAGGAGCAAACATGACTCTGCAACGAGACCGGGGATGAAGATGACCTGTGGCAATATTATCAGGCTTCAGGGAACTGGCATAAAAATTTAAACGCACGTTGGCATACCAGTTCGTGTTCCAGAAACCAGGTGTGCCGCAAGGACAGCTGTCGGTGCCTCCTTCAACGAGACAGCCGACATTCGTGAAGTCGTTATTGAACCAGTAGTTCATGGCATTGCCTATGGCAGTGAATATCGTCGAACTGTTAACGTATTGATCGTAGCCTTGGAGTCCCCCATGCCAAGCAGCAGCCATCGTGCCTGTGGAGAAGCGCGCGTACACTGAGTGTGAATCACACGGAGTTAAGCGTTGGGCAACTGACTTATGCGAACCCAGTGATCTGCAGCTGGCCAGCTTGCTTTTCGACCATCACAGCCAACTGTATAGTCGACATCAGAGTCCGGCCATTTACCATCTCCCTGAAGATCTGTGAGCCTGAAAACGGGGTTGCCTTCAACGTAGTCGTGTAGCTTAACGAGAGCAACGAACCAAGTTGATATATTACTCGGGTCACCTGTGATGCTGTCTATGATCGTGTCCAATCTTCGAGAGTGGATAGTGGTGATATCTTGTAAGGCGCTTGAATTTAGTGCTTGGGTTGGATTACTAGCATGTGCACTCGTGGTGGGCGTGAAAGAAGTCGTAAATTGAACACCTGAGGTAGAGACGAGAGAAGCCGAAGGTGTCTCAACCGTTTGAGATCCCGACGTCGACGTTCCGCTGCCACTGGATGCTTGAGAAGCAGAAGATTCAGGTGCATATCTTCGCTTCCACCGTTAAACACCACTGAAAGAAGACGCGACACTAGGCTGACCTCACTACCCCTGGAGGTTGACTGAATTGCCTTGGGTTTCCTGGATGACGAGCGGCTACGCGTCGATGAGAGGACCCAAGAAGGCCATGAAACCATTCTGCCTCCGCGAGATTTGCTACACACAGTAGAGAAGTGTAGATGAATGGACGAAGGACCACCATGACCGTACGCGCGCAGAAACTTGCTTTGCTTCTACTGCTGCTGTAACATCGAGTGTTTTATACTTAAGCTTATGAGTTCTACAGCGCGGCGACACAATGGGTGAATCGATGCGGGTGTGTATTAGATGCACAACTTCTTTTGGAATAAAGTTGGCCTGGGTGCATGCCAATTTCCACCAATCAGCTCAGCGCTCAGTACTCAGTACTAGTACTCAGCGTCAACGCACAGATTCATGGCTGCAATCACGAAGCTCAGAAGTCAGCATGCGAATCGCCGTTTAGTTGCATTTGGGAGGACTGCGTTCACCACATGTCCAAGACTGATAGGAGATGATGCAGATGGCAGGTCACAGGTACGGCTCACTGATAAGGTCACTCATTAGGATATTGATAAGCGGTGGCCAAGCGGTATGAAAAAAAATTGAAGCCCGTCTTCGACCATTTCGATAGTTTGCCGTCTTATGTCACATCATTAACTTGGGTAAGCTGTTAACTGCAAGTGAGTTCATGATGGTGGTTTTGACCCATCAGAGTTGCCCCCGTCCTGACCCATGGAATCCAGCAACGCCTCCATATCCATTAAGTTCATATCTGAGGGCCGATGGAAGAAGGTATGGTCGAAGTTGGCAAGATCAAGAGTAGACAAATCGAAATTGCTGTCCCCACTTGAAGGCTGGTGACTGGTCCCATCTGATTGAGAAGTAGCGAAACTTGCGAGAATCGCACTGGGGGAAGGTGCCACATTTCCAGGATGAGCACTCTGAACGCCAAGCGTAGAATGCTGTCCAGATTGCAGTCCATCAGATTCTGGTGGTCCAAACATGTCATTGCCGTGGTTGCTGTTATCCACTGCTGATAATGCGCCAAGCATTTCCATGTCAAGACCGCCTTCTTGGGACTCTTTTGCGGGGTTTGAAGCCCCAGAATCAGGGACAATGGGGGAAAATATGCCTTCTACCCCACTGTTCTCTCCCGAACCTGTTTCGGTTCCATCTCCAAAAAGGTCTGTCATGGTTGACATTTCCATGTCGATGGAGTCAAGATCGAGCTCAATTGGCTTGTCTGCCGAATTTCCTAAGGATGCATCGATGGGAGGCAAGGGAGAATCATCGTCGACAGTTAAGTCAATGTCAACGTGTTGTGAAGAACCTGCAGTTGCAGACGCAAATGCAGCCATGAGGTCTAACTCCGTTTGAGCTGAAGGACGAGCTGATTTGGGCGCAAGGGATACCGGAGAAGGTAAACTTTGGGAAAATAAAGCGGCTTCTTCTGCGGACATTCGGAGGGAGGATGATGAGAGGTCTAATTTGAGAGGGAATGGGGGGCGATGCAAGGATGATAGGGAAATGGTTGATCCGCGACGAGTGGGATTCGCAAGACCTTGGGGAGGAGATGCTTGAGACGGAAGAGCTGGTGGACCCATGACGACATCTGTGTTGACCTCCAGTGGAGGTAAAGGAACTTTGCGTGTGGTTGGAGACTCCGATGTGGATTTGGAACGAGTGCGGGTAGCGATCGCGGCATTCTCGGCTTCGCGAGCACGACGCTGCTCGCGAGCTAAGTCTCGTTCTAGCACAGCGATAGCTCGAAGCTTTGGGCATTATTGGAAGACGCACCACGATTTGAAGAAGGTGACAACTCACCAAACGCGATTCCATCGCATCATAAAGTTGATCGAATTTTTCCACCTCTCGTCCGAGGGAATCTGTCAAAAAACGAGGTGGATATGGAGCATATTTGTTAATACCACTGCCGATAGTTAGTATGCTGTGATAGTGAACTACTACAAAGCCACGGACAGTCTTCGGGAATCAGCATGAAAGGAATATATTTGACCGGTTTTTACTACCGCGTTCTATCAAAAGGACTCAAGATAGTGTTTGATGGTCAGGATTATAACTTACCTTGAAACAATCCATGAGCGCATTCATTTCAGGCTCCAGGATAGCCATGGCTTTGGGTGGTACGGGTGGAGGAGGCATGATAGAGTCTGGTGATAGAGCGTCTTTTGACTCTGCGGACTTGATCTGGGAAGACACGCTCTTTGGCGCCTTTATGACCTTACGTGGTTTTGGTTTCGGCGGCATGAGAAGCGCCCTGTGCTATTTCTGATTCTGAGGACAGTGAAACGGGTCAAAGATATGTCACACCCAATTTAGAAAGTCTGCCTAGTAGCAAGTACTCCGACACCCGACTCATCACAGCGCTCTCATTGACCTTGTATACCGACAGGATATGTCACACAGCGTCCATGATATAACTCCAACGACGAGCTTAGACAGCGTCAACCTCGAGCACGAGGTACGTTTATAGATATTCCCTGCCCTTGTTCCCTAAACGCCGCACAACCAGGAATGTTTCCAAAGACGTTTGCGTCATATAAGTTCCATCCAAGTTCGCAATCTAACACCTTTTCCTGTCCGAGATGCATTTGCTTCTGCTCTCGCTCGCCCAGCTGAGCACTCACAATTCACGCCTCTGGGAAACTTCTCTGACGACCTTGATATAACGCTTTCACGAAAACGCTCACGCCGGATCTCCACAAACTCTGTCAATACCCTTCAAAGTGCTCGCGTAGATGATCATGCTCCAATATTGGACAATGGTGATGGGAGAGGTCGTCGGAGAACCCACTCTAAAGTAAGTTTCTCAGGAGGAGGGAGCGCAGAACCCACGCAAAGGAGCAACGCCATCTCCCGCACCATTTCAACCTAGTACTACCACACCTACGATAAAACCAAGTAATCGGGCGCGCACCAATTCCATGGTCTCGTCCATGAGTGTATCTACGGCTAATATTAATGTGCACTCCTCGACCTCGAATACCCAGGCGCCTTCGACCTTGTCTACCGTTCTATCTTCTTCGTTATTCTTCGATTATTCGCAGAGGACCTTGGAGAAAGTTATTGAATCCCGCCTCGTGGAGACTTTCATTTCAATCACTGTTCCAGACACTCCGGATGTTTTTCCGCTCCCGTCTCCATTGCCCACCACACAACGAACTCGTGCTGAAAGTGCTCCACGCACACGCTCTTTCACCTTCAATGACTTTGTTGTTCCTAATTCGGTGGCAAGTGTGCGCAAAGCTTCGAAAACATCACGTCCGAACAGCGCGGAGTCCTCCAAGGCTGCACCCTTATCCCGACCAGAACCTTCCTCCTCAATTCGCTCTTCCACAACCCTCAGAAAAGGTACACCGCCAGTCAGAACAGCAGGAGCATCCCTCATGACACGAGTGGTCCCTAAAACACATAAGTCCTCGACTTCTGTCCCACGCAACTCCACAGCGAGCCAGCTACCATCACCTCCAGCTTCCCCAGCATCTCCAGAACCACCTCTGCTTCGCACCGTGCCGAACTACATATCACCTATCCACCAGCCCTCGACGAACCCTTCTTTCGTAATTGATGCACGGTCAGAATTCGAGTTTGCACCTTGGACAGATTTAGGTGCCGATACGGTGAAGATTGAGTTATGGGCGAAGACTTGTCGGCATCTTACCAGTGGAGCAGGAGCTTCACTCGAGAGCAAAGGAAAACAAAAGGAGATGTTGGTGACTGATCCTACTAGAGAAGGACCCGAGTGGACCGTCCTAGAGCAATGGAATGTCACCCTTGCAGACCTTGTCCCATTGAAACCTGAGGTATGCGTAATTGAACCTGTCAACTCATAGACTCTAAATGTTCTATTAGCTCGAGGCCCATCCGTCACGCCTCCCGTCCAATACCCTTTTCATATCATTCTCTACTCATGCAGAAACATTCTATTTGCCAACTCGTTCAGTTTCAGGAGTCCATTCGCATTCACGCTCTCCTTCTCCGACTGCGTACAACTCCGAACCAGAGACAGGAATTCGGAAGTTTCGGACACTCCGCCGACCCGACTACACCAGCACGTTTTCATCTCCCCCAAACGCCTTCTGAACAGCCCAACAAATCGCGCAGATCACGCAAGACAAATGCCAGAACCGCAAGTTCGCAAGATTTACTTCAGTCAGTGTAGCTTATGATGGAAATATTATGCTTCTTTTAACATCGCCGTTTAGGCTCGTTACGCTTCAGTCATGTATCATCGACCACGAGGAGTCGCTTGCGGATGTAATCCGGCAAATAGATACAACATTGGACAATGATGTTGTCGCGATATTGGTACGTGCATTATGATCGAATTGTTTCCCGCGAACAGTTCTAAATGAGATTCAATAGAACCGGGAGGCTTCGGAACGTGAAGCGTGTATCGAAGATCGACAATCTGAAGCGAAAGAGATCTTGGAACGGGCATGTCTGTGTGAGACCCTTACGCTTGCCGATATGTATCCCGTGCTTATTACTCTATAGTACGCGGAGATATTGCTTCTCGCCGAAAGAGGCTAAAACATCGGAGAGACATACTTGCGACTGCTGGGTCAATGTATGCTGAAGACCAGGCCAACCTCCGACAGACTGCCGTGGAAGTTGCTGAGCAGAAGTTTGTCCTCCTTCGTACTAACGTTAGTAGAAGCTGATTGGCAAATGTATAGGCGGTGTCTTGATGTCCTTTGGGCGCGTCTTGCGGTTATACGAACGTCCTTGATCTCAACGCTGTCATGGTTATATCCTATTGAACTGTTTTCTTCCTCAGAGCTACTCTTTACGATCCTTGCTGTTCCGTTACCTATTCCGTTCAACACTACAGAGCCTGCCCCACCATTGTCGCTGGCCTCCCACAAGGAAGTGACTGAAGATGCAGTGGCCACCGCGCTAGGTTTTGCTGCACAGCTAGTACAGCTCCTTGCCATATATATGGGCAAAGGCCTAACGTATCCTATCACCTGCATAGGGAGTCGGAGTCTGATTAGAGATGACATCTCGGCCATGGTTGGTCCAAGAATGTAAACTTCATGCCTCGTGCATTACATTTCTATCAGCTGACCAGATGAATTAGGTTCCCTTTATTCTCAAAGGGCGTTGACACATATCGATTTGAGTATGGTGTGTTCCTGCTTAACAAGGATATCGAAATGGTAAGCTCAGTTGTGGGCCATGTCCGTCAACATCTGACCCTGCCGACGATGGCAGCTCATGGCAGATCGCGATTTACGAGCGCTGGATATGCGACACACGCTACCTAATTTGAAGAACTTGCTCCTGACACTTACTGATGGTGAATGTGCTAGCGTTCAGT